TAAAGAAACAAAGATATTCTTCCAAGAAATTATTGACATGTGTCAATTATTATGTGTGCACAAATACAACATACATATATTATACATGAGTTAGCACTGTCACAGCTAGAAAGCTATAAAATGGTACCACAAGTAATATTTTCTCTTCCACACTTTCTTTTTTTGGTTTGTTAGTTTTTGTTGTTGTTGTTGTTGTTAATCCTCACCAGAGGATATTTTCCCATTAATTTTTAGATAGAGTGGAAGGGAGGGAGAGAGAGAGAGAGAGAAATGTCAATGTGGGAGAGACACATAGATTGGCTGCTTTCTGAACGACCTCCACCATTGCTGGGGATTGAACCTGCAACCCAGGTACGTGCCCTTGACCAGTCCACGGGCCGATGCTCCAACCACTTGGCCAAAGCTGCCAGGGCTCTTCCACACTTTCCAAGGGGCCGATTCCTTGTTCAGGGGAGCAACACCCTGCCTTGGGGGGAAGAGGATGAAGACGGTATGCAAAGACAAAAAGTCAGATACCAATGACTGCCCAGGCCGGATGTGTGAGGCAGCCCAGATCCGGTGTGGGGCAGCCCAGCCGCAGTCTGCACCAGGCTGGTGGACAGGCTGCACTGGGAGCCACGGTGCAGAGCACTCTGGCCGGCCACCCCTGTGTGAGAAGATGCTATAAGGCGGGGAGGCAGGGTACAGAGCCTCCCTGCGGAGAAAGGGAGTAAAGAGAGGCAGGTCAGGCCTGAGGATATTGCTACCTGTCGTATAAAATGATTTGTCTGGTCTTTGTCCTGGGTTCCTGGCAAGGGAGGTTCTAAAACCCTTGGAATTTCTGGAGGGGCAGCTGTGCCTTTTTATGCTAATGAGGCAACTCAAGGTGGACCCCTGTGCTGACCGCCACCCTTATCCAATGCCATCTTGGGAAGGAAGACGGGAGGGAGCCCGCAGGAGAAGAGAGAAATGGCCCATAGCATACATGAATGTTGAACTGACTACCCCAAAAGGATCAAGCTAACTTGAGACTGGCTAACACCAGAGAAATTTAGGTTTCCTCAATAGAAACAGGAATTTAAAAACAACCTAAAAGCCTTTTTCTTTTCTCTCTTATTTTTTTCTTTTTAATTGAGCTGTGTTGAAAATTGTGATCCTTCTCATTTAGAACAACATTACAAATTAAAAAAAAAAACAACAAGTTAAAATCTTCCAACTAAACAGATTGTCTAAAGGACACTGTGGGAATTTTTAGCATACTATGATTATAAAATAAAACCTGTTTGTGATGAAACCATAATAAAATTTTTAAAGAAAGTGGCCATATCATATCACTTAACTTCACCCCAATTTTTCTGAGACAGAGGCTACTACTTAGTCACCAAAATCTAATTTTGCTGGGCTCACAGCCAGACCAGGGTTCCCGTCTTCCTCACCGCTCGGGTGGCCGCAGGACTGTTTCTAGCCAATGGGATCCACCCACTGAACTCCACAGCCACCACTCCCTGCTGTCTCCCCACCTCCGGCTCACCGGGGCGGGATGTCGAGACTGGCAGAGGCTCTGTCAGCCTGGATCTTTGAAAGGCCACGTGGAGGGCAGCTGTCCCCGCCAACCGGGAATGCCCACTATGGACCTCAATGTGGGAAAGAAAATTCGACTTATTTTTCTGAATGGGCCCATGAGTAGGGCATGTGCAGGCTCATCTGTTGCAGCAGCGAACTTTATCCCAGGCTACACTCATACGTCGGCCTGTGCAATTTCAAATGGACAATCCATGGGCACTTGTTTGCACACAGAAGACCCAAGTCCTAACAGGAGGCGGCTTACTCACTAGCCAGGAAACCAGGCATGTTGGCAACGACCGAGAAAGCTCGGAACGAGGGTGTGAGCTGTGAGAGGACAGGCAGAGTACGAGATCCAGTGGGAACTGCAGGGAGGGTTCACCTGTGGAGGCATCACAGGAGCGGCGGCGACGGAGCGGGGCGTGAAGAAGGAGGAGAGTTCAAAAGAAAGAGGACGGGAGAGAGTTCATTCCGGGCTGCACGTGAGTCCTCAGACATTTTACCCAGTGGGATGTGATGCTAAAAAGAGAAAACACTGCCCTGGCCGGTTTGGCTCAACGGTTAGAGCGTCGGCCTGCGGTCCGGAGAGACCCGGGTTCGGTTCCCGCTAAGGGCACGTACCTCGGTTGCAGTTTGTCCCCGGCCCTGGTTGGGTCGTGTGGGTGGCAGCCACTCGATGTGTCGCTTTCACGTCGATGTTTCTCTCTCTCTCCCTCTCACTCTATCTGAACAAAATATTGAAAAATGTCCTCGGGTGAGGATAAAAAAAAAAAAAAGAGAGAGAAAACATTGTTCTGTTCACCCCAGGGAACAGAACCCAGGCCAGTGAGGAGCAGCTACAGGGAAAGAGGATTCTGTTCAAAATGAGGGAGAGCTGGAGGGGCCATGCCGACGAGAAGGGGAGTGTTTCCATCGGGGACAGCCAGCCTCTTGGCGTGGGCTCTGCAGACAGTGTGACTTAAGCACAGGACGGGTAGCTGCTCCATTCAGCTGCCTTCCAACCCTGGGATCCCATGTATCTTCGGTGCGTCTGCCAAGCAGGCTTTGGACAACATTGCCAGGGAAAAGAAGAATTACTGTAGCCCGGTTACAGCATTTCTTACACGATGGTCCTTGCCAAATTCCCTCTCAAGCCTCTGTTGGCTGAGTTCGCTCAGCGTGTTCAGTCTTAAGCCAGTCCAGAACATCTCTTCATGTGCAGGCCCATGACAACCCCATGGATAGAGTTTTATTATCAGAAAAGCTTAATAGGCTAATATTAAACAGGACTGCTCCTGGTGAACAAGAAAGCAAATGACAGTAAGCATCTATTTGGAACGCCCAGGCCGCGGGGCAGGCTGCCTTAGTTAGCAGCAAGCTACCAGCTCACGCGAATGATGGACATCCAGTTCTCAAAAGCCGGGATCCCAAAAGAAATGACTACAATAAAGCTGTACGAAGAACAGTTTTGTCCTTCTTGGGTGACTAGGTATCTTGCAATGTACCTTAGGTTGAAAATGATGAACACCAATTTCACTGTATAGTTTTGTAATACAAACTGGTTTTCCATTTAGAGATGTGTATGTTACTGATAAAATGAAGTCTACTAGATACACCAGAAAGAGAAATGTTATCCTACCATTACTGATAAATTAGTAACTTGCCACTTTCCTCTTGTAAGGCTATCATTTCACTTCGCAAACATTCACTGAGTACTATGGCCTAAGCCTGTGCTAACCATTAGTGATAGAAACTGAATGAAAGAGAGAAAAAATGAGGTATTCTAAATCTGTAAACTTTCTGAGATTCATAATGTTATTTTTCTTAAGAGTATTTTTTGATGATTATTTTTAAAAATGAAAAGTTCAGCTATATTCTTACCCAATAAACTAGGTTATTTTGCTTGTACTATCTGAAGATTATATATGTATAAAGATTGATTTTAAAATGTTGGCCTAGATTAATGACTCATCTCCTGTAATAGTGCTCCCGGTACTTAATTCACTGCTTAAATAAAAAGAGAAAGGGAATAGATTCCCCTGAGCTCAGAAATAATTATTAAACAGACACAAATCTCTTCACATTATAGAATGAATCTTAGTTATACAGCTACAACCTCACAATAGTGAAACAAAAGAAATCCATAAAACCGTATTCTGAGGCCACCAGAATATTTGGACACTTCGGCGAAACAATCACAGAAAAGTCACATTTCAGCCACTGTCCAACCATAAACATGAGCAATGTTTTCTCAGTCTCTTCTTTTCCGAATACCACAGACTGCAATCTTTTAGAAATTTAGATCGTCTCTCTCATCATACAACGTCCTGAGTAAATCACATCTCAAGTGGTTGCTAAGACCTGTCTGCCGTTGATACCCCATCTCAAAATGCTTCCCATCGCCTTCCTACCCACCCACCTACTTGGACCTGGGTCCTAAAATCCATGTTCTACAAACCTTGGAAACTGTATTCCCTTTTGCTAAAATGAACAACTAACAACAGCCTCTATTTTGTTTGGTTTTCACCCAGCTGTGTCGCCATTTCCAGCACACGTTTACTGGCCCTGCCTGGGATGCATGTCCCAGACTGCTCTGTCTGGTACCAGTCTGCACCCACTACGGGGAAGGAGGGCCCAACCCTCAAACGGAAGGTCCACAGTGGTCTTGGCATTCACACACGCAGCTCCTAGGAGCTTTTTGACACTTTTGGGCTTCCCAAGGAACTTCTGGGATTTGATTCCTTAGTCAGAATAAAAAATCAACCTTTTCCAAACCAGGGGTAAAAAAAAAAAACCAAACTAAAGAAAAACATTTCTAAGCATCAGTGGCTGCAGTCCCAGGCCCCAGTCTGAGTCTGCAACAGACAGAACAGATCAAAGAGAAAGTGAACATATGAATACAACCAGCACTCACTGGCTCTGTTATTTCTAGCCAGCTGTGTGATCCCACATAGTCACTTAACCTCTCTGAGCCTCAACTGCTTTGTCCATAAAACCAAGAGAGTACAAAGGCACCTTCTGGCTCCAATGGAATAATAACAAGGCGTTAGAAGACTCCTGTCCCTGAACCATCTCTGCAAGGCCTTGGAAAAGTAAAACTCCGATTACGGACCAGGAAATGAGGGGGATCAACTGAAAACATCCCTAAGTCCCTCTTCCACATTTTGATTCTGACTCTGAGAGAGTGAGGCATAACCAGGCAATTAATTAGTCATAAAACATTAGTGGGCCTCAAAAGGCTGGTAATCCTGTGCTTACAGTGGCCAACTCTACTCTAGCCCAAACCGTCTTCATCATATTTCATGGTACTGCCTTGAAATGCAGATGATTCCGTGGCAACGGCGCAATGACTTTATGGTCGACAGCCATTTCCCCCTTTCCCCGGCAACTTCTGCCCCTCCAAGATCCCGCGTTGGGCCCCGATCCCTCCAGACCAACATAAACCACGTGTGGAGGGCAGTGAAGACAGCCACACCTACCCGCAGCCACTGCTTCTCCGTGAGGGCGTCGCTGTAGTCCACGTCCCGGCGCTGGCGAGAGCCCCTACCGAAGATCTTCTCCTCCTCCTCCTCACACGTAAGCCTTTCCACCTCGGCGTCATCTTTGATGATCCAGGAAGGCAGCTCGTCCTCCTCCATCAGGCGAGGCTTGCGCTTTGGGTTCCGGGCATCCTCCCTCCGCCGGTCCATGTCCATGCGCTGGAGACAGGAACGCAAGCGTCACCAGGGGGAAGGGGATTCTGCGCAGTCAAGGCTGGACCGCAAGTCTGACTTGCACAGGTCGCCTCCTACCGCTGTGGGGCCCTTGTCAGCTTGTCCCATGGGGACTCTCTTCTGGATGCTCTAGTGCCAGGGGTTCTCCACCTTCCTGATGCCGCGACCCTTTCATACAGTTCATGTTGTGGTGACCCCCAACCATAAAATTATTTTCGTTGCTACTTCATAACTGTAATTTTGCTACTGTTATGTCTTAGGCGACCCTTGTGAAAGGGTCGTTGGACCCCCCAAAGGGGTCGCAACCCACAGGTTGAGAACTGCTGCGTCTAGCCCATCCCTAAACAGTGTCCGGGCAGAGAAATTGCAGGGTGTGAAATCTCTTCCCGTCCTCTGTACCCACTGCTACAATATATGGATGCATTTAAAAAATAATCTTTAAAAATTCCCTTTTTTTGGTCTCTATGTGTGCAAAGCTTCCCCTTACATAACAATGAGAAGATCCAAAGTGGGGATGTATTTTTTAAAATATGGGCCCTGGAGATACAATTCATTGCTTTCCTGACTTAACAGTATTCTTCGAGTATATATATATATATATATATATATATATATATATATATTAAAAAGTTCATTAAGAAAATTTCTTTTTTTAACTCTACAGGGCTCATGCGTTTGATTAAACAATCAGGAAATAAAATCAGCATCTCAAGTGTCACCATCCGAGTAGCCAACAACCTCTGTTGAACTTGGACATACGGGCACATAAATGGTTTGATTAGTCAGCTGGCCATGAATGTACTGAATGTTCAGTAGACCCTGGGCTCTGTGAGAGGAATAGCCCTCATTCTTTAGCTTTTAAAAAGTTTAGCTCTTATGAAAATAGTATACCACAGGGAAAAAGACCTCAGAGGTAATCTCATCTCAACTGATCAAGTTATTAGAGAAATGGCTCCCATTCGCATTCTTTCAAAGCCTTCAAAATGCCTATTTCCCCATGCCTTGTGCACTTGTAAATAATTAACTGCCACATATATAGCTTTAACTTATAACTAAACAATTTGATAGCTGAAAAAAAGCAAATAAAACCTCCACTGAGTTGTAACATACATTCGTTATATATATATCACTAGCTGATATATGATTTCCACAACTGAATAGACCATAAACTATCAAATGATTTACCTTTTCCCTCTTTCTTGCTTCGATTCAATATACTTCTTTTATAAGAGCTAAAACTGGTAACAGAATAGAAATGAAATGTCTATTCACATCCAAATTTGAACTCTAGAATCTATTTAAAAATTAAAGTTCAAACTCCCTTAAACTATACTTAAACGTTTTTGAAAATCACTATAGTCCCAAGATGGGTAGGCTTGGAGCATGGAGTCCCATTGGTAGATAAATGCGGGCATTCTGTCATGTGCTATAGTTAGCGGGACAGGCTGTTCGTAACGCTGCCTTCTAATGCTCTAGTACAGAGGTTCTCAACATGTGAGTCATGACCCCTTCGGGGTCAAACGACCCTTTCACAGGGGTCACCTAAAACCATCGGAAAACACATTTCCGATGTCTTAGGAACTGAAACACGGCTCCTCTATCCGTCTCCAGGCCGACCCGCCCACATGCAGATACACCCACATACAACACGAGGAACTGTATGAAAGGGTCGCGGCATTAGGAGGGATCAGAAATGGGATCCACCAAACTTTTATTAGTACACAGAGGATGCCTTGTTAACAGTGCGATCTAAAGAGGGGCCTCTCTTGAGGTAATCTCTTAATAGTTATTAGATGGCTAAGAAGAAAAACATTTTTTCTTGTTAATGTGCTGCAATGAGATGACAAAAGGTTGCCACTTCAAGTGTGTGGTCAGGCCACTACCACTATCTATACCCAGACCTGAAAAGTAACATGTGCTTTTGTCCACAACTGAAAAAATAAATGTTTGCTGATGTAAAGAAAATAAATTACATTTGTTTTTTGTTTGTTTGTTTGTTTTTTCTTTTAGGAAGGGTTGATGTAATTTTTAATCAGCTTCAAGTTCTGATGTCTGTATTTCTTCCCAGAGATTTCTACTTGCAGAATACTGGCACAAAATTAGAAGCTGACATTCAAGGAAGTCTGATTTATTATTCAGATATTACATGTTTGTTCTAAAACCCCATAATAAACCTTATGCTCACAAGTGCAAATATTTTTAAAAGTACTTCTTGCCTTTGTGAGAACTTTTTCTGACGTCACATTTTTAGAAAACAAGAAAAATGTTCAAGAGAAAGGTTTTATTTTCAAGAGACTTATCTGTTTAATGTATTACTTAACTACTGTGTCTATGATCAAAAAAGGTTTGTATTCATTTTACAGAGAACTAACTCTTTAATGATAGCGGTAAAGAGTTTAAATATTGAAATCCAAATCTAGCTCACATTCCATTCTTGTTTCTCACTGAACTTTTTAATCGGAGTGGCTGGCAAGGATTCAAATTTGATTTCCTGCCCCCTGGTGGAGGTGCTAATGAACAGTGAATTGGCCAAAGGCAGCTAGCTGATTACCAGACTTTGAAAAACACTCAATGGAATATACAGATGTTGAATTATGAAGTTGTACACCTGAGATTTATATAACATTATTGACCAATGTAAACAAAAACAAAAACAAAAAACAAAAACAAAAAAACAAATAAAAGGACACACCAAATTAAAAATATGTAGAATTCAAAAATGAGAAGTCAACCTTTAAAGAATGAGCAGAACGTTCACAAAATCAAAATGCCCACAAAGAAAGTGTTCCTTCACCACCTTCACCAGTCCCAAGCCCGTTAACAGACCCCACACTAAAAGCAAGCTGTGCCTTGGTCAGACATTCCAGGTTTATTCGCCCTGAAGCTTTCCATTTCTACAAATACCCAGCCCAAAAACAAGGAGAGAGAAGTACTCTGCCCCTTCTTTGGGGGCTGCTGATGGACAAAGCTCCATTTCTGGACCTAATCTCATGTGTATGAAGGCAGGCTGCCATCCTTTCCAGGGTCTCGGGAGCATGTGGGGCTGGAGCGGGGCGCGTTACTGCCCATCAGTGATCAGCCAGGGAAGCGAGGGCCGCCTGCCTCGGTGTTCCCCAGTGGTCTACATTTTACCGAGTTCCTCAAGGAGAGAAAAGGTGTCTATTTCCTGCGTATATCTCTACTCTCCCTAAATAGATGAACTATGTATAAAGGTGGTGACCAGCAACAGGAGTTAAGAAACTTAGGTTGTATGAGCACCCGGTGTTGACCAGGCTGTTCAAGTCCTTTTTGTGTCAAGTTCTCTTCAAAATGGCCTCACCTGGGCAGGGTGGTTCCTTTAGAAGGGGAAAATATAGGCACATCCCATGTTAGGATTTCGTTCCTATGGCTACCTCAACGTTTCCCGAGAAAGAGTGAAATGTCTTTCATCTTGAATCATTATGTGTGGACATGATCATTGTTCCCTAGACAAAAATCACCAGATCACAAAGATAGCCTCCACACGGCTAGAGTGCCCTTCCCCGGCTGTCTAGGCTAACGAGGCGGAGGCTGCAAACCCTGTGGGTCATATTTGGCCCACGGTCCTGTTTTGTTTGGCCTGCAGTTATATAATAATAAAAAAACTTAAATTTAGTTGCAAACATTTTGAAATCTAGAGATTGCATATAAAAGCCCAGATTTCCAGCTTCTCTTGAACAGTTGGAATTTCTAGCTACATGGGGTTTGCAGCTCTGTGCTCTGAGACAAAGCAGCTCCAGTTTACCACTGTCCGCCCACCCAGTCCACTTGCTTCGCTTATGCAAATCACTTGTCTGAGACCCGAGGGCATTCAAACTTCGGACTTCCGATTTTGGGGTTCTGCAGCATTCAAACGCCAGAGTGACAGTTTATATTGATTCACTCACTCCACAATCAGGCTGAATGTCGTAAAGATGGAAGTTGCCGAGGGAGTCTCGCAACTATGCACATCCTGACCCATACTGACGTCTTCACAAGGCCTGCAATTTTGCAAATACCACCACTCATGCAATAAATATCTATCAAACAACCACCATGTGCTGTTTTTGAGCACTGAAGACGCAGCGGTAAATAAAATTGCTATAGCAAATGCACTAGAACGCAGTAAAAGATTACTTCTGAGAACCTCTCCCTCGTGGCCAGGGGCTTGCTCCCACACACACTGATCTTGTGGCAGGCTCCACAAATACATCAAATTCACGTGTCCGCAAAATTACAGGACTGCGAATCCTGAATCGTCAAGGTCGAAACCACGACTGTTAAACCCTCAAATGTCATGGTGCTTTTATATCACCTTTGTACCAGTAAAGTCCAACCAATTTTGATCTTTAAATGGAGGCCACACCTTGATGGGTATCTGGGAGGTTCCTACTTGCATCAGCAGACTCCTTTCAACAATAAGAGATATGACCTGTTGGTCTAGTTGCTGTCCACCCACCCCCACAGGGAGCGTGTTTGTTTTTATCCAGTACGGACACAGCGGGGGAAGAGTTGTAAACCCTGCCCGAGGAGCAGGCTAGGTTTTCCTGAATGATGCTGCCCCCATCAGACATGACCTGGGTTGGGAAGGGGTCTGTGGTGAGCTTAGTCCACATGGTCTGCCTGGATGGTACAGCTGCCACTCAGTTCCAGTCCACTGTTCCCATATGGAGATGTGGGCCTGGTATTGCCCACTCTCATTTTTTAAGAGAAGCCAGAAATCAGGATTCTTTCTGTGTTGGCAACAAGTTCAAAATTTTAAAAAACACTGCGTGGGCCAAACAAAATATGTCTGCAGGCTAAATCCAGCCAGTGTGCAGCCTGTGAACTGAAGGAGAGGCACGGGCTTCAGAAACGCAGCTCTGCCCGCGCACGCCGGCCCCGGACATCGTGTGTTCACAGAAAAAAGGGCAGAGGAATAAGGCATGTATTTCCATGATTTTCTATAATATTACCATAAAAAGATCAAATTCTTCTTCTCGCCGAGCGATCATCTGGTTCAGAGTCTCATCGTCCGGTACTTCATCTTCTTCCTGGGGTTAAGAAACAGAATGATTGGACAGGCTTTAAGAGAGAGGCTGGATGACGGGAGTGAGGTGTAGAAGGGGGCAGGGGAGAACCTGTCCTCCAGGCTCTAGGGGTCCTCTGTCTCAAGCCAGAAAGAAAAGAGAGGGGTCACTGGGTGTAGTATTTGCCATTAGTATTTTCCAAGTTATCAAACCATCTTCTCAGAGCAGTATCTGTCTAGGCTGGACTATAAGAAATACTGGCTCTCTTCAGTGTGTATCTTAATCCCCTTACTTTTGAAACAAATTACTTAATGTCTTCCCGCGTCAATGACGTCATCTGTGAAAGGGTGTGACATTACATCACAGAGAAGATGTAAGATTTAAATAAGGAAAGCCACATGAAAAAGTGCCTGACATGAATTCTTTTAACTCTATTAATTGTATCCCAAATATAAGTGCTTATTTTCAGAGCCTTACAAAAACCATGTTTTTTGTGACTAGGCACAGTGCAAGACCATTAAAATCATATATATCATATATATGGCAAATACCCTTAAGTGATTTCAGTAGGCCTTATGCTAACAGCGAGATTTGTGGATATGACAACTCAGTAACAAAACCCCTATAAAATGATACTTAATTAAAACAATTGAAATGAAGTAGAAAAAGAAATTATTTAAGGGCTAACATCTTCATTCTGTATTATGTTAGTCCAAGGAACATGATCTCTCTGCAAATTCTTCAGAAACCAAAAGTTCTCAAGTGTTTAGAAATGTTATGCTACGACTTCTGCACTTTCAGAACAATGATTCTAAAAGTTGGGCATATCCTATGGAACTTAACCATACACAGTTATTTTTATCGCAGGCTGAGTGCGCTTGTTAAAATCCAAATGGGGAATGTTACTGTATCAGCAGAGGGAAGAAAGAGGAAAACCCAGAACTTTATACATCCAATTTCTTATAAAGAGGCAATCTGGTCTAGAAAGAGTCTAAGTGTACCAACAGCTTAAATGAGATGACTGTCGGTTCCCAAGGCAACAGTTTGTGCACTGTGTTAGAAATGAGTGCAATTCAATCCAGTAAAAAACTGATGTAAAAAAATCATCTATTCTAGTTTATCTTTAGATTGATTAAAGTCAATTTGTCTACAGATTCCGTTTCCTCTGACAGAGACACGGACAAGCTGAGGGTGGGCTGGGACTTCAGTGCAGAGAATCTGGTTCACGTAGCCTCTGGTGAAGAGGTGACCTGCTCTGCTCCCTCCATTCGTAGAACCACACTAGCTTCCCATTGCCTGTGAATGGGGCTTGGACTTTCCCCATGACCAAAATGAAAAGATTCTCCTGTAAACTGGCAAGAAGCCTGCCCACAGTGGCCTGACCTTCACAGACAACAAACTCAATGGGAAGTGGGCAATAAATCTGCCTGGGTTCTTAGTGCCCTAGTAATTCACGCCTGTTGATGGCAGAGATGGCAGCCCATGCTGCCTCAGATACTCAGGACCAGAGCCCTTGCCTGCAGTCTATTAGTGTCCCCAGACATCTTCATATCAGGACACAGGCCACTCAGAGAATGATGTCTGACACGTTGATCACCTGGCAGGGGTGTGGAGCCCCAGCAGGCTGCGCACAGAGAAGCATGTGGCATTGGATCCCACTGCCGGCTCCACCTGGCGGCCCCCCTCAATAGCTCCCTGCAAAGCTCCAGGCTCATGTGCATCCTACCTAACCAGGTCAGGTACTATCTTCACAGGCTGGGAAAGTTCATCCTACAGATGAACTGAAGCGTTGTGATCTCTGATAAAGAGGCAAGAGGCAGTGAGTTGTGGAGGATGGCAGAGGGAAAGACAAGGAGGCCCCTCCCAGCCTGGTCTTGTCTCAGCAGCTGGGTCTGTCCCTGACAGTGTGCTCTGCAGTCTCTGCACCTGCCCTGCAGAAAGCAGCACTTACAGTACAACGAGCGTGCTGGCTGCACCTCCCGGGAGAAACCTCGGAAACATCTACTGGCCAAGCCTTGAGGTCCCCATAGCAACAGCTTTTAAGACACTCTTGGAAAACTTTCAGAGGCATTCTGTGCTGGGGATGTAAGATAGCAGCTAATTTATTCATTTTAATTGACGCCAGCCCAGGAAATTCTTTAAAGAACCAAGAGGTTACTCTTAATCTTCTGAGACAAAGGTCACTGATTTCATGAAGTTGGCTTTCTAGAATACCTCATTCTCCTCCTCATGCTCCAGGATGGCCTGCAGGAATGCCCTCCGCTCGTGGCTTGATGACTTCTGGTCGAACATGCCTGCCTGGATCACCTTCTGGTCCACGTTGAGCTTGTACTTGGCCGCTGCCAGGATCTTTTCCTCCACGCTGTTCACAGTGCAGAGTCTCAGCACCCGGACCTCGTTCTGCTGGCCGATGCGGTGAGCCCGGTCCTGTGCCTGCAGGTCCTGCGGAGAGACAGTACCCCGTGAGGCCCACGAGCCTGCATAAGCCGAGCAAGCAAGTTGCCCACCAGGGGGAGATACGGGAGGGTTATTTAAATCTATCTTTACTAATGTCAGATTTTGCTTACATTAAAAAAAATATACACACTATGTTCTTTGGAACAATTCAAGGTCATCATTCCTAGCTGAGGGAACTTAGGTTCAAATTAACCAACTGAAATAACCACAGGTTTTGAAATCCAGGTCGAAAGCTGTTTTTATCTGTCCCTGGGTTCACCGTAAGAATTAATCCCTAACTAAAAACAAAACCAAACAACAATAAATTTGATGTTACCTACAACTAACCTTAAGTTGCAGGAAACACCTTCCCTTTGGTGTAAGGCGTTAAATATGATTTTTGAAAACATCACTGTACATACATTATATACACAGTGATTGCTCGTGTAGCAAATTTCCTGGGATCTCATTCCGTCAAAGATTTGATCACTAGTTGGTGGAGTGAAAAGCACTGTTAGCAGAGCAGTAAACTGGTTCTACCTTTGGGTAAACTTTTTGAGGACAGAAGATTGGCACTGTGTGTCAAAAGTTTTAAAATCGGGGATGGCCCCTGAGCCAGAGATTTCACTTCTGGAAATCTGGCCTAAGGAAATAATCACATAATCATGGATAAGCAGCAAAGCTCTACAAATAAGGATGTACCTCTCAGCGTTACATATTACTTGTAATATTTTTTAAAAAGCAGACTTAAGGAACCATTCAATAATAACAAATTGATTAAATCGGTATGTATGTACCAACATAGTACCATAAAACTTATATTGTAGAAGATTTAATGACACAGAGCTCTAAGTGAAAACTTATATATGAAAACAAGTTAAATATGAGTAGTATATATATTACGACCCTATGTGTACAAATTTATACCAAGAAAAGGCAGGAAGGACAAATACCTCCAAGCCAATTAATGTTTATATCTCCAATAAGATTATAGGTGTTACTAAATTTTCTTCATTTTACTTTCACGTAGTTTACCAAATTTTTCTGTCTTAAACATCTATTAGTCTTCTAATAAGAAAAAGTTTTTTTTGTTTTAAATCCTCACCCGAAGATATTTTTCCATTTCTCTTCAGATAGAGTGGGAGGAAGGAGGGGAGAGGGGGGAGTAAGGAGAGAGAGAAACATCAATATGAGAGAGACACATCGACTGGTTGCCTCCCACATGACCCCAACTGGGGCCGGGGACTGAACCGCAACTGAGGTACGTGCCCTTGACCGGAATCGAACCTGAGACTCTTTGGTCCGTGGGCTGAGCCAAACTGGTCAGGGCTAAATAAAATCTTTAAATAAAAACCTTAATACACCTATGAAGCAGTTACTAATTTTAAGGCTACACAATAAAAACTCGGTTTATCAGTTTCATTCACTCTGGTCCAGGTGATGGTCTCTGGGGCATGCTAATTAGTTGTTTCATTGTGTCCCCCATTAGGCCCGTATACATTTTGGGGGCAAAGGTCTGGCCCCTGTGTCCTGCGGGACTAGCACTGATTTTGCACAGAGCTGATGCTCCATGGTTGAAAGCCCATCCTTTTGACCGGAGGCGTTTCCCATCACCCATACGGCACAAGGAGACCACAGGCCAAAGTCTGCCCAGGAGATCTGTCTTTGCTGCAGGGACCTTTACAATCAAATGATTAATTAGGCAAACGTTTTTCCTCAGAATATCTGAATAAGTTAATATAAATATTGGACAGCTGAACCATGAACACAGCTGGGACTCATCCAAAATAGATTATTTTCCAAAGAGGAGAAAGTGAGGTGGATAATTAAAACCCAAAACGGGGGAGGGGGGCTGAACTTCATTTTCAAGCCTTTAGTTCAATCATCTCTCTCAATACATTGTCCCCAGAGCAGCTAATCAGGAGTCAAGATGGCAAGTTTTATGTCATCAACCTCTGACTGTCTCCTAGAACAGGGGTCAGAAACCATTTCTACCACGGGCCCAGGAGTGACTAGCCCAGGCTGTCTGGGCTGGAGCCAACACTGGGCAACTGTTCTCGCCAAAAGGCTGATACATATATTCTTTTCAGTTTTACTTTTATATTTTAAAATGTGAAAATCATTCTGTTTGCAGGTCGTACAAGCACACATGGCGGCCAGACTCAGCCCGTGGGTCATGGTTTTGACCCGTCCTAGAAGAAGCTGATAAACCACACAAATAGATGCAGGTGGCCGCGGAACTGGGCAGGTGAGGAAGCAGAGGGTGTGGACATCCACAGACGGCGTAATGCGTTCTGACGTCCTCAGGCGCTTGTTGCAATTACAGTTCTCGAACATAATTCGTTCCAGGAGGACGGTCGAGAACCGAATTGTTCGAGAACCGAAGCAATGAAACCAACAGGAAATAATGGAAACTGGATTAATTCGTTCCAAGCCCCAGAAAATGCCTATTTACTGGCCTAATTTGTATATAATATGTAGAAAAACATAAGTCTCAACAAGAAATAAAAGTGTACAGTATGTCTAAGGGTTAAATTCAGTGTAAAGCGTGACTCTCTCCACAAAGCGTGACTCTCTCTCTGCACTCACACTGATGACGCGAGCAAGGCGCGCTGGGCCGAATGAACGCCATTCGGCTCAACTCGGCTCATCTCGGAAGTTCGAGTTCCAAATATTTGTTCGGATTCCGAGACAAAAGTTTCTCGAATCTCCTGGTCGAATACCGATTTGGTCGAAATCCGAGGCGTTTGAGAACTGAGGTATCACTGTAGTTTGGTGTGTGTGTGTGTGTGATGGTGGCAATGGTGTTTCTTTGTGTTTAAGGCCATCTATCAATTTGGAAAGTACCAAACATTAATATTATCTAGGCCGAAGTTTATGCAGCGTAAGCCTGTGAGTCCCTACGCCAAAATGCCAGGGGTGGTTAATGAGACAAGGAAGCCAGTGCTGTCATCACTGAATGGATGATTCAGTATTTCTGGGGTCTCAGTGGTCTGATATTTCATCACGATGATCTGGGTGTGATTATATCTGAAGACAAAAACAGCCCGAGAAGAGGGCCTGCAAGGCGCCTTTGTGGCTGACCATTCTGTAGCAACAACACAGCTCCAGTCCCATGGGTTAAACATAAAAGCACCAACCCATGTTTCCAATCAACAGTTGGAAATGAAAGTCTTGGTAACCCTGAGGGCTTTTATTGCTAATTCCACATTCCCGTTCTCTCTTTGCTCCTAGGGCCTCCAATGAACTTGAAGGTGTCCATCTTTAACCTGTCCACCTATGTCAAACTAACTCCTTGTTTCATCAGTATGCCTTGATTTTGAATCAACATAATAAAGAATAATTGCAACATTTTTTTTAAATGTATACAGAAGCCAACAAGGTAACAAAACAAAAAAAGCTGCACAACTTTCACTGTGGGAGCTATGCAATATTTACGCAGAGGTATAGGGTCGAAAAAGCTGGAAGTCGGCATTCAAACCCAAACTCAGACAGACATGCTATGAACTTGGCTGTGGTCCTGGACAGGTTAATGTTGACAGGTTTCCTTTTGTGTAAAATATTTTGAGGATTACCTGAAATAAGCTCTGCTAAGTGCCTCACAGTACCTGGTCGAGTTGTTGCTTAATAGAAGTTAGTTCTTACCTTTCTTGTCTGTAGATTCTACATGGGTGGGAAGCACCTTCAATATTGGGGGTGGGCAGCAGAGAATGGGAAGCAGGCATGTGTGCTTTTTAAAAGGCTCCCTCTTAATTCTCATGCACCTTGGAACCCCACCTTCCTGCCACAAACAACTGCCATAAGCCTTTCCCACCCAATCGTCACAGTGACCCAACGAGACAGTATTATTCTGCATATTTACCACTGAGGAAACTAAGATGCGGGCAGGAGCCCAGGTTAAGCTGATGTCGAATTCCTATTCATATGTTAGAGCTACGGTGTCCTTTTTACTATTTTGAATTAACATGTGTTCCAATATGTATCAAACCTGATGAATATCATCCACCCAATAGTTTATAGGCAGGTGCACAACCTCCTAGCATAATTTAGGAACCCACTGCCACAAGGGACCCATCCCATTGTTTTTTATTAATCATCAAAGGACTCCTTTAAAAGGGTAACTCTAGCCTGGCCGGTGTGGCTCAGTGGTTGAGCGTTGACCCATGCACCAGGAAGTTGCCGGTTCGATTCCCGGTCCGGGCACATGCCCAGACTGTGGGCCCAATCCCCAGTGGGGGGCATGCAGAAGGTGGCCAATCAGTGTTCTCTCTCATTGATGTTTCTATCTCTCTCTCTAAAAATCAATAAAGAAAATAAATAAATAAAAGAGTAACTCTAAAGCTACTGGCTAAAAGAACTTCATAGCAGATGCTCCACAGAACATGTTTTGAGGATGACTTTAGGCAAAACACACAGAATATAAATTTAACTATCATATACTCTTTGTTTGACCTTGAGGAAGTTACCTAAAGCTTCCTGGGGCTCATTTTTCTTGGCTGTAGAGAAGCGAACGGTGACAGTAACAGCCTCAAGGGCTGTCGTGAAAAGTGAATGGAGCCGTGCCCAGGAAAAGAGGCCGGCACAGAGGAAGGGGCCAATCAAAGTGAGTTGCTAGTGTTGTTGTTTTTAGTTTGAAACAGTTTTTGATTTATCCTTCACCAAACGTACTTTGCTCAGTGGCAATCCCAGGAAATGAGGTTTAACATTACACAGAAACTAAGTATTTCTACCCTAAGCTTGAGCCCATTTAAGGTATGAAGACGATCCCAATCCGCTCCATGGGAGATAAAACAACAGCCATGATAACGTGCTGGGCTATTTTTCCTTTGCAAACGTGACCCACTTGTGTAGAAATTGCTCTGCCCCATCAAGGGGAATGCCGAAACTGCTGATCTTTCAGTTCCTCTCCAGGGGGAGCCTGGGCACCTAAGTCGGAGACATGCAGACCTGGTGAGGGTTCCAGTCGCTGTCGAAGATGACCACGGTGTCAGCGGCCTGGAGATTTAAGCCCAGGCCTCCAGCTCTCGTGCTCAGCAGGAAGATGAAATACTGGGACCCAGGTTCGTTGAATTTCTTCAATAAAGCAGCACGATCTTCAGACTTGGTGGTGCCTGAGGGGATAAAAAAAATAAATTTGCCAATTAACTCCTGTCTGAGAATGGCACAGAGCTGGCTAGACAAAAAGGCCTGCTTCCTGGAGAAATATACTCAGATGCCTCTTAGCGTTGGCGACGTAATTCCCCAAGGTTTTTGTATGTTTCAAAGGAACTTTGAACATTTTGCAATTTTAAAAAAATTAGAGAGATAGAAAGAGACTTTTCGCAAATCAAGGGAGAAATCCTTTGTGCCGGGCCAGAGTGGCCCAGTTACTTGGAGCATCGTCCCGTGCACCAAAGTGTTGCTTGTTCAGTTTGAGACAGGGCACAGACCTGGGTTGCAGGTTCAATCCCAGTCGGGGTGCGTACAGAAGGCAACGGATTGATGTTTCTCTCTCTCCCTTCCTCTCTCTAAGCATGTCCTCAGGTGACGATTTAAAAAAAAAAAAAAAGGAATGCTTTTTCTATTATTCATGGTTCCAAAATGCTGAAAGAGTTTAAACACTTTGGACTCGGCACCTTTGCAACTTGATGGTTTGTACAACATTCTTATGCTAACCTAAAACTCAATGAAAACATTTTCTGCATGTGTTTCTGTGCTTGACAACACCAAGTATTTCTAAACACACGCACACATACACACAAACACATGCATACACAGCAAAACATGATTATTATGATGGCTTAAAGCAACTCTGTTGATATGCATTAGTGTGAGGTCCTGTTTATACCAAGAGAATGGAAAGAAAAGGAAAATCGATGTCTACTCCACTTTACATTTGGACTGCTTGCTATTGAGCACAATCTGGCTGGTCAACACATAAAATGTGCATGGAGTATTTTTATCCTTGCTAGCAAGGCTTGAAGCCACAATGATTAAAAGGAAAGAAAAAAGGCATCGCTCAGTCTGTTTCTCATGTGGACACTCTGCTCCGTGGCGTTCAAAGGGCGCCAAGCGAAACCAGCCAGGGCAGCACCTGACGGCTCGCCCCGTGGAGTCTGAAGAGATGCCAAACCAGTGAAGAGCAGACAGAACCAACCACGGACGATGGTGCTCACTTTTCGGATGTCAAGGCACCCACACGTGTGTCCCCAGTCACCCGCTCAGTCACATACCATGGATTTGCACTGCAGTGTGGAAGGGGTAAAACCCTACCAGAGTCTACCTGACCATACGTGTTTCACCAGAAAAGTGTAACTGTAGAGTTTCTGAAAAAGGCTTGAGGCTATTGGGAAATATATATGCATGTTACATGATAGTCCCTGCCTGCCTGCTATACAAACATTATTTCTACATGGTGCTCTTTTTTAAAGGATGAAAACATACTAGCAATTTATTTCAGAGGATTAAAACAGTTAAGTGACTACAGCTAATGGAATCAAGTTACTATGAGGGTCAAGTTCCCAAATATGGGGGGATCTGTTTTTCATATTAATAAAAATAATAAGTAGCCTCCTGAGGAGGGAAAAAGAATCAATTCCTTACATACAGCAGATGTGGCTTTGGGGGTCTCTCATTTAATGAAGCAACATTCTTTAAAGCTCATTTTACTTTCTAAATTAGATTTCAAGTTTTGTGACCTGGTCAAATTCTACAGCAGTGAATTGTAAGAATTCGGAATTTGGGGGAGAAGCACACAATGTGCTGTGTTGAATGAGGTTTCGAACATGTGTGGGGCTGGTTCTTTTATTCAGAGCTGCCCTTCTGAGCAGGGGGACTGTTTGTCCACGATGCCCCAGAAGGTCTGTTCTGTCATGAAACCTTTCCGTACCATCATCTTTGCAGCTGCAGTAAGTTTTGAAAAATTACTCACATGAAGTAATGGTTCCCATATTTATCCTCTGCCTTAAACTAAATAAAAAGTCACAGAAACAAACAAACAAAGAAAAAGCTTCTAAAACACAAAACGATTTCCCAGAGATCATTATCTGGTTTTGGACAGCAGAGTACAAAAATTGTGCACCTATATACTCAGGGTACAGGTTCAGTTTTGATCCAATGAAAAATAATCAGTGAATAGTCACATGCATTAAGATTAATTAGTAGAGTCCTGCCCGGGTGGCTCAGTTGGCTGGAGCATCGTCCTGTATACCAAAAGGTTGCGGATTCGATTCCCAGTGGGGGTGTGTATGGGAGGCAACTAATTAATGTTTCTCTTTCACACTGATGTTTCTTTCTTCCTCTCTCTCTAAAATCAATAAAGTCATATCCTCGGGTGAGGACTAAGAAAAAAAATTAATTAGTGGATATGTTTACTTGGGATGCAATGACCCTAATGCAAAATAAAGCTTTGAAAAATAAAAGGAATATCAAAATTATTTGGTCAAAGGAGTTTTCAGACCCCACGACAAACGCCTCAAGCACACAGACTGCCCATATGTCTGGTTTGTATTTAAGCCATATAAATAGCTGGGAACTTGACAGATTATAAAGCCACGGGAAAATATGATTAAATCACTTTTCATGCAAAGCTATGGCATTTTTTATTACAACGTTCAGAATTCGCAGCATTTCCATTTCCATTAGTCAAAGGTTTCCCAAGTCAAGATCTTTGCTGATCATCAGCAATCTTTGGGATATTGCTCAGGGAGATTCAAACTACCTTGTCAGGATTTATCCACAGGCAAATAAATGCTCCTTGTAGGTGGCACAGGATTTAATGTGCACCCGGTTCGTATTCCCCTGGACCTTGATGTAGAACATCACCAAGAATACAATTAATAGCAAGGGCAATTGTGTTGAGAACTGCAGAATTTGCCGAAAGGAACACACTGCCAGGCTTTCAAGATTACTAATTTTAACTGAGTGTCAAATGCTTTTGGAAAATTTTGTCTTCTAGGATGTAACTTCTCCACTTGCTTTCACTCAAAAATCATTTCCAGTGCAAACAAAGACTATAATGAAATAGTAGTTAAATCTATGCACGTAACTGCAATTTTTGCAGAAAACTCTGCTTAGCTGTCATCAAGTGGTGTTTTTTTTTTTTTTTTAAATTTCTTTCCTGAGGTCAAAAACCAGAGACATCAAATTTGGCAATGAAAAACTGAAGTCATCTGAACAATTGGGTTAAGGGGGGTGGTGGATGAAGTCGTGTATTTGGAAGTATGTGTACTAATTTATCCATGTGTATACTGACTGTTTGCCCACTGTTCTCTCCTCCCCCCAAAACAAATGGCTGCTATTTCTTGTGGGTAGAAGTCTGTGGCTGTCTCAGTTCCATCTGTAACACTTGATGGAACTTGCTTACTTGTCTCCTCCAACCTAACGGTCAGGGCTCTGACAGCAGGAACAGTGAGAGGCTCATTCATCTTATATCTCTGGTGCCTGATCATTTTCAATCAGTTGATCAATTAAATTTTTTTTTTTATTAAGTTCACAATCAACCTTCAAATGCTGTCGCTAGGGCAGCAGCCTAGATTTTCAAAAATTTCAGAAATGGGCTGTATCTCGCTGGATCAGCTAAAGCAGCTCATTTGGAGGCAGAGAGAGCTAAGTTAGAAGCTGGTTTCACCATGTGCTTCATGTGTAACCTTTGGCAAGTTAACGCCTCTCTCTAAAACCTTTGTTTTCTCATCTGTTAAACGGGGATCACATTAGTACCTTGATAAACCGGAGCCGAGTAGCTTGTTGGCTGAGAAAATGTAATAATGCTCATGATGTGATTTACCTGGCACCCCGCCTGGGGTAGGCATTCCGTCAACCTCAGCTCTTATGACTGTTATTAGTAACAACAATAAGGACAGCCACCAACAGACTGTTCCAGATGCTCTCTGACACTGGTGAGAGAACAGGAGTGAGGTCTGTTCCAAGGAAATCACCTGTCCACAGACCTCAGCGCTCCAGGCTTGCTATGCGCAGAGAGCTGAGATCCAGAGCAGACGGCCACAGGGCGGTAACAACAGTTCTGTGGTACACCTGGGGGGGGGGGGGCTGTACGTCCAGGGGAACACAGGGTTGGGCTGCCCCCCTGTGCAGCAGTGGGAGGGTTTGCCTGCAGATGAGGAGGGCTGGGGAGGGGACCTCTCCCCCAGAGAGGGAGGGAAGGCTCGGCTCAGGGGACGAGACAACGCAGGAGCTTTGCCAAAAGAGGAAGACTACGGATGAGTCAACTGTGTCCTGAATTCAAAATTAACATTTACTTAACCATTCATCTGTTTTCAGTGATTTTGGAGGAGGTAAAAAGATTTTTAAAAATTAAGTCTGTCAGAGGTAGAATTAATCCTACCCTCGTCCCAAATACCCTAAGAGGTATATCAGAAAGAGAATTCACTTAAAAATTCAAGCACAGCAAGTCTGAGGTTTGGTATATATCCAGCTACATGTAATTTATAGCATAAAGGGGGATAAAATGTTGGATTGGAAATAAAGCATAACCTTTCAATGAAACATAAACTAAGTTAACATTTAACAATAACTTGTATACTGCGCCAGATAAAAAATGGTATTAGTAATACTGTACTCTTCTGTATCCAGGAATTCAGTACCAGCCTGTAAATTAGCTGTTTCCACTTACCACTCTTTGAAAGTGTTATTCTCTGCCATAGTATGAAAATTTTAATATCTTTCTTCTCTAAAGTATTAGGGCTGATATCAAAATCATATATCCCTAAATTCATACTTTCTTCCATTCACATTATCTTACTAATTTTTTAGGACATGGTATTTCAATTTCACTCTTAACATCACGTAATATTTTCCATTGTTTGCAAAACCCAGGAAACAATGAAGCCTTATCTCTTTAAAAAATTTTTTTCCTTTATTGATTTTAGAGAGAGAAAAAAAGAGAGGGAGAGAGAGAGAAAAAAACATTGATAAGAGAGACCACTGATGGGAGAGAACATTGATTGGTCACCTCCTGCATGCCCCCTCACTGGGGATCAGGCCCGCAACCTGGGCATGTGCCTTGACCAGGAATCGAACTGGCGACCTCTTGCTGCCTGGGTTGACACTCAACTACTGAGCCACAATGGCTGGGCTCTCTCTTAATGTAACATATAGATACGTTCTGCTTAGAAAAACAGAAGCTTTAATGATAATTAAATGTAATCTTCAATGAACTATTACAATATTACTGAAAAAAGAAGACAGCCTTTATCCCCTTAAAACATGCCTTTAACACAAAAAGCTAACAGCTTATCAGAATATTCTATATGGGGCATAGGAAACAGATAATCCTAAGAGCAAGGCAGGTTCTTATATTTAATTTTATTTCAGTTTAGTTTAAATGTGGTACTCTAGTCCACTTAGTTTGGCTTATATGTGGAATGAACAGCTGTGCAAGTGATTTCAGCTTATTTTAAGCTTGAGGGTATAAAAATTGCTATCTGGAAAAGCTGCACCTCACCCTTAGTTAATTCTTCAACAACTGCACCCCTCCCTCCGCTGAGACTGGATCTCAGTGCCCCTCGCCCCCGGACTCAGTAGCACGGCCACTCACCGTCGAGGCGCAGGTAAAGGAAGTTCCGAAAAGCAAAGTAATCCTCCATGATGGTCATGAGAGACGTCATCTGGCAGAAAAGCAGCACGCGGTGATTAGTCGCTCTCAACTTTGGCAGAATACGATCAAGTAGCTCAAACTTTCCTGAGGCCCGATACAGCTCAGCCCTGAACCCAAAAATGCAAAATAAGAAGACAGTATTACTGCTGTCTTCTTGCAGGATCCAGCACAACTCTGCTCTTCACAGAATGCCTTGTGCACAGTGAACAATAAATAACTGTGGAATGAATGAATGCATATTCATTCCAAAGCAGTGAGAGTATTTAATGGAAAAATAAAATATAGCTATGCACAACTCATAAAGAGTGCATTATATATGCTACACACACACATATGTTTATGTTGTATTTCCTTAAATCCCTACTTATTAAGTATATAAAATTGTTAAGTTAGGGTACTTAAGAGTCATTCAAGTACTTATTGAGCACCTACTAGGTGCCAAGCCCAATGTTAGGCAGGTGTATAGTGATAAGCAAAACAGAATCCCTGCCTTCGACATGGGTAATTACAAACTGTGACAAATACTAAAAAGGCAGCAAGTTGCTATGAGAACTGAGAGCAGAGTCGGGCAGACTTGGGTCCTGGCCTGCGGCTGTGTTTGTAAATCAAGTTTTACTGGGACACAGCCGAGCTTGCTCACTTCTGTTTTGTCTGTGGCTGCTTTCGCGCTGCAGGGGCCCACAAAGGCGGACATGTTTGAGTTCTGGCCCTTCAGAAACAACGTTTGCCGGCCACTGGTTTCGAGGGCCAGGGGTGACCTCACTGAAGAGAGAACGGTTTAGCGAACACTTAAAAGAAAGAGCAAAAGGTAGCGAGGGGAAGAATGGAGGTTTGGGAGTGGAGAGGACAAGACATCAGGATGGAAAGAACATGCACAAAGACCCGGGGGAGGAAAAAAGAGCCTGGTGAGTCTGCGGAACCGAAAAATGGGGGGTGTGGTCTAAGCCTAAATGAGCGGGAAATACCGGGAGATGAGAGCAGACCTGAGGGTGGAATGGGGCAGAGTCTGCAGGACTGTTCACTGTTCTGTCCGCCAGAGCTCAATGGAAAGCGCTGACGGGTTCAATAGGGGAGTAACATGTTTTGTTTTTTAATTAAATTTATTGGGGTGACACTGGTTAATAGGGTCATACAGGTTTCAGATGTACATTTCTATGATACATGACCTATGTACTGCATTGTGCGATCACCGCCCAAAGTCACATCATCTTCTGTCACCATGTATTTGGTGACATATCTTTTTATGAGATCACTGTGTACGCTGTTGGAATGGACTGGGGAGCGGGCAAGAGTCCTGGCTCATGTAGAAGTTCAAGTCCAGTATATGGTGACGTGTGCTGCCCTCAGATGGAGAAGAGTGTCAGTCAGCTAGAGTAGGGCCTTTTCCTCCACAATCAACCACTTTTCTCTCTTATCAACGAGGATGTGTTGTATGCTATATTATTAAACTTTATTGCGGGATTGGAATTGTTGGGAAAACTTGCCAGCGCATGCATGATATGCGTTCTGTAACACTGAAATGTGTTCTAACAGGCACATTTTCTTTTTTTGTTTTATCCTCACCCGAGGACATTTTGTTCAGATAGAGTGGGAGGGAGAGAGAGAGAGAGAAACATCGACGTGAAAGGGACACATCGAGTGGCTGCCACCCACACGACCCATTCAGGGCCGGGGACAAACTGCAACCGAGGTACGTGCCCTTAGCGGGAACCGAACCCGGGTCTCTCCGGACCGCAGGCCAACGCTCTAACTGCTGAGCAAAACCGGTCAGGGCAACAGGTATATTTTCAACTGCAGGTCTTCCCAGGGCCCCTCCACTTCTCTGAGAACTGTCCTCCAAACAGCCCTCGTGGCCATGACTTCAATATTCAACCCTGGCCGATCGGATGGCGTCAGGAGTGACCACAGGACCCAGAGGAAGGGGAGGCAGGAGAGCTCAGCGCACTGGTCCTGGATGGGTGTCAGTTCCTGGCGACATGGTCTGCCCTGAGGACCCAGAATAACTCCTGTGCGCTAATACATTTTCCCTGGTGCAGCGAGCACAACAGAGACCTCCTGCTAACAGGTTCTTTCTTGTTGTTGCAACGCATGCTTCTCTTCAATGTCCACTGCTAATGAAAAATGTTTCTTATAGAGACCATATTCTCACAAATTACTGTGAAGTCATACATATTTATAGCAGATGAGACAGTCTACTCCTGCACGTTAATATTAAATATCAACTGGAAATTTAATATGATAAATCCTCCTTGAGCCTCAGCTACACTACTGGTTATAAATAACAACCCTTTGAAGCTTCCACAACATTTTTAGAACTAGGATACTATTAAGTCTATTAAATGAGATCTGTGTCTTTTGAATAGCCACTTACTTGGCATGTGGTAATTTATGCCAGTAAAGTAAGGAGATGCTGATATCATTTTGGTTAACAACTTCTGCAGGCTCTGCTGAGGACAAAGGAGGGTGGGGAGGCTGGCTGTGTGTATTTGTATGATAAAAAAACACTAGAGAGAGAAAAGTTGAGGTTGGACCAACAAACTATTTTTTGGAAGAAAAATTTTTTAAGATTTACCCATTGATGACCCCATTTGAATAGCCCAGGTGTTCAGCAAAGGATTCCTTTAAAAGAGAGAGAAAAAGAACATGATTTAAAAAATAAAACAGATATGTAATTATCAACTTAATGATTACTCTTTTAGTGAGGTCATCCTATCTATTTCTAGAGTATAATTAAACAAAATGGTGAATAAGAAATATCTGTTATAAGATGAAGCAGAAATTCAATGTCTTTGAATTTAGACTTTTGTTCTGCCAAGAACGTATATCCTGTGAGGTTTTGAAGGTCTGTAGCCTCTCGTGCTGAGATGACAGGGTTAGTTCATTCATCAAACAGTGATTAAACATCTACTGGCCCAGGGCTGAGCGAGGCCGGTCCTGGGGATCCGGAATCAATGAAATATCTACCCCCAAGGAGCATAGAGTCTAGACTGGAGGAAGAGCTTAATATAAGCAAATCAGGACTCACGTGCACATAAATATACTGCAAAAATATTTCACGGTAAAAGTAATGGTGATCATATACTGTATTTTAAATCTTAGTGTAGTGAAATCCCAACATCCCTTCCACACCGTCCTTTTCTTTCTCTATTACAAATAAGGCCCTAGATGTATAGCACTCGCTCAGGGGTCCAGCTTTCACTTTTAAAATACAGAACTTAATCCCATACGCCCTCCCCATGACTCTGTGGGAGGGGCGCCTGACCGCTCTCCCTGTGATCTTCCCCTTCCTACTTAAGGAAAGGGAGACATCTGTGGGGAAGGGGAGGAAGTCACACCTTCACATTAGCCACCAGCTGTCTCCCTTTTCTGTTTCCCGTCCCTCCACGGTCACTGAAGCTTTCCTTCCAAGGGACCAGATCTTTCCCTCTGGGCTCTCCTCTCCACATGCTCATCACTATGGTAGCCCCCCACCCCAATGCTGCCTGCAAGGACCACAGCCTGAAATCCCGCTCCAAGAACCGTGCCTTCTCTCTCCACAGGCGGCCATTCCTTAGTGATTTTTAGGTTCTAACCCTACCTCTAAGCAGGGCTGTAAAAACCAGAGAGCGATGTGCCAGAAAAGGTTTGGAATCAGCATCAGTTTAAAAAGACTGTTTTCCTTTCCCTGGTTTGAAGGCCCCCGGGAGGCGGCGAGCCAGCCGGACTGAGACACTGGGCTTCTGGTATGACTTAGTGTGAACCAGGGTTGTGTAGCAAACACAACAAAGACAAGGGCGAAATGCACACACCATCTCTGATCCGTAACTGGGATGCATTAGCCAGTGACTGACTCCCATCTCTAGGAATAGGCTCCTGAAGGGCTTTTTTATGTTAGAACATTGCAAGTCAAGTCTGTTTTCCTACTGACTGCCACTGAGAATGTAACCGTGCATGGAGGAGGGCTCGTCCCTTAACCGCAGCTCCTCTGACGGCCGCCCTGCCCCTCCACTCTCCCAGGTGCTGCAGACACACTGGAGGAGAGATGGTGTCATCCCCCTTGCTGACAGGCCTCGCATGTGTCAAAGGTTAAGTTTTGCATGACAACCAAAATGAGGTAAGACTGACACTTAATTTTCATCATCTGAATCCTCAAACACCGCTGTACAGCAGAGTAAATATCTTTAAATGGTCTGTAGGAAAAGGGAGATGGTAGGTGACAGGTTCGCCTGGTATGACCCCGTTTTCATCATTAGACATGTTTGGCTCTCCTCAGACCGAACATACAGCCCCACCACTAATTCTCTGACACCTTACATCTGTGTGACATGTTTCCCATTCACGAGATGCTTCCTGTGTTACTTGTTCTAAAGTCTGTCCTCGTCAGTCCTGCAGGCCTTCACCACTGATGACCAGCAAGCACACGGAAGCCTGGAGCGGCGGAGTGATGTGTACCAGGTCAGCACACGTCCACACGTTTCCTACATTGAGAGTTTCACCCCAGTAGGAACAATTTGAGTTACAAAGTGTCCTGGGGTACAGACTCACTGCACATTGAATTCTCCTTCCACTAGATGTCTAAATGTTTAAATAGCTGTGTTTGTTGGTGGAATAAAAAAAAGTGTGTTTTAATTTATTGATTTTAGAGAGAGAGAAGGGGAAGAGAAAGAGAGAGAGAGAGAAAAACTTCGATTTGTTGTTCCACTTATTTATGCCTTCACAGGTTGACTCCCGCATGTGCCCTGACCGGAGATTGAACCCAAAACCTTGGCATAGCTGGATGGCGCTCTAACCAACTAGTTACCTGGCCAAGGCGGTGAAACTTTTTTTAGTGTTGTTGCTGTTGCCACTTTAGCTAGATCTAGGGCTCTGTAGTCTCTGGATAGTCTAGACACTCCGCCCCACGGACGTGAAGGCTACAGCAGTAGCAGGAATCCTCCTCATTCCCACCACAGCTGGGACAGGGCTCAGTATGGGGAGAAGGCGAGCAATAAACACTCTTATTTGACAAGTGCAGTTACCAAACACAAGGGAGAAAAAAAGGACTGTCCAAATCAAGAATATTCAACCCCATTTTAATACTGTAATTATTAGCTCCATTTCCCAGAACCATCTAGGTATTTATTTATTTATTTAAAATCTATTATTTGAATTTTAGAGAGAGAGGGAGAGAAACATCGATGAGAGAAAAACACCGATCGGCTGCCTCCTGTATGCCCCCTGCCGGGGATAGAGCCTGCCACCAGGCATGGGCCCTGACAGGAACTGAACTGGCAACCTTTTGGTGCAAGGGGCAAAGCCCAAGCAACCAAGCCACACGGGCCAGGGCTAGGTATGTATTTTTTAGTAAACTGGTGCAGACAGGAGCCCGCAGGGACTCGCCCAGGCCCCTGCGCTTGTGCAGTGGGAAGCAGCTGATGCCGGCCGACAACAGCCACCAGGACCACGTGCATCGGCGGCGACACTGAAGAATGGAGACTATTGTGGCTCTTTTTCCTGCCTGCTCAAGTCAATTGTTTCTACTGGGGTGAAACTCTGTCCACTTAGGAAACTCATTCACATGTCATGAATAGGACAGAAAATGTTCTTGCCCCTAAAAACAGCTTCTTAGAAACCAGAGCGCCAGTTTAAAAGCCTGGATTTATACTGTTGTGATGGAAGCCAGGAAGGAAGAAGGACCCATCTAAGTAACAGACCAAGGTCTTTTACAGAGATGATATTTCTAGAACATCTTTCTCTTCAACAGGTATAAATACATTATTTTAATATTGTTCGCAGCATCCTTCTGAGAAAATGGGATGTATTTATCATTATCGTCGATTTCGGAGTGCCTACCGTGACAAGGCGATTCACAGTCCACACCCAAACCCACACAGTGAGCCGGAGCGTACAACGTGTTCTCACCACTAGACTCCTGGTTATAAAATCCCAGATGCTCGAGTGCTTGGTGCCCAAACGCACCCGTTCCCGAGAACTCACATTTGTTCATTCTGCCCGTTAAGCTATCAGACGGGCAGAATTGTTGTTTCAACATCGATACATGTTTTAACCCTAGTCTATTTTTTTATTAAAATTTTTTTAAAGTAATATTTGTAGGAATAGGACAGTCAGGATCAGGATCAAGACAGAGAATGCAGACCCACCTCGATGTGCTGAAACATGTAAGGATGATTGCAGATTTTCCTCAGCTGCATGATGGTGTTCATAAGGGTCTTGGCACCTCCTTTCCCCTACGAACAAGTGGAGAGAATCGGAACCGAACAAATTATTGACTGATCAGATATTTCCGATTTTTAAAAAGTGGGCTTCTATAGAAAGGGCAAAGGGCAACAGGTTTTGGTAACCTGCGCCTCTTGTGGTCCAACACTCTTGTTAAAATATAATGGTTTCTGGGTTAGAGGTAACACCTCTCTTGTGACTAACTTATCAACCAGGAAGGAATTATGTCAAGTTGACGGGTTCTGGGAAGACAGAGCACAGACTAGATGCCCAAGGAATGAAACTTCTAAAATGCCACCCGCTTTTAGGCAGAACATGTTTTCTGCAGAACTGACGGGAGCAGAGCTGACTATTTTGGTGACAGGAACTTACTCCTTTCTTCCTGCCCCAGTGCAGGTTATAGTCAAGAGGTTAAGAGATTTCCTTCGGCAGCTACAACAGCTACAAGAGAGACCCAGTAATTTGCTTTAACAAGTCAGCATTAGCAGGATGCTTCCCGGGAGAAGGTGATGTCTCGGTCACGAGAAGCCGCATGCACCGGGTTACGTCGTCCGCCACCCACCTTCTTATCTTTCTCAGAACCATCAGTGAGGAGGATCCCTTTGGCCTGCATGTGGCGATACAGAATCTTCTGCAGAGCTGACATGTCACACTTGATCACGTATTCAACCTGGAGAGCGGGAACAGTAAGTGGGTGAGAGGAGAGCAGGTGCCCGTCCTAAAGAGACTGCTGAGACATGGCTGCGGGTGACATCCAGGAGCCTGAAGGTGCCTGCCTCCCGACGGGGATTCCTGGAGGGGGGATGGGACGGGGGTGGAACAGACCAAGATCATCAAGGTATCGTTATGGTGGAGGGGCCTCCCGAGGTTACATGTAATTGTGGCCAGGGTCATGCTTTCAGGAATTTCTTGACTTGCTCCATATTTGAAAGAGAGAGTGGCTGGAAAACCGTTCAAATTCAAAGACGCGCCATATAGAGTACATTTTTAGTATTTCCTCTGATTCCCAACTAGACCCCCTTTTCACATGAACAGAACAGTTTCAGTGCCCTACGATTTTCTTCGTGAAATGTTTATCAGATGGTGATATGTGGCTCCTCCCAACACTAGTCCTAAAATGAGACTTACAACAGTCCCAGGTTGACTATCATTAACCCCGCCTTTGCGGGATGGACACTACCCAGTGAGGACAACAGGTGGAGAAGAACTAATCCACAGATGGGCTCAACTTGACGACCATCTAACGGAGGCAAGGCCCCTTGTGCCTGGACTTGAAATACTGCAAAAATTCCCATTTAAAGCGGTTACAGGGAATTCACGTGCCTGTGGGTTAGCACACACCCGTGACACTTCCAGCATGCTCCTGACGCATGAAATCTGCCTTGATTATTTCCGATGATTGTTTTTCTTTATTAAAGAAATCCCCAGAATACAAATGTGCAATTTTCACAATAAACATCAGATTAATGCCTAGAAATCTGCAGAATGTGATTAAAAGTAAATCAGCAAACTGCCTAATGTTTAATAAACTGATTAAAAATGATCGGGTTATTTTCAGCTCTGAGGGCCAGAGCGAGGTCACAGATGAAGAGAAGTTGAATATTCATTCAACTGTTGCTTTAGAAGAAACCTGTCAGACTCACTGGGACCACAATAAATAGCCTTTGCCACTCATTCTGATGCACCAAATCAGATTAGAAGCAGGCTGACTCTTAGCAGAAAACGTAGGATAAGCAGGTGACCTACCATGAACTTGTTTTATTTATTTATTTATTTATTTATTTATTTATTTATTTTAAATCCTCACCCGAGGACAATTTTTCCATGTATCTTCAGATAGAGTGGGAGGGAGAGAGAGAGAGAGAAACATCGATGTGAGACACATTGACTGGTTGCCTCTGGCATGACCCAACCACAGTTGGGGACCAAACTGCAACTAAGGTATGTGCCCTTGACCAGAATCGAACCTGCGACTCTTGGTCCGCGGACCAACACTAGCCGCTGGGCCAAACCAGCCAGGGCAACTAGTTTTAGTTTTGTTTTTTCAATTTTTTTTCTTCATGGATTTTAGAGAGAGAGGAAGGAAGATGGAGAGAGGGATAGAAACATAGATGAGAGAGAACATTGAGTAGCCGCCTCCTGCATGCCCCTCACTGGGGACTTGGCCCACAACCTGGGCATGTGCCCTGACTGGGAGTCGAACCGGTGACCTCTTGGTGCATGTGTCGACGCCCAACTAGTGAGCCACACCAGCCAGGCACGTGTTTTAGTTTTTATTGACCATTTTGGCCAGGTCAGGGAGAAAAAAATCTGCAAATTTAATAAATGAGGATGTACTTAATATCGGCTTTGTGTTTTAGAGGCCTGATCATGTCATATTTTTGAAGTACTTCCACTTCTTAAACAGCTATTAACTCTCAAGGAAATTTGATCATGGTGAAGAACAGTGTTAAACAACTTCAGACAAGTGTAATGACAAAAATGACATCAGGGTTCACATTACTGAGCTCTCTGTAGGGCCCCGTGCACACGTGCCGTATCTGCTGCTCTCATTTCACCCACGGGGCTCCGAGGCTCACATTTAGTGTCCACATTGTACAGATAAGGAGCCCGAGCATCAGAAAAGTTGAAGGGATTGACTCAAAATGATACAGCTAATTAATGGTGCTGTTAGGACTGGCAAGAGTCCATTCTATTAAACTCGATGCTAAGGATGACCGAGCGGCCGTTCAGGCTTCTGAGTTCTGCCCTGATGTTCACCTCCTCCTGGGCCTCACGGCTGCAAGAGATGGCTGATGCTTGTGTGTAAGTGCACTACGGCGCACAGATGCAGAATTCGAGACAGAACCCTCACCCCCCTTCCCATCAGTTAGCCACTGCTCAGTGCTGGAGGTGAGGAGTTTGGGAAGTAGGAGGCTTGATGATACCATGCAGACAGGGACTCCAGGCATCCCACCGGGGTCAAGTCAACAGAGAGGGGAGCCCATCCTGAGGACCGTGACCTTCCGACCTTCCTCCTTCATTGTCCTTAGGGGACACCAGAAGCTGGTTTGATAGACATGACCAAAATCACCGTCATAAGCTTCAAAACTATATTTGACATGTGCTCCTTGTACCTTCCCAAACAACTCTAAGTTATTTGTTGGGTTTTGTTTTTATTTTTTTGTTAATCCTCACCCAAAGATATTTTTCCATCGATTTTTAGGGTGGTAGGGATGGGGAGAGAGAGAGTTATTGATGTGAGAGAGACACACCGATTGGTTGTCTCCTGCACGACCCTGCCCTGACAGGGCCTGGGGATTGAACTTGCAACCCAGGTATGTGCCCTTGACCAGGAATCAAACCCACAACCCTTCGGTCTGAGAGCCAACACTCTAACCATTGAGCCAAACTGGCCAGAGCTGGTTGGTTTTTATTTTTTTATTTACTTATTTAGCTAGTTAATTAATTAATTTTTAAATTGAATTTATTGGGGCAACATTCTGTTCACAAAACCATACAGGTTTCAAGGGTAAGACTCAACAAAACATTATCTGCACACTGCATCCGGTGCCCATGGCCCAAAGCAAAGTCTCTCCGCCTCCATTCTCCCCACTTTGCACCTCCACCCTCACCCCACTGGTTCCTCCCTCTGGCTGTCAGCACACTGCGGTCTGTGTCTAGGTGTTTATATATATATATAGACATATATATATATATGGCTGTATTTTCCCTAATCTCTTCACCTTCTTTCATCTAACCAACCCCTTCCCTTCTGACAGCTGTCGGTCTATTGCACGTATCCATGTACCCATGGTGGTTGGTGATTGTGGAAGATCTTAAAAGAGCCCTCAAGGTAGAGCTGGATGAGAAAGGGAGCACTAAAACTAAAGAACTTTTCTCCAGGCCTTGGGGGTTTCCTAGTCTTAGGGCTTCCTTTCTCATCCTACTCTACCGTGAGGGCTTTTTAAAGATTTTCCACAATCATCCACTACATCCATCTGCCAAGGTCAATTTTCCCTTACAGTTCCCTCAAAGAAGTGGTTATTACGCTTTTTTCTGGATGACATTCCCTTATCAGGAAGACATGCTAAAGCAAATCGTCCCAATATGCCCCTATATGTATTCATGAATTACATGCATGCGGTAATGTTGTCTCAAGATACAAGTTAGGGTGTGGGTGAGTGTTAAAGGCAGTTGACTGCTGTCTATATTTCAAGGGGCCGACTCGATGACATCTCATTTTTTTTAGCCAATTCCAGTATGACTACACGATCGGGTGGCTCAGTGGTTCTCAACCTTCCTGATGCCGCCACCCTTTAATACAGTTCCTCACGTTATGACTACACGATCGGGTGGCTCAATGGTTCTCAACCTTCCTGATGCCGCCACCCTTTAATACAGTTCCTCACGTTGTGGTGACCCCCAGCCATAAAATTATTTTCGTTGCTACTTCATAACTGTAATTTTGCTACTGTTATGTCTTAGGCGACCCCTGGGAAAGGGTTGTTCGACCCCCAAAGGGGTCGCAACCCCAGAGGTTGAGAACCGCTGGTGTGGCTGATAAAAACCCACACCAGGAACAGGAGAGGCAGGACTGCATTTTTCTCATTGTTCACCTGTTCTTGTTTTCAAACTGCAGTCCTTTGCAGAATCTTGTTAAGTCCTTCCTCCATTCTGGGGCTGAGGGTATTTAGTTAAAATCAGATCATTCTAAATCCTTTCATCAGAGTACAGGGAAACCCACGATGCCTCGCAAAAGGAAGGACGGGAACCTGGCTGTGAGGATGAGTGGGCTTAGAGATGCCCTCAGGACAGGATCATTACCTCTGAGAAATCATATGCGAGTGAAAGATCAAACTGGCACCTACAAGGAGCCAAATCAGGTGACTGTATTGGCCCAGAGTCTCATCCCATCTAACCCTATAGAAGTCATCAAGTTTTAGTCATAGTTTCTGCCTAAATACTATTCTTCACTTATAATTTCCTTTCCAAAAGGATGTATTATTGGAACAATGAAACTAGACTACTGGGTGTGATATATTACCACTTTCTGAATTGAGATTTCCAAACAATAAGAGTAAATGTCTGACAAGTCCCAGGTTCTGCGATCTATAGTGTGAGAGAGGAACAAAGTAATGATTAATTATATGAAGCTTCCAAACTTTTATAGTATAACGAATATAAAAGTTGCCCATTTGAACAAAGCTTTTTGATTGTTTTAGAGAGATTATATAAAAATCGGGATCAATTTTGGGTAGGTCAACCTCTAGTTAATCTCAGACACTGAATACATGTTTTAGCATATTTAGCCATCAACAGATAGGTGGTAGCCAGTTAGACATGAACAGAGCAAGGACAATGGACCACATACAGGTCACCAGGGTAGAAAGCCCCAAGTGTCTAGCAATGGACAACTGTAGGGTAGGACTTCATCTTCTGGGTGACCTTTCCTCCCCTAGCATATCGCTGGTCATATGGCTTGGACACCCTGACCTTTAATTTCACTGGTCATGTGGTTTGGATGCCCTGACCGTTCCTCCCTGAAGATAACATCTAGGCCTCAGTTGTATTTCAGCTCCAGGCCCAGAAAAGCAGCAAAACCAGACAAGCAACACGGCTGACCTCAAAACCAGCTGTACAGAATAATGACCCCCTGACCTGGTACCAACCAATCAATCAGCAGAGACCCCAACTCTGAAAGCACGCACCCGGAAAGCTAATGAATATTCTATTGAGATCTTCCCCTGGAACCTCCCCTGAAATCTCTACCCTTAAAACCCTTAGGAGGAGGACCCAGCGCCCTCTCCCTCTGGGGAGCATGCCTCCACCTTTCCCTACCCCCTCCTCCCCCTCCCCCTCCTCCCTTGTCCCCTCCCTCCAACCCCTTCCCTCAGGCACAACACCTTTACCTTCCTCATTTCTAAGCTCCAAGGGCCTTTCCTTTGCCTCTGTAGCTTTTCCTAAGCCCATTTCTTCGATGAATTACTTCTTTTACCTCTGTGATTTCCTAAATAAATGTTCTCTGATACTCTGAGTCTTGACTCTGAATTCTTTCCCAGCCAGAACTCAGGTACCGAGGCTGCTGACCAGGGCCAGCTGACCCCTCCGGTCTAATGCCCAGTGCTTTCCTGCTGCCAACGGATACACAGCCAAGGGCAAGCAGAGTTGGTTCTTGATTATATGAGTTAACAAAGGAGAGAGTCGGCATAGACAACCTCAAATGAGAACTAAATCTAAAAAAACCACATTTATTTAGCTTAAGTTAGGTTTCATAATATCCCTTTTCTACGAATCGCCGTTCTTCCCTGAGTATGAAGCCAGCAGCTGCGTGGTGGTGTTGAGGGAGGTGGGGACAGTACGTTCCCTTGCTCATTAGGTGTTTCATTAGACTCATAAAAGTATTAAATACCCTTTGATTAAAACTGATTTTTATTAAATATTTATTAAAACGAATCTGTGTATAAATGAAGCAGAGCTGCATTTATCAAGCTGTGTTCACAGATGCTGCCGTTTCGTCGGAGGAAATGGAGATTCCTGAGGTGCCCCTAGCTGTACTAAGCAGGATTACTGGGGCAGATTGACATTTTGTATTTCTAAGAGTTTTTCTATCGGAAAACTCAACAATAAAAAAAAAAAAAAAATCCAATAAAAAATTAAAAAACGAGGCAAAGATTTGAGCAGCACTTCATCAAAGAAGACATACAAGGTCTGATTAAGCACATGAAGAGATGCCTACCATCATCACCAGGCATTAGAGGAATGTAAATTAAAGTCACACACCTGTTGAAATAGCTAAAAACACGGACACTACCGATGAGTAGATGAGAAAGCGGAGGAAATGGAACGCTCACACACAGCTGGGGCAGCTACAACAGTTCCAATAGTTTGGGACGCCGTTGGGAAATTTATCAAGTTACGTGTACATTTACCATATGACCAAGCAACCCCACTCCTAGGTATCTGCTCAAGTTAAATGAAAACCTATGTTCACAAAAATACCTCTACATAATGTTTATGGCAGATTTATCCATAATTGTCAAAAACTAGGAAAAACCCAAATGTCCCTCTCAACTAAATGGGTACAAGTATGGTGCATCCATATAACAGGATACTATTCAACAATAAAAATGAACCAACCATAGCCCAGTCGGTGTGGCTCAGTGGTTGAGCATCAACCCATGCACAAAGAGGTCACCGGTTTGATTCCCAGTCAGGGTACATGCCCAGGTTGTGGGCCAGATTCCCAGGGGGGGTTTGCAGGAGGCGGCCAATCGATGTTCTCTCTCATCGATATTTCTCTCTCTCCCTCTCCCTTTCTCTCTCTCTAAAACCAACAAAGGAAAAAAAATGTTTTAAATAAATGAACCAACTATTGATATGTGCAACAACTTAGATGCAATTCAATACACTGTGCTGAGTGAAAGAAACCAGATGCTGAAGGTCTGATGACATGCTGAGTCCGTTCACGTGGCATCGGGGAAAGGCAGAGCTGTAGGATGAACAGATCAGCGGCTGCGTGAGACGAAGGGTAGACGGAGGCTCTGGCTATAAAGCAGCAGCACCAGGGAATTTGGGCAGGGGACTGGGAAACGGAATTGCTCTGTATTTTGATGGTGGATGTGGGAAATGTAACTACGTGGTTTTCAAAACTTCTACAACTATATACTCAGAAGAGTAAACTTTATTACATGCAAATTAAAAAATAAAATTAAAAAACACTTCCCTAACTGATTCTTTTTCACAAAAACATTGGAGAATTATTGCTGTGGAGTTATTTATAGTTAGCCTTATCCTGCCATCAGCCACAATTCCTTCCTGGATTCTTTACCCAGGCTGAGAAAGATATACGCATTGTTTGTGGCTATAAGCAGATGATGGTAGAAGAAAACTCCTTAACTCCAAGGATGACACTTAAATGACCAATTTTTCCCTGGTTAAAAAAAATCTTCACGAGTGAGGAAAAGCAGAGAATAACCATGGCCATAAGACATCAATGAGGCCACATACGCACACGCAGCGATGCGTCCCGACTTGCTTGAAAGGTCTCTGGGGACAGACACATGGGAGGGCCACAGAAAGTGCAAGGATGAGAGAGCAGCGAGAAAGAAGCTGAAAGAAACAGGAAGGTAAACTCTCCATGAATAACAGAAACAGCAACACGAGCAGCTGTCACTCGCTGAGTGCTTGCCTCGTGCCTGCCTCGTGCCAGGCGTAGCGCCGAGTGCCACGCCCAGCCAGCCCTCACAACAACCCTATGAGGCGGGCGTTACTGATTTCCTAGTTCACTGATGAGAACCTTGGGACCCACTGGTTAGCTGACTGCCCAAGATCACAGTTAGTAAGAGACAGAGAATGCGGTGGGGACACTCGTCCACTCCGATGGCAGAACCTGTGATTTCCACTCCACCACTTACCTCAGGCAAAGAGAGCTTATCCATAGACAATATATCATATATGGGGTATTGAATGTACTTCAGATTAGAGTACAGGTGTGCTTTATATAGGAGACATACTCTTGAAGATCTAATCTTAATTTTTAAAAAAATGTATTCACATTCAGGAAGCTCTCTTGTGGAAAGAATGGTGAAAGAAATAGTAAAGAATTCCTTTGTGATATAAATGATCACCTCATAATCATGCTGCACGAGTTTGGATTTTTATATAATGGATTTTCTTAAAACGGGGCATACTTTCAACTTGGAATGCGTTTGTAAGAACCTATGTCTATTAGCCAGTCCTGTAACTAAGTAAACAACATTAAGAAGTTTTATGGAATGAATAAATAAAGGACGTCAGTTAGTTCTCTTTTATTTTATACCTCTTCTAATGAACAAAAAGGACAAATTAAAATCTTTACCACTCCACCACTATGCCTTGCAGGGTCTCAGTAACAGCAGGCTGGGGAGCAGCTCCAGGCAGACGAGACCACTGTTCCCACTGCCCAGTCTCTCTCTTCAGTAGCTAAGCTTCGTATTAAACAGAAAGGGGGGGACCCAAAGACACTAAGACCACAGGAAGTCAAAGAAGTATCAACAGCATTCAGTGCCCAAGATGCCTTCACGAGCACAATAAAACACTTAAATATTTGGGCGTTTGCTGGAATAAGCATGGTATCAAAACCATGTTTATTTCTAATTTTTCATCAACTGTTAAAGAATAGAGAACAAAATTCTCTCTCAGCAAACTGATCAACTTCATACGCTATCTGCCAACTCCCACTAACAAATGAACAGGAAGAAACAATCTGTCCAAAAAACAGAGTCGTTACACAGAAAAACACAATGATGCAAAATAACACATTTCAGAATTGGCTCATCTAAAGAGAAAGCTCAAATCAAAACAGCTCATGCTACAAATAATAGTATACGATGCCAAACAGTCTTTAGGAGAACAAAGCTTAAAACTCCAGTGCGTGTGGTTCCAAAATATGATCAGAAACATATTAAACTAATAACCAAATCCAACCAAAAAATGTGGAGCTGAGGGCTCAAAGACATTCTAAACCACTAAAAACTCAGTGTCCTAGAAGTAATCTGAAAAACACCCACTGAAATGAGCACAGGAACTTAATGCTGGTGGCGCGGGACAGAAGCCGTGCCCAAGATGAATTAGATGATGGGTCTGTAATTTGCAGAAACTCTATTTTTCACTTAACTATCAGAACAGTGACATCACAAGCATCAAATATGAAATACATTTGCGGCAAACTTGGCAAATGTTTACTAGGCCCGCTGATAATGATAAAAGTCCCAAACTCAAACCCTATCTGGCTCACAAACAGAACACTTCCATGGCTCCTTTAAGAATAAACTCAAATGAGGTTAGGTAACTTTAAAAAAAAAAACCACTAAAAGTAAAATGCAATGTTAAGTTCATGAATGTAATGCTAAGTGGAATAAGTTAAAGTGTAACGAGACGCAATGAATTTGGTAATTTTATAAAATTTGCCCAAAGCGTTTGCACACCAGGCTGAAAATGCCAAAATTTCCCTGCTCTTCTCTACACTAAATCCTCTAGCTTCTACCAAATAAATCAGTGCTGGATGGTATTTCCAAGATACCTGTAACTTAAATATAAGTCTGTTATAGTAGAAACATAATTTCAGGTGCAGGCACTTCAACCATACTGGCAGCAGAAAACAACCACAACTTTTGCATTTTGTAACATACCTTTTCTGGAAGCTGGGATTCCACTTCTTTCTTCAATCTCCTCAGTAAAAATGGTCTCAACACTTTATGGAGACGCCGGATGATCAATATAGTTTCTTCTTCATTCAAATCCACCTAAAAGAGAACCACAGATGACTTTGACTTTTTTTTTTTAAGGATGTTTCATATATTAACATTTTATGTTACATTTATTATTCATTTCAATATGTTTGAAATTTTATACATATTAATGCCAGGTTTACACCTGGCCATGTACACCTCAGAATGATCTCCCCACCTGCCTACCAGGTAGTAATCAAATAGCCTAATAAATGGGTGTTTGGCTAAAGGATGGGTTTGTGGAAAAGGGCTCATAAGCAACCCGTTTCATATCAGTACTATGAACAGCTCAGAATTTCATGGGGTATAACAGGCTATAAAGACTGACTGAAGCACTGACCGGCGTGGCTCAGTTGGCTGGCGCATCATCCCGTAGACCAAAAGGCTGCAGGTTCAATCCCCAGTTGTCGGGGCACGTACGGGATGCAACCATTGTTTCTCTCTCACATTGATTCTTTCTTTTTTTTTTTGGTTTGTTTGTTTTGTTTTTCTCTCTCTCCCCCTTCTTTTCTCGCTGAAATAGAAAAAAATATATATACCCTCGGGTGAGTATTAAAAACAACAACCCACATTTGGGCGGGGGTGGGGGGCCGGGGGGAGATTGACTGAAGACTGAGATAGAGCAAGAGTAGCCCTGGCTGGGTTGCTCAGTTAGTTAGAGCATCATGGTGATACCCCAAGGTTGTGGGTTCCATTCCCAGTCAGGGCGCAAACAAGAATCAACCAACGAAGGCATAAATAAGTGGAACAACAAATCGACCTCTCTCTCTCTCTCTCAAAGCAATGTGAAAGAAAAGATTATTGGAAAAAAAACAAAACAAAACACTAGTAGAGCGGCAACAGTTAACGTGTTCTTAAAGTGGGAGCATTAAGCTAGGCTCTTAACTTTGTCTCAGGTGCAGAAACATATCAAGGGAACCAGGCTTGTCCACGAAAATGCAAACAAGAGGAGGTCCGATTTACGCTGGCTGGTGTCTAAGCCCCGCTACCTTACTCTTCCTTTGTTCTGCCCTGGTCTTGTTCCAGCTCCAGTCCTCTTCATAAAATCCTCTGCTTTCTCTTTCGCCTCCCTCTATTAACCTATAGGGGGCAGAGCTGACTGACCCTACCTTATACAAATGGGCGAACCAAACATTTATTGACAAAAAGGAATTGCTCCTCAAAACTAAAGGGCTGGAGTTCCAACGTAAGTTTCCCTAAAGCATTCTTGGTGGCTTTTCATTCCTATAGTTAAGAATCATGAATCGAAAGGATGTGTACCCATTTCTTTTCATAGAATGGCTCAGGTCTTCCTTTCATACATGAGCTCTAAGGGAAGGTAGCCAGTGGAAGAAATGGTAGTAAGAAACTTGAAAATGGCTACTCTGGGATTTGAGGAGTATTTATGTAGAGCAAAACTGAGGCTCACATTAAAATCTGAAAAGATGTATACAGAAAATTAGTGTCAGCTAGTTTTACACACACACTCTTTATGTGGAAATAGTTCAAAGGGAAGCCCAAGTTTACAACAAAAGCATAGTTGTTTAAGGTTTATGTTCAGCTGGTTGAGTTGATCTGGTTAAACTGAGTCAGTAACCACCCCGACGCTCATCCTCCCCGTGGCCCACGGCAGTTAAGCATGTCACCATCAGGAAGGTTCTCCGGTGGCCTGGTTAACACACGGGTAGCAGACACAGGAGTTCGGACACCCTGCGCTTTACGAGGTCCGCTTTCTTCAGAGGGGCAGGCGCCCTGGAACGCGAGCGTGTGCACTCACGGGGCAGCTTCATACGGTCGGTGCCACTGCAGACCACCCTGTGGTTTGCTCTAATGCTCTGAGCTCTAGGTCCCTGCATTTCATTGCATTGCCAAGCAGTGAGAGAAAACAGAAGTTAGGCCAGTACCCTTTCTCCGGTCATGGCAAAAGGAGCGTTAAACCACTGTTCGAATGTGCTGCAGCTCTTGAAAATTGTGGGGAGGAGGAAGTTGAGGAGAGCCCAGAGTTCCGGGAGCTTATTCTGCAGTGGGGTCCCAGTCAACAGGATCCTTCTGGGGGCCACATAGTGCGTGTTCAAGACCTGAGTCAGCTTGCAGTGGTGATTCTTCATCCGGTGGCCTTCATCCACGATCATGTATTTCCACCGAATCTGTGCCACAAGAAGAAGGACCAACATGTGGTGAGCAAGGGAAAATACAACTGTTTCCAACAGGCAAGTGGTGAAGTGGAAAACCAAAGAATGCATACTCGGTGCAAGATATGGTGGGATTCTCCTTGGGACAGAAGAATCTCAAGAGTCGACAGCCCATACCTGAGAGATCATACAATACTGCATCATGTAACAGTGCCAAGTTAAAGCAACAATGTCCCTTAGGGGCCATGTAATTCCAAACCACCCTTTAACAAAGGAGACAGGCCCAGAACAGAATGGTTAAAAGCCAGCAGCAGCTCCTGCGTCTCCCCATCCAGTACTCCCTGTCAATGCTATCACATGATGGCCAGCCCAGGCCTAATAACGGCCATGCTCCCTCCGCTCCTAGCAGGTACAGAACATAGCTCTCCACCTGAAGCAGAAGTTAGTGCCTGATTTTTCCACCATTACCTATAGCTGAGATACTATCGCTTCGTGCCTTCTTTTCCATTACGATGGCTGACAACGACCTTCAGGGCTTGGCTCAGTGTTCTTTATTTTTAAATTTGAACTAGTGGCTAACATTTAAAAGTTGGTATCTTTCAAAAATATATTTACAATCTGGACATCCAGCTTCCTTAAGAAAAACAAAACAAAACGGGAAGATCTGGCAACCTAGACATATTTCTTACCTGCCAGGCCTAGGGTCCCTGCTTTAAGATACGGTAAATGAGCCCGGCCGGTGTGGCTCAGTGGGGAGCGTCGACCCATGCACCAAGAGGCTGCCGGTTCGATTCCCGGTCAGGACACATGCACAGGTTGTGGGTCCGATCCCCAGTGGGGGGCATGCAGGAGGCGACCAATCGATATTCTCTCTCATTGATGTTTCTATCTCTCTCTCCCTGTCCCTTCCTCTCTCTCTCAAATCAACAAAGAATATTTAAAAAAAGAAGATGGAAAACGAAAGGACAGTCTCAATGGCAGAGGGGGCACTGCTAAAATATCATCCCTCTGTTTGTGCCCAACCTTCGGAATTAAACACAATATACTCCCCCCACATGACTATCACTTCAAAAGTAAAGAATGACCATATGATGCAATCCTCCTTCCTAGGTCTACAAATAGTCCCTTTCCTCTCTCATATTTTACCCTTGAGCCCCCTTCAAGGTCATCGCTTTCCATTTCTTAAAGTGAGAACAACGAGGAATGCTCCTCTAAGCCTATCCATTCCCTACAGAACAGAGGCGAAGGCCAAGAAAAGCATCTGGTGCTCAGATGTCCCTGGCCCCTGCCGCAGAGCTCCAGGAGAGAGGAGGGAGGGCGCAGAGTATGCCGGTCCTCCCGGCCAGGTCGGGGGAAACACAAAATCACCACTCAGGCTGGGGTGCTCAGGTAAAAGAAGCTACCAGAGGTTTTGTGTGTTTTTCCTCTCTGCCCCTTCTAAGAAAAGTGTTTAAGAATCACCGAAGTTATATGATCAGCTGTCCCAAACTTACCAAGGGCATGAAAAGAGACCAGCCGGTAAAATGTATTTAAATAAATATTCTAAATCTATTTTCCTGCCACATTTGGCTTATGAATAAAAAAACAAGGAAGCAGAAGCCTTAGGTTTTGCTATTGGGTGTCTAGTCCTAATTAGGTCTTCCACTTGGAAAAACATTGCTGCCCTGTTCTGTATCTCCATTTCTCCAGGAGCAAATAAAAGCAATACATCTCGTTAACAGGCATCTCCAATGAATTCTGAAATATGGATGTAGAGAACACGGTATGAATTTGTTTTCAAGGATCTCCAATGTATAAACACATTCTCACAGTAATATAGAGAACACATAATTTCTGACACTGCCAAATTCATCTCTGAATACGAGGAATTGGACATGCATTGTTGCCAGTGCCAACTCAATGATTAAACCTCCCCTGGGAACACGCTTCCTTTAAGTTCTTTCCTGTGATGCCATGAAGGGAACACACAGTTCCCAGAGCAAAGGTTTAGTGCAGAGATAGAACGAGCCCCAGAAACGGGGATTCTGTTCAATTCTGGTTGTAACTTGGTTTCAGATTATAGTGCTTTCAAAACACCACAGGGCAAAAGAGATTACTTAAAAAAAAAAAAAAAATTAAGTCTTCGTATTTGCCTCATGAAAGAAACTACTTCCATCCTTCTGCATGAACATATTAGGAGGCAAGATGATATTAATGGGGAAAAAATTATATTTCATGGCTAAAGGACAACTTAGCACAAATTAGGAGACATGTAGGTTGCAGGTAGAAAACCACTCTTTCCCAGCTCCAAATAGTCACAGAAACAGCCCAGAGTAATTCAAACAATAATAACCCATTATTTTACCAGAAAAAAACCTAAAACAGGGATAGCAGGAAAGCCACAGCTCAGAACGATGTTCACAGGGAGAAGACCATACGGAGAGGTGCCTGCTCGTCCTTGGAGAGACAAAGGCACAAGAGGGATGAAGTTCCGCTGATGACAACGACCCAGGGCAGCAGAAACAAGGATTGCTTCCTCGGGCACTGTCAGGGCTGCTGGGGAGAAAGCTGCAGAACGAACCCAGGTGAACTTTTTGTCATTGTCCATCCGTACCCGAGGAGATCTTTTCCATTGGTGTTTTTAGATAGAGTGAAAAGGAGGAAGGGAGGGGGAGGCGGGGAGAGGTGGGGAGAGAGAGAGAGACATCGATGTGGGAGAGACACATTGATTAGTTGCCTCCCGTCAGGGTCCTGACTGAGGCTGGGGATCAAACTTGCAACCCAGGTATGTGCTCTTGATTGGAAATCGAACCCGCGACCCTTCGGTGCTAGGACTGACGCTCTAACCACTGAACCACACAGGCCAGGGCCCAGGTGAACTTTTTAAAGAGATGTAAGCTCATTAACTAAGAGAGGACAGGTCAGAGCCCCAGAATCAATGGCATGCACCAAAAATGTAAAATAAAAATAAAATGCATAAAAGTAAAACCCATGACCAAAATATAACATCTGACTAAAAAATCAAAATGAGTGAGAGAGAGAGAGAAGCCATTTAACAATCAAATTATACTAGTGAGTATAATTTGGGGAATACTTTACGCTCCAGTACGATTGTCCATAATTAGAGAGAAATTTTTAAAAACATACCTTTGCAAGAATGTGCTTGTCTTTTATAATGTACTCATAAGTAGTCAAGAGGACGTTGAATTTGCCACTCCGCAGCTGGGGGACAAGGGAGCGCCGCATAGCTGGGGTGCCCTGAATAGAAAGAAAGAAAAAAAATATATTACCCAATGGAAGTACACGTGTGTTATTTCTCACTATTCAGAGCTTAATGGAGCCCAGACCCGCAACTACAGATTGCACATATATGCATTATTATATACAGATGCATTATCCATGAAGAAAGTGCTCGGCAAAATCGCACCGGTCTGGACACTTTTCCAACTCTTATAGAGAGGCTTTCCCGCTGAAAACTGAGGGGAAAGAGAGAAAAGGGAATTACAGTGACCTCGAGGTGGCAGAGGACCCGCTGCTCTAATGGAAGCTCCATTTCTAGGGGGGCCTATAGCAGGCGGCCCTGGCAGCCGGGTAATTGCCTAACTTTCTGCGGGAACGGGGAGCCAGTCAGCAGCACGCACAATGTGCGGTATTTGTCATTTGTATTACTCTCATCAGAAACCTCGCAATATGATAATTAACAATTTTCTTCTGCATTTCACTATCTGAAAGTAATTATGGTTTATTACAGTAATCTTCTTGGGATGATTAACTCTCACTGTTTAGTACATGCTGTACATGACAAAACTTTACAACCAAGTACAGTGCGCAGATGTGCATATAGAATAAAGGCAGCAGGGCCTATTTCTTGCTCTTCCACATTTATATATAAACACAGCATTCCAAACCTTGTAAGAAATTTTCACCACAGAAGGAGCCCATTTGTCAAATTCATATGTCCAGTTAGATAGAGTCCTATAGAACGAAAAAAGAGAAGAAGAAAAGGCATTTGTATAAAAGTCAGTGGTTACAAAAATGTTCTTATTTATTTTCAGGCGTCACCTTGAAAGGCACTAGAGAGTATAAAATATCCTGACTACATATTTATCGTAAAGGTGTGGAAATAAGTGATAAGTTAGAAATAAGCTGCCACAAAGCATGACAAGTTGCTGTGGGCTCATAAAAAAAAAATCTCATAGGAAAAAAAAAAATTAAAGAACACATAACTATAGAGAGGGGGGAAAAAAAACTAAATTTTAATATGGTATTGAAAAATAGCAATTGCCAAAGTGATTTGGTGAGTCTTTAGAAACAGCCACATACATTCAGAGAAAAGTTGAGTCAGGAAAAAGAAATTACAAAAGCACATGAAAATATTAAATAAATCTGTCAAGAGGGAGCAGGGGAAGAAATAGTGAGTGCCTTTTTTTTTTTTGTAAATCCTTGAAAGCATCATCATAAGATACAAGTCAGAACATGTAACAGATAAAAAGCAAAACACATATTCAAAATGTAGATAAAATGCAAAGAATATCTAAATACTATGGATTCAGATAATGCAGATTAAAATGGTCTGCAAATAGTTCTCCTTTAGACAAATTTGGGAGAAAATACTAAAAATGGAATCTTTATTTTATCTCAAGGTCTAAATTTGTATTAGTGCTGAGATCTAAGATCTCAGTAATTAAAAATGCAACCAGACATCCACAGGCGGACACTCCACTCCGGGGCACAGCTCCCAGCAGGTCTTCCTCCGCGCAGGAGTGTGCAATGAAGACCTGCAAGGTGCCACGCGGCGGGCAAGGCGCTGGGAATTTAATGGTGAACGTCAAAGATCTGTCCTTACAAAGAGGCAAAATCACCAAGAATGAATCACACATACTGAGGGCAGGCTAATGTAAAATTCCCGGTTAGAATTTTGATTGAGATTCTGCTTTATTTTATTATTATTATTTTTTAATCCTCACCTGAGGACATTTTTGCATTTATCTTCAGATAGAGCAGGAGGGAGGACGAGTGAGGAACACATTGACTGGTTGCCTCCCACCCGACCCCAACCGGGGCCAGGGACCAACTGCAACCGAGGTGCGTACCCTTAGCGGAAACTGAACCTGGGACTCTCTGGTCCTCGGGTCGACGCTCTAACCGCTGAGCCAAACTGGCCAGGGCTGAGATTCTGCTTTAAAAGATATAATAAAGAAAGATTTCAGAGTACACAGTCTTTTGAATATATGTAACCTTTTGGAAATGGAACAAGAAAAAAAAAATCAAAGAAATTTTTAAATAAAAAAAAATGTGAGTTCTGGCTGGTTTGGCTCAGCGGTTAGAGCATCAGCCCTCGGATCAAAGAGTTTCGGGTTGGATTCCAGTCAAGGGCACGTATCTTGGTTGCAGTTCAGTCCTGGGCTCTGGTCGGGGTCATGCGGGAGGCAACCAGTTGATGTGTCTCTTTCACATTGATGTTTCTCTCCCTCTCTCCCTCACGCTCCATCTGAAGATAAACGGAAAAATATCCTCAGGTAAGGATTTTTTTAAAAAAGCAAAACCTTTCCCTGTGTGAGCCGCTGAAGGAGCAATGAGGAAAATCTGGAATAGATTTTTCTGGACAGCAAGTCCAGGAAGGCCCAGTAGACAGGGCACAGGCTGGGTCAACCACATTGCAAACAGCTGATAAAATCGCCTTGTCCTGTGCCTAAACAGCCCGATAGGCTGGGGGTGAGGGTGGGGGTGGGAAATAACGCCCTCAATCCAGATTACATGCTCTTGGGAACCCCATCACATGCTTAATTCTGCCTTAAATGCACAACAAAGACCAGCCCCTCACAGGGCACCCTGCAATGCACGGACAGGTAACTGCAGAATGAATGACTTGACTTACGAAAGGGGAACAATGATGAGATAGGGGCCGTTGAGTCTTTTGTGCTCCATCAGATACGTGATGAGTGCGATGGTCTGTATGGTCTTTCCCAGCCCCATTTCATCTGCTAAGATTCCGTTCAAATTGTTATTATACAGGGAAACCATCCATTCCAGGCCCTGGAGCTGAAATGAAGAGTAATTGCTTCAATTATCTGAGATCTGCACAGGTAATTAATACTAATACCACTCAAGTGAGGCTGTGACTCCTTCACCTCTCAGTGCTGCAAGTCGGATTTTCCGCAGAGCAAAGCGAGGGACGCGCCAACACCCAGAGCATTTGAGACACGAGCCTGTGACCATCCCCGCTGCCTGGCAGGTGTCGGAGCGTTCATCAGATTTAGAAACGACAGGCTGGAGCTGGTGGGATTTTAAGCAGCTTTGCTGCTCATCCCTGCTTAGCATTTCACAGTGTAGGACATTCTAGAATTATTATAAATGAAGAAAACCCAAAGCAAAATCCATTCCAACCACTCCAAGAACAAAAAGCCAAGGTGAGGATTAAAGACAAATAAACCAGAAGGTGGTTTGGCTCGCAGATCACTGATCATTAGAAATAGCCTTCTCGGCAAAGCGGCGCCTCCCTCCAGGGTGGAATCCTCTCAGCGGGGAAACGGGGTGACCAGGGAGCCAGGGGCTGGATGCTGGGCCCGCAGGAAGGCATTTCCCGGTGGGGACAAACCTCGCAGGCCACAGGTGGGAACTCTGCAATGGGGGCGCTCCCCAAAGGCAGCTGGCTGCCCAGGAACAGGTCCACCTGTTTGTTAAGGACAGAAGAGCTGCACCAAGATGCAGCTTTGCAGTCCCCGTGTCTGTCACGCACAAGAAAGCTTGGGAGAAAATACACCCGCACATGCTGGGTTTAAAAGGTAGGATCAATGACAGACAGACGATAGATAGATAGATAGATAGATAGATAGATAGATAGATGGAAAGATATAGATGTCAGTATCTATATATTGATATCCATATTAGATAAAGTCAATTTAGCTTGCTAATGAAGTTATGCTTCTGGAGATGTTAATTTTCATTGTTTCATGTAAGAAAAAAGCAAGTCATTTATTTTAAGATTTAGTAAATGATTATTCTGTGCAAGGGACCATGCCAGGAGCCAAGGCAGATGCTCTCCGAGCTGTGTAAGAGGCACACTTCCCTCCAGATGCTTGCAGTCCAAGGGGAGACAATAAGCCTTTCACGTGTGCACATGCACCAAGAAACAGTTGAAGTGCCAGTGCCAGAGATAGAAAACGGTATTGGCCAGTGTTTCTTAGGGAGAGCACTGCAGCGGTTTAAGGAAATACTTCCATAGGCCATCTGGAGGACCTCGTGCTGTGCAGTACCCCACACCATCCTGAAGGGTTTCGCGGAACAATGGCAACACCAAGAGCGTCGGAGAAACCCGGGCAGAAGACAGAGAGGGGAAGTGAGGGAATGAGCGGGGCCACAGCGGGGGTCAGGAGGAGCGGCGTGCCTGCAGCGTGATGCCAAGACCTCCAGACTCAGGGAAGTCAGCTACGCGCCAGGAACATTTGGACACTGTGAGGTGGTGAATTCTTTTTTTAAATGAAAATTGGCAAAGGGGCTGAATTTTGCATCTGTGTTAATCCCAGATAAAACAGAAGCAGAAACTGGCAGCAGAAGGCACTAGAAATTCACTAGAATTGTGGGAAGTGAACTGTACTTTCCTAGACCGTGAAGTTGGAGGGGATGGGTCCCGAGCCAAGTGTACGGGGCTTTCCCGGGAGCAGAAGAAAGGCCTGAGCAAGGGGAGGGTTAAATAACTATCGAGGATACAAGACCCTGTAGAGAAACAAGAAGACAGAAAGCTGACTTACGGACAGAGTGGTCCAGGGAGGCTTGGAGCTACAATTTGAATTGGTTTGTGAGAAATGGAAAGGATCTCATCGGGCAGAAGGAACTTCATGAGACAAAGCCCCAGAGGGGGCCAGAGCAAGGCACATTCTGGGATGCACAGCAGGCCGGTGGAGGGAGAAAGGCATACAACTCACCCGTGGAAGCAGCGGAGCTAGGTTTGAATAGAGTGATGAAGGGTGCTGGAAAAGGCGTCGGATGGCCGCGGAAATCAAGGTGCTGGGAAGTTATTTATGGATAATCCAAAGAATGCCTCTCCCAGACAGACATGTCAAAGTGTATTAGAATGCACTAGGAATTTACATCTACGTTGGACAGACCAAGTAAGATGATAACCACTTGGAACCTCATGAAAGTAGGTAGCACGGTCTTTGGAGAAAACGTGACCTCACCACGGCCAGACGAGCGGTTGTCAAAGTGTGCCCAGACAACCTTCTCAGGAGATCCACAAGGTCCGGCGATTTTCTAATAACTTCAGGGCATTATGTGCCTTTTCTACTGTGCTGACATTTGCCCTGGTGATGCAAAAGCAACAGTGGGTAAAACCTGGCGGCCCTTCAGCGGGAGCGAAGGCTGCACTGAGGTGCAGGCCACGGCAGCACACACAGCACCAGGCTGAAGAGGGAAGAGGACCCAGTCCAAAAAGTTTGGGAACTGCTGACCTCACGCATGTAGCTCCTGAAGTATATTCTAAAAGGTGCTAGTTTTATAAGATCTTAATAGGTGATATATGAAAATAAGGCTGGGTAGTCAAAGAAATATGGGAACTAGAAAGTTAAAGTTATTTAACTGCAGGAGACTGATGTGCAATCACGGATTACACATTTATATCCGCAGAGTCGTGGGTATGCTCACCTATACTGTGAATTACCAAGAGGGGTCACTGTCGGGGTGCTCAGAGGGCTGGGTGGCTCAGGACAGTCCTGGGTTAGGCCTATTATCAATAATAAAGGCCCCAATTCACCCTCATTATTATCCAAGTTTGAAACAGTAAGTTATACACTAATCCTAGTTACAGCTGATTGTATCCCCCATATTTACTTGACCACGGGACCTATTTTTCTTTTTCTTTTTGAGGTAACATCTCATGGGACAAATGTCCCAAGAGCACACTTTGGGAAACGCTGCAAAGTGAGAGGAGCTAGGAGACCGCAGTGGCCTCGCTGCACACAGGTCACGGGAAATGTCTGTTATGTTTACAGCCTCGTTTTCATCAAGGTAGATGCCCACCACTTGATGGAGACTTAAAAAAATAAAAGGGTAAATGTAGTAGGTAGAGACTCCAGGGTGGCTGAATCCACAGCACTCAACTACAGCCGCCACTGACATTGCTGAAGAACACTTCATTTGCTCCCCACCTAGATATGTGTTTCCCTACACTCATCAAATGTGTGTGCTGGGTGTGCCATTCTGAAGCAATCCACCATGAGACGGTTCCAGATGTTAAGCCTGCGTTTCTTAAAACACAATTCATCCCAGCCTTGGCCGGTTTGGCTCAGCGGTTAGAGGGTCGGCCCGCGGACCAGTGAGTCGCAGGTTCGATTCCGGTCAGAGGCACATGCCTCGGTTGCAGTTCATCCCTGGCCCTGGTCCAGGTCATGTGTGAGGTAGCCAGTCACTGTGTCTCTCTCACATGGATGCTTCTCTCTCTCCCTCCCTCCTACTTTATCTGAGGATAAACAGAAAAATATCCTCGGGTGGGATTAAAAATACTACTACTACTACTACTAATAAACAAAGAAACACAATTCATCGCAAAACCACAGAAGAAAAAGCAGAGATGCCCTAGCAGAGACGGTGAAATAGAAGTGCCGTAAAAGCAGAATTACAGGCGTAGTGGAGGGAATGTTGACATTATAAGCAGCGTGACCTAAATTGCCTCACCATCATCAAACCTCTTACGCAATGGACACATGCATGAGACGTATGCCCAACAAAACATAGGTAGAAGCGTGTGACTTGGCAAGGAAACGCAAACCACAGCAATCACCTGATAGTGCTTCAGGGTCCCGTTAATGAGGAGGGCAGACTGCTTCTCCACCCTCTCGGAGATGGCGTGAGCCACTGTGTAGTAGGACTGGGAGCCCCGGGCGCTGCACTGCATGCTGTATTCGTCATCTACGTCTTGCTTAGCTGTCCTGAGACAAAGAGAGTGGAGAATCACACACGGGCATCTCGGTGCATGTGTTTTTATTTCCTTCCGTTCAAAAAGATGAATGGAAAGCCTAAAATAGCTGCAGTAAGGGTGGTTTATTTGTCACCTACTATGTAATTGCCTGGCAATTAAAACACATTAGCTGTAATCCTCACAAACCTAAGCAGAGCAGACATTACTATTCTCGTCCCCATTTTATGCCCGTGGAGAACGTCAGGCTCAGAGAGGTTAGTGAATTTTCCTGTCACGTAAGATTAGTGGAGTCAGAATCTGAACGCAGGCCTGCGTGACCTCGAATGACTGACAGGAACAGGAACAGGAACCAGACCTGCAGATCAACGCCTCACCGGTGAAGCTGTCCTGGGCTCCTGGGATGCAAGGACAAACCCTCATCCCAGAACACTGTCTACAGCTTGGGGGACAGGTGAGAGGGCCGAGGTCGACATAAGAGACGGAAGGAAAGGGGAAAGGCAGTCTTCCGTTTTCTTTGCCAGGTTAAGGAGTATTTCATTCTATAGGCTTTGAGGAGTCACTGAAGGGTTCTTACAACCTTCAGGGAAGGAGGGGGACGGACTGATAAAAAAAGAGGTTCCTAAAGTGGGGCACACAGCCCTGCAATTAAAGGGGGAAAGATTAGAATGTCCGTTTCTGTCTTTTTCTCTTTGCAATCCCATCACTTTATAACGTTTTATTTTGCATACTGTTTCACAACAATTTCCTTTTGCTGCTAGAGCCATGCACACGAAGAGCTGTGCAGACCACTGACACAGGACAAATGGGCTGCGGCTGGAGCTGGGCACGGGGTGGGGGGAGGAGGAGAGGGCTCCAAGGGGGCTGAGGTGCTTCTGGGAGGGATTTGGGAGCTGACTGGCTTGGCGATGAGGACAGAGCAGGTGACCGTGTTCCCCACCTGGGTTTCTGGTGGGGGAGGCAGGAAAGCGGCCGCTAGAAGGGCAGGTCTGACCAGTTCAGTCGGGCAGAGTGCAGGTGACAGGTGAGGAGCCTAGGAGTGAGCAGAGCTGGAGGCAGGGGTGAGGAGGGAGGAGAGGACAGAGGGAGGGAGAGGAGGAGAGAAGCAGCCCAGAGCCTGGGGGCCTGGTGGCCGGGAGCTCAGTGGTGACTCCTGACGGGGCCATTCAAGTAGAGTGCAGGTGTGAAGTCGGGCTACTCCCTAAAATGTTCTGAAAGAAAATTCCTAAAGCCCAATTTACGTCTTGAAATGCATCCGCAAAGAAGAAAACTCTGGAGAGATACACACTCAATGATCTGCTTGGCATCCTTCTCGGAAACTTCTTCACTGTTGGGATCCAGAAGTATTTTCTCTTCGGTTTCCTGCCGGCTGGACTCCTCTTCCTCATCCTGGGGGAGAAACAAAGATCCCACTTTAACGAGGGAATCTCTGTGACGGGCATTTTCCAACTGGAGATTAAATAGCGTTCAACCTCACAAATGAAGTAAATACAATTAAGGGAGGAAGTAGAGGTAAGACCTACCTATCCTGGGCAACACACACAGTGCCACTGCTGTTTAAGTCATTAATGAGAGAATGAAAGGGACCTTCTGAACCTTTGCCCCTAGAAGCTTTGCTCCTAAGAATGAAAATGTAAATGTCGTGCCAGAAAGATGGACATGCATCACTGCTGGCTATCAGAGTCCTGCAGACCCCGTCTCTCTTACTTAGCAACGTTCTCTCTCCTTCTCTCCGAAGCCAGGCTCTGGAGGTGCTTGGATTGTTCTGCTCATAAACATGCTCACTGATGTGGCCAGTGGGCTTCGATGGCCCCAGGCTTTTGCAGCTGGAGGCTGGAGCTTGTACGCACATGCCTTTCTGGGGCACTTCACACCACACACTGCTGAGAACTGTCAATAACTTAGCAAAGGATTCATCACCTCCCACCTCTCCACTGTGCACTATGTTCTGCTGGGCTGTTTTAAAGCTTCACTAAATATTCATTATGCCGCCCAGCCGGTGTGGCTCAGTGGTTGAGCACTGACCCAGGCACCGAGAGGTCGCTGGTTCGATTCATGATCAGGGCACATGCCCAGGTTATGGGCCAAATCCCCAGTGGGGGGCGTGCAGGGGCGGCCAATTGATGTTTTCTCTCATCAATGTTTCTCTCTCTCTCTCTCTAAAATCTATAAAGAAAAAAGAAAAAAAAAGTTCATTGTGCCCACCACTAACCACTGGTGTTGAAGGCTAAATCATTCCAGATAATCCAACAGAGTTTCCTTTAAGGGTAGATTTAAAGAAAGCAATGCTCGCCCACATGGTATTAACGCCAAAAAGCAAGCCTACGATGACAGGTCACTGAGACGGGGGTGAACTGAGGAAGCAGCACAGTCCCTTCACTTTCCAGGTGAGAAGTGAAGCGCTGAGGGGGGACGGGACTTGCCGTGAGCGGGTGGCTGACCCCAGACGTCAAGTTCATTCTGTTCCTGGCCATCAGAGCTGCCTGTGGTGGTCAGTCTCAGGTTGGCATGCGTGGGTTAAACAGCCTACTTTATCTCGTCTCTGTCCCTGCCTGGCTCTCTTAATGAGAAGACTCTTCCAACGGATCATTTGTGGGTCCATTCATCGGGGTAAATGAGAAACATTTTTAAAGTTGATTTTGTAAGCTTCAAACATTTCAGAGAAAGAGTAGCCTACAACCCCCCCCCCCAAAAAAAAACCCCAAATAGCATGGCTCTAAAAATACTTGCTTTTTAATAGCATGCTTTTTAAAAAATGACTTTTATTTTTCCTCTTTGCAAAAGTGTCCATGGTAGATTACTTTAGAAAACACAGGTCCACACAATAGAAGGAAACAACACTTGTCCTAAGATCCCAGTGGGCTGCTGTCCGCGAGGCAGGCCTGCCTGCCGGCCGCCTGCGCGGCACCTGGACCAGGGCTCCTCAGGCAGGCAGAGCTCAGTCCGGGGCTGCACGCCAGCACGGGGATGAAGCGACAGAAACCGCTTTTTAAATCCTTCTGTTTGGAATTATTAAGCATTTCATAGTCGATCTAAAAATTCCTTTATTATTTCGTAATTTCTCTCATAAGCATACAAGATTATTATTTTAGGTACTGGATATATTAGCTATATTAATGTTAAGTATTCCTTCCAAGAGACTGAAAAACATGCTTCTCTTTTTGGTAACAAGTATATACAAGGAATTCAACCAAGAATCACATTTCAAGGGAAACCAAGAGGATCAATAAATTCATTAAACCACACCCAAGCTGCCCTTTTCGTTCCCAGACTTTCCATTTCAAATAGACTCCCAGGGACGAAGGACTTCAGAAAATTTTAGGCAGCAAACCCTCAGTGAACCTCTGGGAGGCATGGGGGTGACTCTCCCAGAGCAATCCATCTTCAGTTCTCCCCCAAAGGCCTTTCCACCTCTTCTGAGTTAATGCCAGCTTCTCTTTCTGGTCCCAAATAAATCTAGAATTCGTTGAGTGTCTCCACTGGCCGGGAGCCCCGGGGGTCGCTGCACGGCTAGGCGCGCCCCCTCGAAGCTCTGGCAACCCCGCAGCACGGGCATCACCCAAAGGCCAACACTGAAAGCAGAAGCACAGAACACAGGTGCCTCCCTCACGCACTTTCCAACCAGTGACCTCAAACAGAGACACATACGTACCTCCTCCTCATAATCAGAATCGCTCTCTTCGCTGTCGGATCTGGGCGCAACTTCGTAACTACATGAAAAGGAGTGGGGAAGGAGAGGGGCTTAGTTCTTTCAAGTATAAGACAGTATATACACGATGACTTAACTAGCATGTTCAGTGCGCAAGTGACAAACCCAGGTACCAACTTGAACCATTCCAGCAAAGGGGTGTTCTTTTAGGTCCAAGGTTTTACAAGGACCACAAAAACCGAAACTGCCCAACAACACCAATAATTCTGCTTTAACGCTTACCCAGGATTCATTTCCAACCAGGCGTCCAGCTGACTTGCTTTGGGTGCTTCTGGTCCGAACAGGACCTTGCCGGTTTCTGTGTGAGTTACTTTGACAGGAAGGTCACTCATCTGACTGCTCTCATCTATGGGCTAGAAAGAACATAAAACCCCAAAAACACCGCATCACCACTTGGCGTTACGTTCTCCCAGTTCTGCGTGGGACATGTTTCAGCCTTTGGGTTGCCGGCAATGGAAAGGTCGCCACCTTTTTCTGTGATTGGAAATGTCACCAGCACAAGACGTCAGGTCCCCCAAACGGATGCACTCCCCCAGACTCTGACTTAGGAGCCAGCCGTTCAAGGGAGCAGGGCCCGGCACACGGGTGGGAGGGCAGACCCCAGCGGCAGCAGAGCCAGAGCCGTGGTCCTAGCCATGCCCAGCTCCTGCCCAGTGCCAGCCACGCCCTCACGGGTCGTTGTATGTACAGTATCAGTGTGGCCTCAAGTCTGGTTCTCCAGGCTCCCTGGAGGTCTGATGAATTACCCCATATCCTATTAGTATACTCCCGTTACTCAAATCAGACAGAACTGATCTTTGTCATTTGCAACTAAGAACCTCAACCCCAATAATACCCCCACCCCCTAATGACTACTGCAAACGTATGGTTTCGGAGAGAATGCGTAAGGAAAAAAAGGATGTAACTGTGTCATCTCATTACTGGCCAGTTTGGCTCAGCAGAACCAGGGTCCCTGATCCAAAACCGAACTGCCGAGAAACCAGACCCACCATTGGTACCTGTGAGTGTGATCAGGCCAAAAGCTCTGCTCATTTGAAATGGGGAGAACAGACCAAGACTGGGCTGAAGTTCATTAGCCTCTCAATGAAAAGTTGTCTTGTTCAGAAAATAAAAGAATAAGTGACATTGCAGAGGCTGTGTCTAACCGGCTTCAGAGAATAAACTGATGTAAAGGGCTGACCACGGAGCAGCCCTGTGTGAATGAACGGCTCTGGTCACAGGCACTGCACTCCGGGAGCAGGCCCAGCCGCGTGCCTGCTGGGGACCAGGGACTGGTGAGCCTTGGAGCTACCGATCTCCGTACAAGTAACACAGCCCAATGTTCAGACGATTCATTAATTCCAATTTCTTTTTTTTTTCTAAATGATTCTTTTTGGAGTTAAATAACAATGTTAGGCCCTGGCCGGTTTGGCTCAGAGGTGAGAGCATCAGCCCGCGGTTCAGAGAGACCCGGGTTCGGTTCCCGCTAAGGGCATGTAACTTGGTTGCAGTTTGTCCCCGGCCCTGGTTGGGGTCCTGCGGGTACTCGATGTGTCCCTTTCATGTCGATGTTTCTCTCTCTCTTCCTCTCACTCTAACTGAACAAAAATGGAAAAAAGTCCTCGGGTGAGGATAAAAAAAGTTAGGAAAAGTAGTATACTGTAGGTTTTTGTCTATATCTAATAGAAAATGTCCGCCGCCCCTCCCCCCCAACCAAATTGGTTCTTTCCCCTTTCTCCCTCAACCAAGTGCTTCAGAATAAGAAACAGTATATTAGCAGCCCATCCGGTGTGGCTCAGTGGTTGAGCATCGACCCATGCACCAAGAGGTCACGGGTTCGATTCCTGGTCAGGGCACATGCCCAGGTTGTGGGCTCGATTCCCAGTTGGGGACGTGCAGGAGGCGGACGATGGACGATTTTCTTCCATAAATATTTCTATCTCTCTCTCCCTCTCCTTCCTCTCTCTCTAAAAATCAATAAAATATATATATATATATATATATATATATTAGCAATTATCCACAAAAATGACCTTTGAAGAAAACAAAAGGCTTACTCTGCACTATCGTGTTTTCCTTCTGGGGGCGCTAAAGCAATGGCTGTGAACACCATACTTGGCACGCCACGCTGCCGCGTCCTCCTCCTGAGCATGACAGGTCGCCCACGTGCTCATGCGCGAGGGAGGGAAACCTGCCGCTCGCTCTCATCTCCCATGGAGGAACCACACTCCATGATCTTGAACTATCATCGCACAGCTTATTTCCTTGCTTGAGACGCTGCAAAGAAAACTGGGATTCGCTGTAGCTGGAAGGAAGACTTTGGCAGGAGCACTGAGCACAGCAGAGGGTAATAGAAAAATTATTTCAAAACAAACTGAGCAAGATGTCCACTTCGCCAGCTCCAGGAAACAACACACATGTGCTAAGATTTAAAGAAGAAGAAGAAGAAAAGGTGTGTGTCCCAGGCCCTGAAGCAGTAGTAATTTCCCCAAGAGATAACGAGAGATCCAGTGCTCACACTAACACGTTAAAGCTCTGCCCGGTGCTTGTTCATTACAGACTGATGTGAAGGTGCTTAGGTCCGGCTGGGCTTTTACAAATCAGAGTGTTTCTAAGTGCTCTAATCTATAGTATTCTCCCCCCATAACCGCCCACTGCGAGTTTCGTACACCTGAGACATTTATCCCAATCCTTTCTTTCCTTGTGATGGATTATAGTGGTTAAGCCGCATTTACCGTTCAAGAGGTTTCTGCACAGACTAGGGGTTTCAACCTTTCTTTGGCATCCAGACTGTTTGCATTCACAATGCATCTCACACACGGTGATTCCAGAACAGGAAGAGGCGAGCCTCCACCCACCCCGCACCTCCAGGCAGGTCTATCTGGGTCTGTGCGAGGAGAAGGTGGCCTGAAGGAAGCACCCCCACCCTGCTCTGGGAGTAGGCCTCCTCCTGTCAATCACTGTCGGGGGGGGGAAATCCAATAAATGAATAATTGTATTCTCATGATTCGGGAGTGTTAGAAATACCAGAAAATAACATTTAGGAATATGCTGATGACTTGACAAATAGAATCTACATCGTAAGCCTACAGAAGATGTCAAAAAATAAGTTTACCAAACACATAAATTGTTTGGCTTATGGATTTTTCTAATTTCAAATTAGTAATAGACTAAGGAAACTGGGTCATCGTTTATGCTTCTGTACCATTTACTGGGCAAGTGTAATGAGAGAGCCACTGAGGATTTTTACACGTTCTACGTGCACAGAGAATTCTGGAATGGCACATAAGAAACTTCGTATCAGTTGACTGGTAGTCTGAGAAGGAAGTAGGTCGCTTTTCAGTGTATCCCTTTTATACTGTGCTTACATACTACTCTTTTCGGCTTAAAGATGAATAGCTGAGTAGAAGTAGAATTAGTATAATGGACAGTGGGATGGCAGGAAACCCCGAGCACAACACTGTAGAAATGGATACAAACCCCCTTACCTCTCCGTCTGGTCCCAGGGCGGACTCTCCTCCCTCCGCATTCTCCTCGGCCTTCTGCAAAATGACAGCGTGTCAGTGTTCCGCGTCAGCCGAGAAGACGGGTACGGGAAGGGCTTCAGGGTAACTCTGGGGTATGTGGCAGCACTTCATTACTATCACCCTCCCCACACAACGTGCCTTTCCTCCGTACGTGTTTTCACTATCTACGACAAAGTGTGTGTTTTATTAGCAACCGGCAGAGCCCCTGAAAGCCAGGTGTGGTTCGGGCCAGCACAGCAGAGATTTGTGGACTGTGCCTTCTGGGATCCAAGGAGCTCAGAACCCGGCAGCCCAGAGCGGCGTCTGCAGTGCTCCCGCGCTTGGCCGGTGAAGACACAGCCTGATGTAATCAGCGAAACGTCCCTCTTCCCTGAGCAAGTTTCCTGAACGTGTCCATCGAGAATAAACTCTGAACTGCTCTTGAGTCATAAAAATACAAAATGATATAAAATTCTGTGAGTTCTCTGAATGTTTTTCATTCTACCTAATGGGCTTTCATAATATATGGTATTTCCACAGTGGGCATACGGGGAAATTTGAGGCAGATACTGTGATCTCATAAAAAAATTCTGTCATCTTTTGTGTCTTAAATATTACAATATCTTAGTCCATTAACCCCTATGAGCCTCAGGGACAGCCTAAATGGAAAGCTAAGATTATATCACATTTTGTACACACCCAAGAGAGTCTCATCTGTAATATACACAAAACAGTCTAGCAGTTCTTACATTTGTACCAACTTCTTTGACAAGTGAAATCTTTAACATCACCCGTACAGAGTCCTTATTTTTAAGTTATTGCCGGAGAGCTACACCACTTCAGGGCAGTATAACGAGGAAAAAAACAAAACCTTCATTCATTTGCTTTATCAAGACATTTAAGAAAATAAGCATCCCTCCCCTGGTCCCTTTAGTTAATTAAAAATACATATAATGATACAGAATCAATATTAATTCCCCTTTTTTGACTTAAGGTATTGATTATATTATACATTTTTGCTTTCCATGAAAATAACTCAACTGTCTCTTGACGAAACAGCTTTTATAGAAAATGTTTAAAATTCAGCCTTTCGTCCACACTGAAGAAAGGCCGTTTCCATAAACACTGGAAAATTCGGAAGGTCTCCCAGTTTTCTTGCAAAAGCGGATGTAGGTGCGTGCACCACAGCACAAGGCACCAAGGACAGGGAACCGAGTGCTCCCGTTGGTTTGGATTCCCCAAGAACGGAAGTTTCTAGTCACGCCACCCCAAAGTGAAAATGTTTACAAGCCCAAGAGAAATGACGAGTATCGAAAGGCCCTTTGTCCAGGCTGGAAATGCAGAGAGAAGTGGCGGAAGAGCTCAGGAAGGTGCCGTCCCTGCTGCCAGCCCCTGGGCTTCCCTTTTGGGAGTTCTCAGGCACTATCCTCAGGCAACTGTTTTAATTAATGGGAGAAAGTCAATTAATCCCACTATTCTTTCCATACAAATCAGAAATGAGCTACCAATTTGGCCAACAAAGAAAATCAGAGGAGACAATGAATAAGCCAATTTCCAATAGCTAGCTAGTGGAACTGGATCACTATTTCAATGAATAGCACCTTAAAAAGCTTGAAGGACCATAAATAATAAAATCAAAGCTATTCTGAAGGAGACTTTTCTATGAATATGCTTTGGACTAGCAAGCATGTTATCTAAAAACGGCCTCATAATCAGGCCCTTCCGGTACTTAAAATCCTCTAAACTGACCGAGAAAATTCTTCCAGGTATCAAATTTGAGAAGTAATGTAATATTAGACATAAGAAACTTGGTTCTGGAATAGACAGCCTGCATGTGAACCCCAGCTGTGTGACTAGGCGCAAGAGACCTTCACTGTGTGACCTTGGGCAAATCTTCTGTGTCCTGGTTTCCTTTTTTTTGAAAATTAGGGGAGTAACAGTCCCTACTACACACAGCGCTGCTGCAGGACTGACTTGCTACTTCAATACCTACAACCCAATGTCACATGTAATACACACTGTGAGCGTCACTCTCCGCAATGTAAAAGAATCAACAACAGTCTGAGGGCTATTCTCATATGTCTATGTAAGACTGCTACAGCACTGTCTGAACACTGCTTCCTAAATTACAGGGTCAGGGATTTCTGTCTGTTTTGTTCACCTATGGATTCCCACACCGACCAGAGTACCTGGCATTTAAAAGGCACTAAATAAATCCCAGGTAAATAAAGAAATGGATAAGTGAGTGAATGAATGAATGCAAGCACCAAGAACACTGCGATGCCCAGTGAAATACCACTGTTAATGTAATGAGGTGCCAATATATCTGCAGGAACACAGGCACAATTCCTCATTGAACTGGTGCCCCGAGGCCCCTCCTGCATGCCCGGGACCAGTTCGGCTATGTTGTGATATGAGGTGGAAGCCAGGTGGCAGTCTGCTCTGTGGCAAGAGATGCCAAGTTCTCCCATCATGCTTTGGATTCTTTCCCTGTGAAGGTTCCTGGTTGGTGTGCTTTCGTAAGTCCATGTTCTCACATCAAACTGGTACTTTATTCCCCACGCCGCTCCAGAAAAACAAAGCCCTTCCCTTTTTTGGGTTCAAGATGAACTCCGAACAGACTGTAACTGGTGTTAGGGTTTGAGCCCGCTTTGGACAGTCTGCCCCTGTGTCTCCCGCTGCCTGAGGAATTTTCATGCACAATCTGGCCCATGTGACTGCAAACACATCCTATCCGTGCTACCTGAGTTTACTTCGACTGATTTGAAACCAAAACACTGAAGTTCATCCATTAATTAGGACTAAAGGAACTTTGCACTGCCTTCTTCCTACCTGCAAAAAATTGGGGACTAATCATGCTCAGGGAGGGGAAGAGGGCGTAATTAATCTAGTCGTAGGAGAAGATATGAAACAAATCACTCTTCACCAAAGACATTTTGGGCTCCTAATTCCAAAGGCCAGTGTCAATCCGTGCCCTCCACTTAGAGATGCTCAGGAACAAAGCTGTGTGCATTGCTACACATGTCCCTTGCAGAAGCTATATAAAACAATCGGTGATGGGGCCAAGGAGGGAAAGAAGTCCCCGAGCATGAAAATCCCGTTTAAGCTGAACTCAAGAAAACAGACTGCAATGGGGCACTTTATTTAGATTACCACAACACAGGCCACAAACAGCCTCATTGTGTAAAGAAGCAGTTTTATACCAAATATTTTACAATCTATATTACAAACTGAGTGCACTTGAACCCAGCAGGTGTTGTTGTAATACGCTGAAACAACATTCAAATGTGCTGGCATCTTAAAGACTCGTTTCTGTTTCAGCAGAAACCTAAGCTTTCAGAAATCACTGGGTTATTTTTACTGTCACTTCAGTGGACCTCTGAGCATTCAGATAAGTGATCAGGCAATAAAAAATACCCAAGAATATCAAATTAGCAGGCAACTTTGCATTACTTTGGTTGTACCTTGCAGAGAAAACCAATTCTAACATTTTGACTCAAATAACTGGTCAATCCAGTTAAGCAGGGCTTTGATCCAAACTTCTGCTTTCACCCATCCCGACACCGCATGAATCAAATAAATCCAACCATCGCGGCTTTGTGCTCACCTATCTGTACAATAGTCGCTGCCCTCAAATGCCCAGAATTACCTAGGAACCTCTCTGTTACTTACGAAAAAGTCCTTGTAGAGAAAAGCTGCAATCAATTGTATCATCTTTGGGGAACACGTAAGACATAAAAGAATTGAGGAGAACTGGAGAACCACCTGAATTTAAAACAAATGTCTCAACAACATTACTACTCTGCATTCGATGCTCTTTTTATCAAACATTACACCAAGAGGCTTTTCTGATGTTCGGTTATCTACAAAGGATGAAAAACACATTTCCTATCACTAGATTGATCCATACGTTATGCTGGGAAGGCTCCCCCTCCGAGAGGTCCCAGTCCTGAGATTTACTTATAATCGTGGCAGATGAGAGAGAGCGAGAATAAAAGCAGTTTCAGAAAGAAGAGGAAGAACCGCAGTGGAGAAGACCCAGCCCAGCACTCTGTCCCTCGTGGATTCTGAGTGTGATGCTGCTGGTGTCAAGGGTTCCCAAGAAATGTCACAAATAACTAACAACTAACGTAGTTCTTCTGGTATACACCCCACTGGAAGATTTGCAAGATGGAATTGAATATTTATTTTCAGCCTGAAGTCCACAGCTCGGGTAGCTGCACCCGTCAGATGGCTAGACCTTGAAGCAGTGGGCTCCTAACCTCAGCTAGGACAGAGGGATAAGCAGAATCCACTAAAATCAACAAATCCTCCTTTCTTACTGATTGCCTCAGTAGTCCAAGAACCTGTCCTTGTCCTAAAAGACAATATTCAATTGATCCTCCACGAGAAAATAAAAACAAAATGGTGGCTATTTGTTTACTCAGTATCACAGAGAATATGCAACAGGGGGGGAAAGAAGATTTTATTTCCAAAAACTCTAAAACCACATTTCAATAATCACAGTCCTACATTCAGGGTTTTAGGGTGTATTTTTCCTTAAGCTGTGGTTAGGAGCCCATGCCCCCCCTGACCCGAAACTACCTCCTAGAGGTCTAGCCATTTGATGGGTTCAGCTTCCCCAGCTGTGGACTTCAGGCTGAAGATTAATTTTTAATTCCATCTTTCAAACCTTTCAGTGGGGTGCATAGCAGCAGAACTATGCCCTTCTAAGTTATTTGTGACATTTCTTGGAAACCCATGATACCAGCAGGATCACACTCAGAATGGCTTGATAACATACCTAAGATTTACCGAGTACTGACTGTGCCAGGAAACATTCTAAATGTTTTAGATAAACTTTTCCATTCAACCCTAACAAATTGCCTTCTGACAGATCAAGAAACTGAAGTACTAGATGGTAGATCTTTTAAGGAGATACCCAGTAAGGGAATAAGAGTAAATTGCTCTATGTTTTCTTATGCAGTTATGAATTTAAAAGATTGTGTGCTAACATGATTTGGACAGTGGTGCAATTTTCTAATTTAGCATGTCCAATCCTATTTGTATATACCCTGGTGGCTTCATCTAGGCCCCTCCCCCCTTTTATTTCGTAGTCGCCCGGTAGAGGTTAGAGAACAACCAAGGCGAAGGTCATGCTAAGTGCACATAACAGCGCATTCATTCATCCTGCCCCACTGCAGAGCCTGGTCTCATATAATCAGATATTTCAATTCTTTAAACAGTATTCCTCCTCTAACTCTTAAGGAGATACATACAGTTTACTTCTTTTTCTTTCATTTCAAGGGCATTAATGGAGGACCAGGCGGAGAAGGAGAACTTTCAGAATGATTTATAAATATATACTTCTCTAATAGTGAGAAGAGGAAATTAAGCAAGGTCATGGCAGGTTAAAGGAACCCCACTCTATTATTCACTAACAACAAGTAAACGCAATAAACTCCCCAACGGGGAAAAACAAAGGCCTTTTCAGTTACACTGGAACTATTAAAAAAAATTATACATGAGTTTAATACAAAGTAAAAAGTAACCCTTTTGCAATTACATTACAAGGTTAAGCATACTCAACTTTAATTGCATAGCTCTTAAAGTTATATGTAACTTAGTTGTTGCTACCAGGTCAATGCTATTAGTAGACTGGGTAAGAAAGGTTTTCTCAAAAACAAAAATTCACTGATGCCTTTCCTAATTTGAAAAATTGCCTGGTCAGTGTGGCTCACTTGGTTGAACACTGTCCCATGCACCATGAGGTCACTGGTTCGATTCCCAGTCAGGGAAAAACCCTGGGTTGCAGGCCCGATCCCCTGTGGGGGATGTGCAGGAGGCAGCCGATCACTGTTTCTCTCTCATTGATGTTTCTCTCTTTCTCTCCCTTTCACTTCTTCTTTCTGAAATCAATAAAAACATTTTTTTTTTTTAAATGCAGTAAGGTACAGCATCATGTTCAGTCCTACGGGAAAGTGCAGAACAGGGTGGCACAGAAGTTTTAAGCTTCTGATGCGGTTTCCCTCCCCGACAGAGAAACTGCAACAAGCAAGTCTCAATCCTTCTCTCTAACGCAGGAAAGACCTGCAGATAATCCAAAGCGTCAAATGCTCAGGTTTTGAAAGCACCCATTTTCTTTGCACTATGGAAAGTGCACCTGGATTTGGGTAACTCACTCTACACTCAGTCTCAAAGCCCCGTGAAACAGAACGTTTTCAGGAAGGACTAGGAGGGGGCCCAGTTCCTTTTTTTACCTTCTTTATCCCATTTCTCCCAGCAAGATGGCCCAGGAAGGAAACAGCCTGGCCTCCTTAGTCCTGAAGACAGGGAGGGCCCAAGTGCTGGGTCTCCTGGGAGCGCGCCAGGGAAGAGGTCGGGGCTGATCATCAAGTAATAACTGCACCTTCCACCGTGTGAGAGCATCACTGGGAGGGCCCGGAGGGAGCACGAGGCAGGCTGGAGGCGCTCTGCTATTATTATTGTTAGCCAGGAAATCAGGAAATTAATGATTGCAGTATTCCTTCACATCATTCATCACAGTTTATAATGGTATATTTAGATGCATATGTGATTAATGTCTATCTGCCTCTCTCTTTCTCCCTCTCTGATTAAATTGAGACAGAGGGCAAGAGTGCTTTTTCCTCATCATTACCTTCTGTCTCCCAGCTTCCAGCACACTGCGCCTCCATCATAGTAAGTGTTCAGTTAATATTTGTTGAGCAAATGCATGACATAGAAATAATAAGTGCTGCTAGCAAACCTGAAGGCAAGAGTTTGGAGGCAGAGAGCCAACCTACAGATCATCAGAGTTGGCAGCACCATGAAAAATATGACGGGTTCCTGCTCTGTACAGATGAACACAAAAATAAAGCCATAATCATTATTACTCAATTATGTATCTTTCTATGATGATACAATGATCGAACACCATGGCGAAAATCTATTTTAAATTTAATTTATTTTTGTTACAGATGTTTCTCCTTTTCCCCCCATTGACATCTTTCTTCCGTTCCCACCCCAACCCCCCAGAATTGCTGTCTATGTCCATTGGTTATGCTTATATGTATAAGTTCTTTGGTTTATCCCTTCCCTTCCCCCGCCTCTGAAATTTGTCAGTCTGAATCCTACTTCTACGTCTCTGGGTCTATTTTGTTCATCACCTTATTTTGTTCATTATATTCCACAAATAAGTGAGATCATGTGATACGTGTCTTTCTCTGACTGGCTTATTTCACTTAACATAATACTCTCCAGGTCCCTCCATGTTGTCTCAAAGGGTAAGAGATCTTTTTTTCTTACAGTTGCATAGTATTTCATTGTGTATATGTACCACAGCTTTTTTTATCCACTCATCTATTGATGGACATTTGGGCTGTTTCCAGATCTTAGCTATTGTAAATAGTGCTGCTACGAGCATAGGGGTACATATATTCTTTCTGGTTGGAATTTTAGGCTTCTTAGGATATATTCCTAGAAGTGGGATCACTGAGTCAAATGGCAGTTCCATGTTTAATTTTTTGAGGAAACACCATATTGTTTTCCATGGTGGCTGCACCAGTCTGCATTCCCACCAGCAGTGCACTAGAGCCCCCTTTTCTCCACACCCTCGCCAACACTTGTTGTTTGATGATTTGTTGATGGCGGCCATTCTGACAGGTGTGAGGGGATACTTCATTGTTGTTTTAATTTGCATCTCCCTGATGATTAGTGAGGTTGAGCATTTCTTCATATCTCTGGGCCATCTGTATGTCCTGTTTGGAGAGGTGCCTATTTAGGTCCTCTGCATGGTAGAAATCTATTAATCATAAGCCAGAAGCTCCGATGAGGCCCGTTAGCTTTTAATCACAAAGAAATGTGAACACAAACTTTAGTACTAAAAGCGCCAACAGGACCTTTTCGTGACAACCTCTGCAAAATACCTGTCTAGAGTCAGAACAACTCCAACTGCCGTTTCGTGGGAGCCACTTATGAAAAGTTGCAGAACTGCGTCTGTCTGCCCAGTGCTTTTCACAAACTCTGAAAACGCCTTTTAAATCAGAACCTGGGAGCTGGGATTCTGCGAAGTCTAGATAGAATGCTAGCTTGACAAGAAAATGAGGTACTCCTCACCCCTGAAATGTCTAAATCCAAGCCCTGAGTCATCCCTCGCGCACCGTCAAGGGAAAGGCAGCTATCACTACGACGGAGATCAGAAGCAGGAGGCACCTTTTCAGTCACTTATTCCTCCTCCTCATTACGAAACAGGTATGAGAATTCAGGAGCCATGAAATTAATTATTTGGGGAAAAACATTTTGTTCAATTATTCAGTGCAGACAGAGAATAAACGATGAAATGCTACCCATCCTCAATCTTCACAGGTCTGAGGAAGACTTCCTGTTTGTACTCGGACCCATCTGAATTTACCACGAAAACAAAACATCAACCAAGAACTAAATTACCGGGCTACTTTCGCTTCAAAGAGCTGTATTCATTAGCATGTTGCCCTTGAATGGAGATACAATAGTGGCAGAGCAGAAATTCTAAGTGTTACCCTTCACTTCTCACGATAATTAGGCCACAATTTACCTAAGGGTATTGTTTTCCATAATCACCTGAGCCCTGACCCGCACACTTGCCTTAGCATGACACAGGCCACTGAGCTGAAGGAACAATTCTGGCACTGCTGTGTGTCCAAATAAACAGGCTGAGATTTGTTCCAAAAGTATCCCAAAGCCATCTCCCACATCCTTCGACGGTTTCTTCAATCTGTACACAGAACTTTCTTCTACATTTTCACTCTAGTTTCTTAACGGAGCATCCCCCTGCCACACTGCGTTACACTTAAGAAAACAGTTCTTGCCCTGGCTGGTTTGGCTCAGCAGTTAGAGCATCGGCCCGCAGACCAGAGAGGCCCAGGTTCGGTTCCTCCTAAGGGCGTGTACCTCGGTTGCAGTTTGTCCCCGGCCCTGGTTGGTGTCGTGTGGGTGGCAACCACTCGATGTGTCTCTCTCACTGTCAATGTCTCTCTGTCTCTCTTCCACCCTCTCTCCCTCCCACTCTATCTGAAGATAAAAATGCAGGAATGTCCTTGGGTGAGGATTAAAAAAAAAAAGAAAACAGTTCTTGTGCACGTTTTTGCTCTTCTTTTTGGCCGTGTGTAATTTAGTTTTTAAAGACTGTGTGACAAACCGGGGATATGAACTGCATTGTTTTCAGTTTAATACACCTTATCCATTAGGCCCTCCTCTCCAATGTCTAATATGCCTAATCAACTCTTTCATGCCATACCCATTTCCAAGAGCAATTTTTTGCAATCCAGTAATCTCAACCTTGCATTACTGTGGTAAGTGTATTTATTAAAGGGCAATAGATGCTTAAACTGGTCCCTGACTCATGTCGCCAGGAGGGCACTCACCTTCTTCCTCCTCCTCCTCTTCTTCTTCTCCTTGGCTGCTTGGGCTTGCTTGTGCTCCCACACCAGGTTGGTCAGGTTGGCCACATACTCGTCAGTCTGCTGTAACAGGTAAGCTAGACGCCTGTCTTTCTTTTGATCAATCAGTTTTCTGTAGCCTTCTTCATCTTCAGCCTGGTACGGAGAAAAGAGCATGATCAGAGCATAATAAAAGTTTGCAGGTGCCTTTTCCTGCCCTCCCACCCCCGACAGTCTTAGCTTCAGTGGTGACTGCAGCAAACCAAGTGTTCAAGGCGGCAGGAGTTCTCGAATATAGTGTGGGACGGAAACACAGAGCAGTGTGATGCCTATGTCCCAGGACACCAGGGCTCATGGCAAAGTCAGGACGCAAGGCCATATTCTTTATACGCTGTGATCAAGCACTCTAAGTTTACTGTTTTGCTGTTTCTTTAACAGCGCGCACACACACACACACACACACACAAAACATTCAAATTTGACAATTCACCATCTAAAGTTTATTCTTAACTTTGTATTTTGGAAGTTTTCAAATATAATCAAAAGTAGAGAGAATAAAGTAATCTCTCATATAACCGACACCAAGCAACAAAAATGAACTTGTGCTGACTCTTGTTTCATTATTCCCCCTCCCCCAAACCCCTCCCCTCAATCCCAAATTGAATGGTCTTGAAGCAAATTCCAGGCATAATCCTTTCAATCATAAATATTTCAGTAAGTACTTCTAAAGGCAAAAAATCAAATGGGCATTGATCAAATGACTTCTTATACTTGAAAGCACTACAAACATTATGGTTGATAGGGGAAGTCAAATATGGGGGGTTTCTGTCATAGACTGGCATTGTGTTATGGGCCTAGGTGACTGGGAAAAAGTCATTTAGTACCTTAAGTCTGATACTGACAAGCAATAAAACAGATACCGTAATTCCCACCTTCACCTCCCATTAAGCAATATTATGAGGTTAAATGGAATAAAAACTCTGATATACTCTCAGTCATTTCGAGAGAAATCTTTTTTATGTGTCCCAATAAAAGGACACCTCAAAAACATTTCCCTTATGTGACACAGATAAAAGGAACACATTGCAGAATCTTCCAGAGGCAGCAGAATTACAGGAGGGCTCAGCATCTCCCGTCCAGGGTGTCACTCCAGCATGTGCCCGAGTGACAGCAGTTTTATCCCTCAGTCTAGCTGCTGTCTGCCCCGTGGATGAGCATGAACCTCAAATGCTATTATAACTCTAATTGCTTTTCGTTATGGTTGATCTCACTCGAAGAAAGAGTGATAGCAAACTTCAGTTTCTCTGTTATCTGTATATTCCATCATTTAATTGCAAAAATTAATGATTTGCAAATGCCTAATCATTAGTGTCAAACCAATCTGTTCCTGAAGTGCTAATATAGTTTCACTTCAGTTAAATCAGACAAATCTGACTGCTTACTGTTCAAATCACTATACAACAGTCTCCCTGGCTGGTTAGAAATGTCTTGGGCCGTCTTCTTCCTCCCCAAAGGAGAGGGAGGCAGGAGGAGACAGTGAAATTTAGAAGTACCTGGACACAGAGCCTTTCAAAATATTTTGTTTACTCTCTGGGTCCCAAAAAACAAATGAAAACAAATGCAAACCTCAATACCAACAAGGAAGAAAGACACTGTCGCTTGGAATTTTCCCAGGATATAATTATGGGCTGAGGCTAATGACATTCTCTTCATGCGATACTTAGGAATTACGTTCCAGGTAGAATCTGCCAATCTCTTATCATTATAGACAGCACACACTTTTGTGAAATCCACAGTATTCTAAGCTCCAATCCCCCCAAAATCCAAAAAACAAAACCAACCATCCAAAACAAAAGAACACAGGCCAATGATATAAACCAATCCCTTCTGTGATATATATCCATTAAAAAATCACAGTGCAAACATAATGATCCCTGACTGGCCTTTGACAATACCCCAGCTATAAACAAAAGAGCAACATTTCAAAATTCACTTAAAAATCACTGTTAGAGAAAAAATGTTGCCATTAAAAAAAGAGCTTAACAAAAAAAAAAGGACTTTCGATTCCAAGACACAACATAATGAGATAGTCATTCAAAACAATGTGTGCCATTAGTCTCAAAGAGGCAACATTTTTTAAAAAATTGCCATCTCCAGTCTTCCAGATCTGGTTATCAAAACACCTGTGAGATACAGTACCTGCCTTTCCGTGAGAAGCTACCACCTGAACAGCAATGCTCGCTAGGACATGGGAATACTATACTGATCAGCTGTAACCCAAGATGCGTGGCGTGGGTTTCCAGGAAAGAGGATGTTTCAACACCATCCCCATGAAGTTGAAGGAACGTATTCATATATTTGATGAGCAGCTTTTACTTTCTCCTTCTACTACGGCAGATTTAACATTCTCGGTACAGGATGTGAGAGGAGCACTTTCCTGGGTCCCTTACCATCAATCTGCGCATTCTCTCCTTTTCAATCCGCTCTGTCTCTTTCTTCTGCTCCCTTTCGGTGTTGGCATGCCAAGTTGCCACGGCTTTGGAAAGCTTCTGGATCTTCCCGGCCACAGACCGATGGTACTCCTTAAAATCTTTTGCATGTTGCAAAATACTGTTCAGGTATTCCTAAAGGATCCCAAGGTGGGTAGAAAAGAACACTTAAAATCCATTTCCCAGTGCCCTTGAGGTTTTAGTACAGTCCAGGAAAACGCTCAGTGCGTATCTGACAGCAATGAAAGACTAGAAACTCGGGACTCTTCTGGGATGGGTGCCCTGGTGTGTCCGCACAGCTGAGGTGTGGGCTACGGGGCTGGTGGGAAAGATGGCCTCTCAAGGTTTATCGTGGTGCCAGCCTGTGGGAGGGAAGTCTCTGAAGCTTTGAGGGTGTGACCACGTGAAAATGGAAAGATAAAAAATGGAGAGAAACCTGAAAAATGGCAATGATAAAATTAAAAGCCAATTTCGTTCTTAAATAAACTCGAGAGAAATGAGTATTTCCAGTGAGAATTATGTTATGAAAGTAATGTTTCTTCTGCTCCAAATATACTCGAGACCTGGCTGAGTAGCTCAGTTGGTTAGAGCATTGTTTCAATACCCTAAGGTTGCAGGTTCGATCCCCAGTCAGGGCACATACAAGAATCAGCCAATGGTCCGGCTGGTGTGGCTCAGTGGTTGAGTGTCGACCCATGCACCAAGAGGTCGCCGGTTCAATTCCCGGTCAGGACACATGCCCAGGTTGTGGGCCCAATCCCCAGTAGGGGGTGTGCAGGAGGCGGCCAGTCAATGTTCTCTTTCATTAATGTTTCCATCTCTCTCTCCCTCTCATTTCCTCTCTCTCAAAATCAATAAAGGCCAAAAAAATTTTTTTAAAAAAGAGTCAACCAATGAATGAATGCATAAATAACTGGAACAACAAATCGATGCTTCTCAATCTCTCCTTTCCTCTTTCTAAAAAAAAAACAATTAAAAATTTAAGTAACTCAGAATTATGTCTCAAGATTTTATATGGAGCTAGTATCTCCATATGTAATTTGTATACATTTTTTAAATAAAGGGGGGAACTGTACCTTTACACTAAGTCCAACATTTTAAAAAATAAAACAAGGCTAAGCACTGAACCGAGCACAAAAAGAAAAACACAAGTTATAGGGTTATGACACAAAATCAGATCCCAAACTCCCAGAAAGGACTGTTTTTAAATATCTGCTCCTGTACAACCTCTCGATGGGCCCTTCGAAGAGCCCTGGATACCATATTCGTATGTGTTATAAAAACAACCTTTTGCTTTCTTCTCTCCTTTTCCAAGTTCCCCAGGATTCTGCTCTGGGAATCCCAGCCAGGCGGCACTTTCCGTGGGATTTCGGAGATGGTGCCTGACTGGACTAAGGAAGCCCACCTCCCTGGCCTGGCCTGAGTTTCCCGGACTACGAAATGGTTTGGGCGGACCATATGGGCTCCAAGGAACTTCTCTGTTCTGTGGTGCCCCCTCCGCCCACCATGGCACGTTCCCGCCATCCTGCTCCACCCCGTTACTCAGCTGGCCCTGCCTGTCCACAGGAGGACACGCCAAGCCCACGTGGGTACCTGGTGCTTCTGCCGGCGCTTCCTCTCCTGCTCGATCTTCTGCTGCTTCTCCAGCTTCTCCGTCATGCGGGCTTCCCGCAGGGTCTGGCGCTTGCTCCGCTTGTAGGCTTTGGAGTTGAGAGCCGTCTCCAGGGTGGTGTCCCGTCGCATGCAGGCCACCACCTCCTGCCTCAGCTGCCAGGAGGGAAGCAGTCAGAGAGGCTCCCCAGGCAGGGCCCAGACCTGACCCTGACCCTTTTCTCATTCCCACCGCGGGGAGCAGAAGGGACATTTCTCCATCACAGTGGGCCTTTTAGTAAGCGAAGGGACCCATCACCAAGTTTATGTGCTACTCAGAGAGGGTATAATCGTTCTTTCCAGATAATTCAGAAAGAAAGCGATTATCGCACTATAACAGTAAAAAAATAATAATAATAAAGCAGATATTGTCCTAGCTTTCAAATAAATTCATTGATTCTATTTAATTATTCTAATGATACCAATTAGTTAAGAAGGTTTAAATTTTTTTACTTAGTTTTAAATGCCATACTAACATGCCTCTCATGTTTAAAGATTAACTTTAACGATGCTCCGCAAGAAGAATAAAAGGATTACTTCCTGTTCGTGTACAATGGCAGCAGATATTCAATGTTAATTCATAGTCTCATATAAAAGAGGAGATACTAGTGTTGGCTTCCTCCCACTTCTAACAATGATATTCTTTGCAAGATATTCAAAGTTTATACTGTATCATGAATTTCTTTTAGATGATCATATTGTATGTTATGTGGTGGTAGAGGGTGGGAATTAAAAATATACATTAAAGTAATAATTCAATTGAATCAAAAACCAGCATCAATTGCAGTTAATTTCATTGGGAAACTTTATAGATAATAGTTATCTATAATATCAAGTAAAAAATCAAACTAATAAGAGTCTAGCATAGTAAAGCTAATTTGAATATAATCTTATTCCTAAAAATATATTTGGGTAATATACTTATAACAAAATTTTATCACTGTATAAATGCGTTTTATGAAGTCACCTATGAGAAGGAAATAAATGAAACTCAGAGTTTTTCTTTCTTTCTTTTCTTTTTTAAAAAAATTCAAGCTTTAATCTACTCTCACAAACCGACGTCCAAGAAGCACCCAGCCACACTGATGCCCTTACAACCAGTAAGACAAATGTACTCCCAAGTTCATATGACAACAAGTGATGTGGCCTTGTGATTTTAATCACATCCTCCAACAGACCAAGTCATGCAATTCAATACTTCCAAACTACTTTCATTCATTAATTATTCATTTAACCAGACAAACCCATCTGACTGCCGACAAAGCGCTCCTTTTCCGGTTGGGCTACATGAGGCAGCGTGCAGACCAGGAGACCTGCATCTTTTGGGTCCATAAGACAAAACTCACTACAGTGGAAATCAGCTCAGTTTCATTCCACTAGTTTCCTACTGATTTAACAATTCTAAAACAGATCAGTATGCTAGCTTTTATTAATCGTTGACTATGAACCACAGCGGCAACGATAGATAATTCACTGACTACTCAATACGTAGGTCTGACGTGATCAAATGCACCAAACTTATGATGAATAATCAACAGTTACGAAACACAGGTTTATGTATTTCTATAAATGATCAACTATTAATTTAGCAGCGTAGCTATCATCTCTGTTACAATATTTTCATGGTCATGGCTAGGATTATACATTCGTGTTTACAAAGAAGCTCTGATTTACCACCTAGTTGATTTTTTTTGGAGTCGTAAAGGTAAACATGAGCTCTCTCATTTGTTCTCAAGGTTTCATCCATGGTAACAAACTGCCATAACTCTGAATTTGTAAACCATAATGCAGGAGGAAAAAATGTCTGATACACGAAAAGAAAAACAGAATAATAAACAGCGCATCTCCAGTACTTTTAGCTTTATGCTGTTGGTCTAAAAGACACACTGTGTTACTACATTCATATCTTTATAACAATATTGAACAGTCTTAAGGAAACACACTGATCTCGAACAATTACATTTATTTCCTATGTCTCAGATTTGCTGGGGAGAGGTGTTACCTGACGCTGGAAATTGAGTAATCGAAGTGCTTTCAGTTCTACGGTTGCTTTGGTTCGTAAATCTGGTGGCAAAGAGCCAGGCAGATTTTCCAGTTCTTGTATCCTGTGAGCTATGCGAGCCTGAAGTCTAAGGAGATAATAAAATAGGGACAGGAGAGGTGGAAACATACGTTACAGTTCAGTCTTAAGTGATAAACAATAACACTAGGTTCAAGTTCGTGGCAAAACCTATTCCAGACACACCTGGCTGACTTCTGACACACAACTGGATTTTCTGATGTTAAACAGAGAAAAGCTACCCTTTGCATTAATGCAGACAGGTGCCAGATGTTGCTTAACACCCTGGTCTTGTGCATAACCTTTCTCTAACAACCAGGAAAGGAGGCTCATGGTACAGGTAGGAGGAAAGTTAAGTGCCTTCGCTCGCTCTGAACAGAGAGAAAATGAGAGGCAGGAGAATGTGACTTGCTCCCAAACGCCCAGACAGCCATCCTGCAGGGCTGAAACAATCGTCTTCTTTCTAACTTCTGGTCCTGTCCTAAGGCAACAGGACCATTTGCCCTCCTTGCCAAATACTGATGACGACAGCCTTGAAAGCCGAGTGAACAAGAGCACTTGTAGGTGCTGAGGCCACAGAAATTGGCCAACCCAAAGCACTCAGAGCGAGCCCTGCCAACCACAGCCACTTCCACTGAGAGCAATGCTTGCTGGGGGGCAGCGGGGGCAGAAAAGGCAAATTCGGCATTTTAAAAATTCAGGTTTGGGGTAGCAGCAAGCAGCAAAGTAAACAGTATTTAAAAGCTGAGAGTTTCTAGAAAGAATTGCTGGGGATTCTCATTTTAGACACCATCAAAAATATAACTGCAGGCAGTTCTTCCTAATAGAAAAAAGAAGACATCCCACTTTCTTCATTCATTTATGTTATTATATGTTCCCCATATAAGCTCCTGGTTTTAGAGTTCATCGGGATCCTTTTTTAAAAAAACAAATAATTACATGCCATTTAAATCTATTTTTAGAACTATCTCCTGCCAAATTTGGGGCAAAACTGTCTTGGAAGAGACTTCAATGAAGAAAGAATAGTAATAAAAAAGGCAGTAAGTTAAACTAAGTTAACATTAACTGCAATGAGTTAAGTACATTTAATGCACCATTTTAATAGTCTCTCTCTCTTCCCCCCTTCTCTCTCACACACTCCCCCCCTCCTACAAAGTAAAATGGTGCTATGTTACTGATGAGAAAACAGAAGCTTGTCGATATTAAGAAACATGTTGACTTCACAGAGCTAATAAAGGAGGGATTCTAGATTGAACCTCCTTTGCCTGACACCAGAACCACTCTAGGATAATCAAAATAGACTTTCTAACTGAAAACTTTCCTGGATCTCAACTGTAAACATTGATAATTAAAGATTCTGTTTAAAATTAGTATCATGGTTTTGTCAACCTTTACAATGATGTATGATATGAAATACAATGATGTTATAATATGAAAAAGTAAAAACTGTGACTTCGATGCTGCAAAATTCATAAGATTTCATATAGCCCCAATATTAAAATGATTATTTTAAAAAAAACTTATAGTTGTTTGCTTTGATAAAGAAATAAAATGTCCTCTTTTTCAACGTTTTAAAAGTGATAGTAAAGGAAATACATTGTTTTTTATTGACTTTGTTGAAAATAAAATTATGACAGGTTCCTATTTTATCTGGTATATACATGTTATTAATTTTGCATTACTGAATGATTTATCATTACAATGCATTATTATAGTTGTTATCATATTACTTCAACTATGCACACCAACACAAACAATGGCACTATTAAAAGTGCTTTAACTATGCAGCAGACTAAAAATTTGTTAGTTCAAAAAACAACAATTACTTTTATCATATTACTCTTTTTGGTCAAATTGTTCAAACTCTGCCAACTTCTTCTATATTCCTTTCAGTATTGATACTCATGAGATTACTCTCATTTTTTTTTCACTGTCTGAAACACTTACTTCATTTTTCCAATTCGTTTCACTTCATTTTTCCAATTCATTTCTTAAATAGTCACATAGCCCCAAATCTCCAAAACCAGCAACAGATGACACATCTTAACAATTAAGATATTAAGAGACTGGTCGATATGGCTAAATGGTTGAGCAATGATCCATGCACCAAGAGGTCGCTAGTTCGATTTCTGGTCAGGGCACATGCCCAGGTTGCGGGCTCAATCCCCAGCAGGGGGCATGCAGGAGACAGCCAATCAATGTTTCTGTCTCACTGATGTTTCTATCTTTCCCTCTCCCTTCCTCTCTCTCTAAAAATCAAAAAAAGGAAAAGATAGTAAGTGAAAATATACTGTGGATTTTTTCAAATATACAATTTAAAGGAAAAAAAAAACCTAAACTGAAATAACTTCACTTTTGTAGAACAAAGCTATAGTAAAAGGAAAAGTAAATATTATAGTAGGGTGAGATGAAGGTCAACAATATGGTTATTCTACTTCCTTGGTTCCAGAGTCACTGCAGACCTTTTTCATTTGAAAATCCCAGAACCCAAACTACCCCTTGGAATTCGCTGTCAGGTTTACTCTCTCTGACAAAGTGGGTCAGGTGCTAAATTAAAGGAATAGCTGCTTTTTCCTTAATCTTCTAAAGGACTGCATACATAATCTTAGGACAGCTGGACTGACAGCGTAGAGATGAAATCACACTGCACTGGGCGGTGGAGAGGGGAAGAAGGGAGTGGGCACTGGGGGAGGGAGCAGCCTTGGTGACGGGGGCACTGCAGTGGGTGAGGAGCTGGGGGGGGGGGCACTTCTTCCTGAAATGACTGCTTCCCCAAAGGGCCTAGTAATTTGTCAGCGAATCTCAGATTCCCCAGCACAAAAGAATCTCTCTTTTATGAAAGGGAGGCAAAGAAGCACAAAGTACAAACGTGCAAACTCCAGGAGAAGGGAAGGGTAGTTTCCATAGTGAAATTATATGCATTCAATTCAAGCACGCGGGGGGTGGGGGTGGGGACAAAGGTACAGGAGGGACTTCTTTAACACGGAACATTTTATCTTTTTGTGGTGGCGCTTGTTAATAGAAATCTTCATTTTAAATAATGCTTCTCTCCAGACAATTTCATCTTCCTATCAATGGGATTCAGCAGGTAGCCCGATAAAGAGATTCAGGATTCTAAACTTGTCGAAACAACAACAGCTGTAATACTGCATGACTGCAGGAGACTCATTTCGTGTCCTCACGAGCTCAGAAAATTGAAGCAGAATTAGGTCACTCAAGTTTTTCATACAGATTGAACAGTAAATCAAGAGGGGTGACTGTTCTGGCAAGAAAAAGAGTTCCATTAAAGGCCACAGATATTTGTTCAGGTCCAGAGGAGAAGTTTATGATTCCTGCAGGAGAGTTATTTGAACAGAAAATGACACTGGTACATTTTGTTCCTTCGTGGAGCTGAGTGACACTTTTAAAAAGAGAGAGAGAGGGAGACCGACTTTTTGAAATTCTGCTGCTCAAGTAGCCCTTGGTCATTTTTGGGAAGGACCTTTCAGGGTTTCAGTGGCTACCAGGGCAGGGCAGGAAAAGCACAGACTCTGTTTGCTTCCTGAAGCAAGGAGGACGCACAACTGTTTTCGGACTAAATTCTGACTTGAGAGCACAAGGCTGACAGAACACAGAGATGCTCTCCGCTGGAATCTGAAATACATCTCCCGTGCATACCGTCCGTCGTGCAATGGGTTTACATGCTGACGTGACAACGCCTGGAGCCCTTTTGCTCAAACATCCCACTCTCAATGGGAGAACTGAATGAAGTTAGGCATACTGACGGGGCACAGAAAGTGTGCCAAAAAGGCAAGGCACCCCCCACAAAAAGCACTGGGAATATCTCTCTGACACTTATTACAGAGAAAAGCAATAAAGGTCCTTCATGAGAGAGAGGTGTTCAAAGAGAAAGGATCCAGCTTTAATGGGAGAGCAGTGTTTTAACTGGAGACTCTGCTACAGATCTGAGGCAAATATTCATATGCATAAACTAACGCTGTTACTAAATGCTGAAGGTCAATGTTCAAAATCCTGATTTTATGATGAACAAGGAAAAGCAGCCAAGGGACTTAATGCTAAAAAAAATATATGAAATTCTGACAATTTCCTTTTTTTCATAGACAAGGTAAGTGATATTACAACGGTCAAAGAAACCAACATCTGCTAATGAATTTCTGACAGATGACTTTGCTCAAATTAAATTTATAAATTTGGCCCAGCTGCTGTGGTTCAGCGGTTGAGTGTCGACCCACGCACCAAGAGGTCGCCGGTTCGATCCCCGGTCAGGGCACACGCCCAGGTTGTGGGCCTGATCCCCAGTGAGGGGCTTCCAGGAGGCGGTCAATCGATGTTTCTCTCTCATCGATATTTCTATCTGTTTCTCCCTCTCCCTTCCCCTCTCCCTAAAGTCAATAAAGAAAAAAAATTTATAAATTTGTAAGAGACTTTTTTTTTAAGACCTTGCTCAAATCCTTGATCAGAAAGTAAAGATACCCTGGACCCTTCCAGTTATCAAGGCTACAGGCTAAGTAAGCTATTCTCTCACAAGAGAGGCAAAGGGACATGTTTCTTAGCTGTCTTTAGAAGTGCCTGAAGGACTTCATCTAACCCCTTTTCAAAGACAAATCGAACTAATCTCAGCAGGTGAACAGTTTACCTTCACAGAGGCAGAGCCAGCTGTTGCTCTAGAAGGAAGACAGAAGATGCCCCTGCAACGCAGCCCGTGCAAACCTGTGCTCCTCGGGGTGGCCATGGGAATCTCAGTCCAAAGGACCCGCCAGCTTTTTGGACCCAGAGTGGCCAAATCAATCATTTCAAAAACCATGCAGCTTTATAAACGAGGAGACATTTATCAAGTAATAATACTATGAAAAATAGCCATTCCACCACATTCTACAATGTGTATAGTTTAAAAGATACTGACAGATATATTTTTTAATTTAATTTTTGTTTTTTAAAAATATATTTTTATTGATTTTTTTTTTTTTTTGAGAGAGAGGAAGGGAGAGAGACAAAAACATCGATGTGAGAGAGAAACATCGATCGGCTGCCTCCTGCACACTCCCCAATGGGGATCAAGCCCGAAACCCCAGCATGTGCCCTGACCAGGAATGAAACCAGGACCTCTCAGTCCATGGACGACCCTCAATCCACGAAGCCACATCAGCTGGGCCACATAAATTTTTTTTTTAATTGCCACAGGAGGGAAGGACAAAAATTTTTCACACACTGGATTAGGCTAAATAGTACTACTTAATACTGTATACTCAGGGAGACCATCCATTAAGATCACTTCCCAAAAAAGGTGCTAACATGATCTCAGTACAAGAAAAGTCAGCAATTAAAATGCTGGTGAAAATGATAAAGCAAATTTAGAAGTTAGTAAAATACACACACACACAAAACACAGGCTGAATAAAGAAAAATACAGAGAGTGACTATGATGTTATGAGGGTAATTTACATGACTTAACAAAGGTACTGGAAGCTTTGTGCCTTCAGGGTAGGAAAACAAATGGTGGCTCTTAGGAAGTCAGAATTATAGAGTAAGTGATACTCTCTATCCCATTCAGTGTCTTTTAAGAAATGCTTTTAATTTTTTATAGCAATATAAATAAAGGACTGCATATAAATAGTTTTTCTGTCCAAGAAATATTTGCTAATATTTGACTTTATAATACACAGCAATTATTTGCCCAATAAAACCTATCAACATTGAAATATCAATTGATGATGAGTATCTGGCTCTCTAGGGATACATAAAATGCTGGAAGCAGAAACATAAAAGCTCTTAATTGAGGATTAGCAATAGTAATGGGACTAGTTATACTTTTCATCCAAAAACTGCACACATTTAATGGAAAGTTACTGTGGTGTCTTTCAGAATAACTCTCAAAGCTGATAGCTTAGTATTTAAATCTAGTAATAAATAAGTCTTGTACTTTTCAATAAAGTTTAAGGTAATGTTTTAAAAGGGAGCCTACATATTGCTACTAACATTCCCTATAATTTAAAAAATATATATGTTTTTATTGATTTTTAGACAGAGAGGAAGGGAGAGAGAAACATCGATGTGAGAGTGAAACATTGATTGGCTGCCTTCTGCACACCCTCTACCAGGGATCAAGCCTACAACCCGGGCATGTGCCCTGACCGGGAACGGAACTGGCAACTTTCAGTGCCTAAACAACTGAGCCACACCAGCCAAGGTTCCCCATAATTTTTAAACTTTCACTTTCTTTTACATGAAATCATTTTTGGGAAATAATAGTAATAGCTAATGTGTATTAAACATCTTTGTCATTTTATCTCCCCCCACAAGAAATACTCTAATCCCCTCTTTTAACAAATGAGGAAACTGAGTCACAGAAAAGCGATGGAACTAGACCAAGGTAACACAGCTACTAAATGACAGAGCATCCTTTCTGTCTAACTCCAGGAACCACAGTCTTAGCTTTGCTTTAATCTTAACTCAATACTTATTGGGCTTCTTTTCTGGTTAACATTAACCATTTACATGAGGGGTCTGCTAACTATGGCCTGTGGGCCAAATCCTTCCCACAGATGTTTTTGTAAATAAAGTTTTATTGGAATGCAGCCAGCCTATTCTCGTCTATGGCTGCTTTCTCACTCAAAGGGCAGAGCTGAGTAGTTGTGAAGTAGACCACAGGGCCCTGCAAAGTGTAAAATATTTACTACCTGGTCCTTTTCAGAGAAGGTTTGCCAACCCGATTTAGATAAATGTGCCAAATGAGGTGAAAATTACGTTTCTGGAGGAAGGATTTCAAGATGGACTGCATATGAAGACACTTACATGGGGCTTACTTCTAAAGTTGGACCAAGGCATAGACCAAAAAAAAAAAAGGGGGTGAATTTAAACAAAAAATATATTATATCAAACTATGGAAGTATGCTTAGTATCATGAGATGTGTCATTAACCTGCAGGCGAACACTCAACATCCGACCAGCTCACAGTCACAGTTAAGGAGCAGCTGGCAAAGTAGATCAGGACGCTGCATAATTTACACGTGACATGACCACTTTCTGGGAGACACAGGAACTCCAGGCTGGGTTTGTGATCTTCACATCCCCAGTGCCCAACACAGTGCCTGGCATGTCACAGGAGTTGATAAACATTTCCTGATTAAAGGAGTGAAAATCACAGTCCTGCCAACCCAGAGCCATCAGAGTCCCCTCACTTCCCCAACCCCAATGGGAAACAAACTTTTTCTGAAACCATTCTCATAGCATGAGTTTTGGCCTCTGCAATCTTCCTTAAGCTTTTCCCTCATCAAAACCCTAGGAGACACTGCGCCGACCCCCCATGCTGGTGGTTCTTGCAAGAACACAGCAGCTTCACCCCTCCCGGGACGGGGGTGCATTACCTATATTCCCGCTCCTGCAGAATCTCCACGGGGTCCAGGCCTTGAGGTTTCTGAATGGGGCTAATCCGGCTCTGCTTCTGCTGCAGCTGCAGGATGGGCGAGGGCTGCCCGGGGGCGGGCTGCGGCACAGAGGGCCCGGGCACTGCGGCCGTGGGCGGCTGAGCTGCTGCGGGGGGCGCAGGTGAGGGCCGGCCGCTGGGCGCGGGCACTGGCAGCTTCTGCGGGGTGCTCGGGCCGCTCAGCTCTGGCCCAGGGCCTGTGGGACAAGAGCGACATGAGCAGCTTGGGCGGGTCATCGACCTGCAGCCACACCAGGCCTGCCCGCTGTCCCCCTGGGGCCCAGTGATGGGGATGAGTAAATGTCTCAAGAGAAGAGAAAAGGAGGGAAGGAAAATGAAAAAGGAGGGAGGGGTGGAGAGAAAAGGCGGAGGAAGGAAGAGAAACAAAAAGAACCTGGCATCTATCTCCATGGGGAAAATGGCCTTCACTAATGAACGTGGGTGAAAATGGCCCAAAAATGACTCTTAAGTAATAAACTAAGGAATGGACTGCCAGATTTTAATGTAGGTCTACAGTGGATTTTTAATAAGAATTACAGGTGCAGTCAGAGTTCCAAAAAGTAAGGGAAGAACCTAACAGTCAAATGCAGTCTGGGCGTGGTCCTACAATCACATTTTGCCAACTGCAGGCGAGCCAGCAGGGGACCTGGGTCCCCATCTGGAAGAGCCCTGCTGTTGGAACCAGACTCCACAAATGCAGCCAGGAGCCTGCCAGTGGGTCCTCCAACTGAACTCAGAGGGCACACATTTTCCCTTAATGTCCTAGAAAGTATATGTCAGAATAAATCAGTGCATCTCAGAACTTCAATTTTTCACTACATATTAGGAAATATATCTAAAAACATTCAGTGTCGGGGGAAAACATCAGCTCATCCTACCTAATAAAAACCAGCAAATATTAAGATTAAAGAGAGCATTCTTTTCACGTTATCAGAATAAAGGAATATGCAATCATCAAGCTTATTGGAATGTACTAAATAAGTTAATTTAAAGCAACTGTCCACATTAAAGTTAAGGAGTTTGAATGATAAGTATGGATCTAGCATAAGAAGTATTCCATCTCTCCTCCTAAGTGAATTTTTCCTTACTTCAAAACTACAAATACGATTAGTGATACTACCAGATGACGTAAAAAAAAAGAATCTCAGTAAGCAGAAGTTAAAACCTCTCAGGCATTCTTTCAAGTGATTTCTATATCTTTTCCAAGAAAAATTAAAATTATCAAAAGGTAACAAAAATAGTAGTCTATATAATTCAGAACGACTAATAATTAACCATACAAAGACATACATTATGAAAAATTAAACACATTTATTAAATTTCCAGCACATAGCATTTAGAAATGGGCTTAAATGACAATGCACAGGCAGCTATAAGCAAACATTTTGACAGGAGGAATGTGAAGAATTAGAACAAATTGCTTAGGAAACTACTGTGTGTGTGTGTGTGTGTGTGTGTGTGTGTGTGTGTGTGTGGTGTTACTGCTGTTCTTTTCTCCCCACTTCTTCTGAAGTTAGGTAAAACTTTTCAAAACATACTGAGCTAGATAAGACTTCTTGATGTAATCTGCAGCCCTGGTTCTAGGGTTGATAAAAAATTCTTGAGGAAAAAATACATTTATTTTTATTTTTTATTTTAGGTACTGTAGGTATACTATCATAATAAAGAGATTCTTTTTTAGCTAAGTACTTTCTGATTTTCTTTTTTTTCAAATGAGAGGTGTTCTACATAGTGTATAGCTTTCATACTATTTTATACTTAGAGTTTCTTTCATTCATATATAAGAAACCAATTTCTAGACATTAACTCTCAGGGTTGTTAAGCATTAGAATGCATTATGGAGGGGCATTGCAGGGTATTTTTTCCCTAGAAGTCTTTAAAAACAGGGTAGATTTTTCATTTGTGGTGCTTTAGGTGTGAGCCAGCCAAAAGAGAGGAGCTACAGATTTCTAACATACAGTGTAATTCTCTGTGATTTTCCGAATCTCCTTAATAAGCTCAAGAAACTGGCAAAGTAAATACATTTAAAGACTTGGCATAGCATACTAAGTAATGAGAAAAAAACCCACCACCTTTAATAAAAAAGAAAATTTGGGTCTTACTGAGAAGACAATATCATAATAATTACCTTAAATTCAGTTCTCAAATTGTTTTTCCTCTTTTCAAAGTTAAATAATTCATCAACAAAGGTTGTAATAGTGCAAATCCCGTTTCAATTATTCTGGGCATTTTTTCTTTAGCATCATAGTCTGCAGATACCTATGCAGAAGCCTACGCCGACTCCTTGAGATATATATTCAAGTCACTATTTTAAAAAACCATATATATATTCCAGAGCATGTCTGATTTCCCTGGTTCTGAATCTAGTCCTTTTTAGCCCGTGACTTTCAACTAAAGCTGACACGGGCACGCACGGCTGGCCTTCCTTAACCGATAAATACAAAGACGTTCTTATCTGGCTAACTGACCCTTAAAATCGAGAAGCAAAGAGAGACCCAAACATGGACTTACATCTCCACATCTCCAACTTAAACAGTGCTACAACCTGCTGTGAATTAAACAGGGACAGTTAAAGCACCCTGTGCCAACAGTAAGGTAAATTTGACCTCAGCTCTATCACCTGCTGGCTGTGTGAGCCTCAGTTTCTTCATCTGCAGAATAGTGATAACAACAGTATCCACCTCAGAGGGTAGCAGTGAGGAGTCCATGAGACAACGCCACTTTGTGCTGCCACCAAGGACACACAGATAAAGAAGTCTAATTTAATTACTCAGCTTTACAGAGACACCGTGACAACTTTTAGGAAAGTTGGGGTTGCATTAGCTGGCAACTTGGGAAGTACTCTTTTCTACGGCAAACTTCAGAATTAAACTACAGTTTAATAGGACTTGGCACAAGGACTCTGAGAAGCTGGCTTGCCATGCGCTACCTGGGACCCTCCTAGCAGACTCCTTTCCTAACCAAACACGCAAGTTCATTTACTGCATGGGTCTATTTTCTACTCCCTCCAACAGATTATATAAATTTCTATTTACAGAGGCTGGGGGATAGAATGCAGCCTGCCACAATTAGACATGCCCAGAATGTCATGACCTACCCATTAGGTGTTATGCCCGTCCCTCAGGCAGCTTAGAGCTGAGCTGCCCGACTGGGTCTGCTGTTGACAGAAATCATCTCTACAGCAGACATTGGGGTCTGCTAAACAACAGACCTCTCTCTGGTATCTTAAACGCAAGACAAATTACATTCTTTAGCTTATCTCCTACTCCCTCTCCAATGTAAACAATTTAGGTCTGATTGTCAGAGGGGCAAAATGCGTCTGTTTCCCCTGCAGTCCTCACCTTAGAAGTCAAAGTAGAGGTATGCCCCAACACTCCTGAGTGGCATCCCAGGGCAGCTAAGGGGCGTGGGGGTGGGGGTTCTTTACTGGATGCACCCCATGCCTGAGTTTAAGAAACAGGGAAACAGCCCTGGTTGGTTTGGCTCAGTGGTTAGAGGGTCGGCCCATGGACCAAAGAGTCGCAGGTTTGACTCCCATCAAGGGCATGTACCTCAGTTTGTAATTCGGTCCCTGGCCCTGGTCGGGGTGGTGCAGGAGGCAACCAATCAATGTGTTTCTCTCACATTGATGTTTCTCTCTCTCACACACTCTATCTGAAGATAAATGGAAAAATATCCTTGGGTCAAAGCCATTCAAACACCGCAGCACAGGTACAGAATTCCTGTGCATTCTGAGTTCCCAATTTGCCTTCTGGTTCACAAGAACATTTATGTAAATAACAATTCCATGCATCAAATAAGAATTTCAGGTTTCCACAGGTTAAAAAAAGGAAATTTAATAAAGTGTTCTTACACTGACCATACCCAGGAACTTGAGATAACTAGAAAAATCAGGTGAGTGGGAGGGGACAAGCAGTGAAATGTGGCAACAGAACTTTTACTTTCTACCATAAAGTCCTTTCTGCAACCCCTCGAACCCAAACCTTCTCAATTCCCTTTTCTTTTTTAATCCTCACCCAAGGACATTTTTCCATTTTTTGGTTCAGATAGAGAGGGAGAAAAAGAGAATGAGAGAGAGAGACATCAACATGAAAGGGACATATCGAGTGGCTGCCTCCCGCATGACCCAACCAGGGCCGGGGACTAACTGCAACCGAGGTACATGCCCTTAGCGGGAACCAAACCCCGGTCTCTCTGGACTGTAGGACTACGCTCGAACTGCTGAGCCAAACCGGCCAGGGCATCTCAGTTCCCATTTTAAATTTTGCTTTAGTCTCTAAAAGGATAAATTAATCAACATGAAAAGAAAAATGGTGGGTGAGATTTGAGGGGAGCCCATAAGGGGACTGAAGAGTTAGTCATTTGTTCGCTCAGCAATTCCTCCAGTTGAACTGTAATTCTCTGGTGGTAGCTATGATGATGTCAATTTTGGTGATTTATAACTTTGGAGTAGGTTTGAGGCAGACCACCCCAGCCAAAAGGATTCGGCTTCACACATGAGTAACACTAGAAAATGGGACAAAAGAAAAATGAAATCTCAGCTACCCCCAGATAAGAGGATATCCTTAAATTTATTTTTTTCTGACATATTAGTAGAGATATTGATAAGCAGTTATACTTTATTTTTAAAAGGGGGGAGAGAAAAATAACAGTAACAATTAATAAAAAGTAATATTGACTTTTAAAAAAACTTCTTTCCTTATTTTGATTTGTCCTAAATGCCAATCCAAAAAAAAAAAAAAGTTTGTCAAGTAAGGCTATCATCTCCCTGTGAAACCGGGTATGTGGGGAAAAGTTCAGCAATGCTGTCAGATGCAGCTTCTCAGGGCAGGATGGGTCTGCTCTATTTGAAGGAGGTGTCTTCCTTCCTCCTCCATCCACAGCCGCCTTGCCCACTATGGCATAAAACACTGTCTGCCCAAATATTTTCATTTCTGGTGAAGCCTGACTCCTGGAAACCCAAAAGACAGGAGCAGTGAGTGATAAAATGAATTCCCCAAAATGACAGGGGCCTGGTTGAGGGAAGATATAGGCATTGAGCTGTGCTTCAAAAATGGAGCCCTCTCTTCTGGAAATGATCTAGAAAATGCACAGGACTGTGTTTATTAGGACATGAAGTATTTGTTATGTTCGAGTATCCAGATAACTGGAACTTCATCCTTTAATCTTCCTGGAGAAAACAATATTTGTAGAAGGTCATCCTATAGCCCCCTGTAGCTCTGAATTCTACCAGTGGGATGAAGTCAGGCCACCAGAAGGCTATGCAAGGACTATCTCATCTCGACCCGTGACATAATGTCACAGCCTCATATTTGATGCCAGGGTATGTAAGAAATAGGCCATGTGGATTCTGTTACTCTATTTATGATGAATAAATGTCATCTATGCCTCTACCATGCAGTGCCACTTACAATAATAATAGTAATTTAAAAAGGTAAGTCCAGCCCTGGCCAGGTGGCTCAGTTGGTTGGAGCATCATCCCGTGCACTAAAAGGTTGCAGGTTTGAGTCCCAGTCAGGGCACATACCTAGGTTGCAGGTTCGATCCTTGGTTTAGGCACATATGGGAGGCAACTGACAGATGTTTCTCTCTCACATCCATGTTTCTTTCTCTCTCTCTCTCTAAAATCAATAAAATATATCCTCGGGTGAGGACTAAAAATAATTCCACCTGGGAAATCTACTTTTCGCTCTCATGCTAGAAATGGATCTGTTTCCTCTGTGAACTAGTAAGCAACTCCCCTCCGAATGGGGAGAATCAGGTGCCTGACCCTGTCTCCTTTCCTGACTGCCTGGAAACTCCAGTCACCCGGGACACTGAGACGTGGCAACCGTGAGAACTCTTGCGGCCCCCACATGCCTGACCTTGACTTCTATTTCCCTTTGTTTCTGATTTTCTACTTGACAATTATTTCATTGCGGGCATGTTTCTTGGAAGCCTCCCCAAATGCTTTTCACAACAAAAAGGGGTAGAAACAAATAAATCGACGGGCATAAAATGGCTCAAGGAGAGCGGACTCGAGGAGCGCATCTGGCCATGGGATGCCATGCTCTTCGCCTGGGGGTGTGGATGGGCTTCCTGCAAACCTTGAACCTCTTGAAAAGGAGTGCAAAATCATGCGGGGCAGTGCTTCTCTCCTAAGTCTACGGCGTGCACCAGAGTCCCCAAAGGTTAAGTAGCACCTCTCCAGGACTCTAATAGCACAAAGGGCCAAGACATTTGGCCAACTAAGTGAAGCAAGACAAGGGAGAAGGCTGGCTAGGTACCGCAAAAGGCTGAGACAGCCCTGGGTTCATACCAACCCAGCGCTTCTGTGCCTCGAGCAGTCTTTCTCATCCGAGCTGGACCATCACATCACTCATTTGGTTGTATATTAACCTACCAGATGGTCTGTTGAAGTTAACAAGGGCCTGCTGCTGCGGCTGCTGCGGCTGGGGCGGCGGCTGCTGCGGCGGCGGCGGCTGCTGCATGCCGGGCAATGTCCTTTTCCCCTGGACTGCAAGCTGCAGCGTTTCAGGGAGGTGCTGGCCCCGGGCCAGCATTTTGTAAGCTAAAATCTGAGCTCGCAGCTGATGCAGCTGGACAGGACTGAAAGGAGAGGGACCTCTGTTGGGCTGGTTCATCGCCTGCGGGTCACCAGGGATGAGGGGCCCTGGCTGGTTCTGTGGCATCTGGGGTGGAGTCGGGCCGCCTCCCGATGACATGGGGCTGGAGATATGCTCGGCGGCTCCCAGGGGAGAGGGGTGCGGCGACATATAACCTGGAAGAAAACAGAAAAGGACATCACAGGCTGCCCTGCTGCTCCTGAAAGACAGGCATTCCTGAGTATTTGGATAATTTTCTACATCAGTGCTGACAGAAACTTAAAGCATATATAACTTAATCATTACATAATTACGCAATAAAATGTGTACATATCAAATGTATATATAATTGGATATTTTCTAGCAGTCACATTAAAAAGTAAAAAGAAACCAAAAACATAAAACGAATGTTAATAATGTATTTCATTTAAATCAGCATGTCCAAAATATGATTATTTCAAAATATAAAAGTTATCAGACATTTTATATTCTTTTTTTTTTCTTACTGAGTTACAGCACATCTCAGTCAGACTCGCCACATTTCAGGCGATCCGCAGCCACGCGTGTCCAGAGGCTGCGTCCGCCCAGAGGCGGGCACGGGGCAGCGTGACCCGGGGAAAGGAGCCCCGCCCAGAGCGCAGAACCAGCGGGGTCTGCCGTATCGCAGTGTGGCATGAAGTGTCTCTCATGGAGATAACAAATACTACTTGCTTTATTATGATGCACATTGTGAATAATTTGCCATCGTTGAGGGTCACACTGCTGCTGGAGTGTGTCAGGCACTGTACACGCTATACTGGTTGGATTGTCCGTGGAAACAGAGCCTGATGGGAGGATGGAAGGTGCAAGGACACTGGCAGGGGGTGGAAAGGTGATCTAAGGAAGGGGAGCAGCCAATAAGGGGTGTGCTCGTCAGCCAGCTGTTGCAGTGGGCACCTGAAGCTGAATCTCCCGCAGAAGCTCTGGATGTAAAGTAAATAAACTGCCTCCAAATTATCCCAGGGAAGGGGTAAGGAGCTGGGTGTTTATACTCTAAGGCTCTTCTGTCACGGCTCATGTCACTGGTTTTGACTCTGGGGATAGTGAGTCCCCAGGGACTTTCCCATGTGTGGCTAAGGTGGACACAGCAGGCAGGATGGTGGTCAGGCCGGTGGGAGCACAGAAATGGTAGAAATGTAGAAATGGTAAGAATTAAAGGGATAGGAATGGAGCATCCATTATTTCTTTAATCCTCACAACATCTCAGAAGAGATATATATATACACAAAATCACCTCATTTTTTTTTAAATGAGAAAACTGAGGCTCAGAGAGTGAGCGAGTCACCAAGATCACCTCATTAGATCTTGGCAGCTCCGTAATTCAAGCCAAGGTTTGTCTGATTCCAATACGCATGCTCTTTCCAGGGTCTAATATTAACCGGTTTGACAAAAATATTAATTTTGGTTTTAAATTAAAGACTTAAAAGTTTCAAAAATATTCTAGAAGATTACGATTCATAAAAATGAGAGCAAACGGTCTGGGTTATAAGAGATCTAAATGAGAAATTTACGAATACTTTTATTGAGGAAGAAAAGTCAAAATGAACAAACATCGGAAGGGACTTATTTCAGAAGTTGAGCTGCATAGCTCGGCCAAAGAATTCCTAGAAAAACGTATGACCGAGACCCAAGATGAAGGAGAGAACCAGGTGGCCTACCGCAGTCTAAGGGGCTGCCTTGAGTTCAAACTAAGTGCTAATTAATGAAGTCAAAGGCGTGCTCAGACACAATATAAAATATCAGACTAAAGACCGCTGCCCTTTAATAAATGTACTTGTGTCATAATTATCATAAAGGTCATCACCTGGGTGTTTATTAGACATCTGCAGTGTCAAGTTTGAGCTGAAATGGCTCTGTGACCTATGTGGAATCATAGCGACCTGAGGCTATGTGACCGTCGCAGGCTGGGGACTCACCATCCCCTTTCACCAGACCACAGAATGTAAAGGATACAGTTACTTTTCTCTCAAATTGCCATTTGGATAGGGAAACACATTTAGCTTGATCCCCTAAGACAAGAGTAGGTTTTGTTCCATCAGTTGGTGACCAGTAAAACTCCTTTCAGAGAAATCCTGTCCCGAAGAGAAATGAAGAACTACTCTCATTCCCCAAATCCCCAACTCCACAGGGAACACAAAAACCCCCAAGCAATTAGGGTTCTGGTCGGTGATATAAATTAGCCAAGAGAATGCCCTTGAAATAAGCCTGCAAGACTAGCGGAAATTTAATCCCAGTATATTGTCATGTATAACAATAAACACTTACAGAGTATCAACAACATACACTTAACTTCATCATTAACATTCTTCCTTTTTTAATGAGGCTTACATTCGCTCTTTAATTGTAACGCTGGTGCAAAGTGGCGGTGTGTTGGTGTGTTCATTATGAAAGCACCTGCCTGACAACTTTTTGGCCAACCCTGCACCTGTCACAGGGAGAAAAACTTCCCACCAAAGCTAATGACATTTTCATAGTAGAAGGGCTATAGCCGGGCATTAAAATGGATCATACATCCATCCCCTGTCTCTGGTCTCTCCTATGTCCTAAAGTTATCCATTATAGCTTACCCATGATAATCATAGGGTGCCTAAAATAATCAACCAAAACTTTAGACAGTCCAGTCTAAACTCAACTGCATAACACTGTTTACCAAATGTCTTGTACATTGTGAACTGTGGGCAAGACCAAGTGATGAAGGTGAGAGTTACACTATGCACAATAATTAATTTTACTTCAAATTTGCTGAAAAACAAAACAAAACAAAACAGTGGAATAAAACTCATTTTCCAGAATTAATCAATAAACAAAATTTTACCTCAAACTTAATCAGAAGAAACTAAAGGTGGAAAAAATCGTTTCCTAGAATTTATAGGGGATGTTAATAGAATCATTCTATCACAGTATATTAAAAATGTGACAATGTTTCAGCTAAAGAGAATTTTTTGTTGTGTTGTTCACTTCAGGAGAAACAGAATCTAAGTGATGAAGCCATATAACGTATTTTGGCAATTACCTTTAGCTGAGAAAACAGAGTGAAGAAATTGCCTGAGAGTAAATATTCATTTGTCTAGAGGATGACAACCTTGATGCAAACTCTGCTGTTGATTCGCTCACTCAGAAGCAAAGAGTGAGCGGTTCTCCTTCCCTCGCCTTCAAGGCCATTATCTCCCCAGCTTCACCTTGCCTCGGAGAGCAGCAATCACCTCTCTCCTTCTAATAATCTTCAACTTATAAGTACCGATTTTATATACATTTTCTCCTCACACACACCCCCCCACACACATGCAAACACTAAATATTATACACTTTGCCTTTGAAGGCTTTTTTTTTACCCCATGGACTAAAAATAAACAATGTTATCACTGGGACCATAAGGTACACAATTCAGTATTTATTGAAGGAAATGGTTTTGCTTCTCAACCAATACCTTAAAATAACCTAATAGGTTGCTAGGTACTTAAGGCTGGCAGCTTTCTGATCAATACCACACCTCTCTGTACCTGAGTGTTTATAAATGGCTTTCTACAATAGGATTTTTAAAGATACATGTTATTATAGAGTCTAAAGTCATTTTAAATCATTATATTAAATAAGACTGCATTATACCAATACTACTTAGTCAAAAACACAGTTTTAAGTAACTCATTCCCCAGCCTACAATGCACTTTGCTATTTTAGAGAAAAATATTACATGCTAATTCTGATTTCATTTAATGCAGACCCCTGAATTTCAAAGTAATTAGAATGTACTAAACTTACATAAAAATTAAGAGCTATTTAAAATTGTTGACTTCTGAATGCACAGGTTCACTTCTCTACTTAATTGAACAAAATTTCCTAAGTATGTATCCAGTTATGTGCTAGATATTGGTACCAAGTGTTGGAGAGTCCAAGAAAAATCATCACTCTTAAGTTGAAGAAAGGAACCAAGCAATGAGAGAAATCTGAAGATATGGTGAAAGTTTTATGAGTCTTCTAAAACAGTGATGCCTACCTACCTGTCATCAAAATTCAGATGTTCAAAAACCTGTTTAAATATTAGTAAAGACACAACTCCTATGCCACCATGACTTGAATATATATATATATATATATATATATATATATATTTTTTTTTTTAAACTGAATTCATTTCTCCAAATCCTTACACTAAAAAATCTCCTCTCAGGTGAACGGATTAGAGTCTAATCATAGATGGAGAAGAAAGCTCACATACATGAAATTACAGAGAAGTATACAAAGCAACGCATAAACCATAAACTTTGAATTAGAATATCATCATATCAGGGTAAATTAGTGCTAGATTAACCCACGCCCTTTGCATGTTAAGGTGACCATACAATGATTGTGAATACAAGTTACATTGTATTCAAAAGACTCTGAGGTATCTTTACTCTGCCTTCAGCAGTGAGGCACCAAGGAGAAGAGAGATAGATTTGGCCATTTTTGTGGGTTGAATGGTGCCCTCTACAAAGATAAGCTGAAGCCCTAACCCCTAGCAGCTGTGAATGTGACCTTATTTGGAAATAGGATTTTTGCAGATGTAATCAAATTAAGGTGAGGTCACAGCGCATGAGGCTAGGTCCTAATCCAATGCCTGGTATCTTCGTAAGGGGGAAATCTGGAAACAGACACAGATACACAGGAAAAATGTCATGTGGAGACCAAGACCGAGATAGGAGTGCTAGATCTGCAAGCGAAGGAATTCCAAGGATGCAACCACCAGACGCTAGGAAGAGGCAGTAAATTCTTCCCCAGAGCCTTCAGGGAGATGGCCCTGCTGGTGCCTTGATTTCAGACTTCTGGCCTCCAGAACTGTGAAAGAATAATTTTCTATTGCTTTAAACCACCCAGTTTGCAGTAGTTTGTTAAGGGAGCCCTAGAGGAGCTACCCACCAGCAATGATGGGTAACTCCATAAAAAGCCATCATACAGACAATGTAGGAATGTGCTACTCAAGGGACACAGGTGGCCCCTGCACCTGAACATCTACACTGTTGATAGGATGCAGACCAGGACCCCCCTTCTGGCCCTGTCACTTACAGGCTGTGGAAACTTAGGGAAACAAAGTAAATTCTCTGAGCTTGAGCTTCCCATCTATGAAACTGGGATGATGTCATTTACCGTACAGGGTCGGGATAAGGATTCTGCATAAAGTACCTAAAGCACTTTGCAGAGTGCCTGGCCTTGTGGGGGCGAGTAAAACCACCAGCACTTTGTTAATGAAACGGGCCATGTGGATGATGAAGCTGTGTCGGTGGGGCCGGGGGAGGTGTCTACAGGGAGAAGAAACCTGCTGCGCTCAGTCTTCCTCAGACATGTTCTCTGGGCGTCATAGATAAAATCATCCATACGAAAGATGAGCGACTAGGGTACGACGCCAAAAGCAGGTACGTAGTGGTACAGACCTTGGCTGTGTTGATCCATGGGACTCTGGGGAGGGCCCATTCCTGGGTGAGGTGGCCGCATACCGGTGCCCTTCATGGACCCACAGTGCATATCTTCTGCGATGGCCTTGTCGTGGATCCCGTCCATGGGCTGAAAGACGGAACGCACGCCAGTTAGGCACATGAGACACGATACTTCCCTCCGGACTTTTAAGACCGCTCTCTGAAGTCTTTGAAACTGTGGCATAATCATCTACTACCCACACAACAGTCGTATGTTTTTATACCTACATTATACATGTTATTATTACTATATAAGATGTGTATTTCAGAGATGGGGACAAGACAGTTAAAAAGACGACACGAACAGGATCATCAAAACTATCTGTAAGTCAAAAGCTAAGACTTTCAACAGTTGAATTTTCTTCATAATGTCAAAACTTGAAAATAAAAAATAAAATCCCGCTCACAAGGCATACACATATAAGCTATTCTTCCGTACCTTCTTACGTAAGTCCTGAAACCTGCTGTATGTTGAACTGAGTCCCAAGTCTGAGGAAGAAAGACTATTTGAAACATCTGCAGCGATCTATTTTGGGGGTAATTTTTTCTGGCATCAGAGGGGAAGGTACTATGGAAAGTTTAAAAGTTGAAACCAGAAAGTTCCATGGCAGTTGGGAAAAGAGAGCCAGACTGAGCTGAGCAGAGAGTGGGCTGAACTCTGAAAGGGAAGGATGGTGACGTAGATGAAGCTGTGCTACAGAGGGAGGAAGACTGAAAAAGGTTAAAGGCACAGTTTGGGAAAAAATTAAGAACACAGGGTCTGGAAACAGGACTTGAGGCCTAGTACATAGCAGACACGCAATACATAGCTATTGAATTGATACTAATCCAATCCAGAATTGGGCAACGGAGCATGTGTTGGAAAAAGGAAAAGTCTATTCCTCCGCAAACTGCAACAGCAATTTTCAAAATAGCCTGAAAGGAACATTTCCAGGAGTTTATAGAAACCAAATAACTTCGAGCAAGAAAGTATGAATGTTTGCAGTTTTGGAGAAAGAAAAAGTTAATTTCTGCAGAGTCAAAAGCATGCACTTGAAAAGAGGAAAAATTTACCATAACGAGGATGATCAGAAGAAAAATGGGAAGAATCTGCTATAAAGAGTGTCTCTGAGTGTGTTAAATAGTAATAACAGAGAGGAAATCAAAGCAACACAGCAGATGTATTTAGGCCACTTGTTTATTTATTTGCAGTAATGTTGCAAAGCAAAAAGCTGAAGCGCAGAGGGAGAAGGGGAAGAAAGACAGGAATAAAGCTGTCTGTAAAAAGGATCTAAGAAAGTGAAGGCATCTGGTCAGCAGGTGTGAACTCAGGCACTTAACATGTCCTCACGCAGGGAATCATCTGAGGGGCTAAGGAAAACCAGAATGGCACAAAAATGCACACCTTGCAGAATGAGAACAAAACAAAACAAAACAAAAAGTTTAGATGAGGGTGGACAATATGAGATGTGACAAAGATGCCAAGTAACAAAACAGAAGGGACCAGAAGAGATAATTCTCAATAAAGACAACCCGGTGCAAAAATGCAACAGTGACCCAGTGCTCATTTATACACTTAACTTTTAAATGCTTAAATAGTAATAGAGATTAGCTAAATATTTCCTTCAAACTGTATCTTTCATTTTGGAGGTGAGACATCCTTAACCCATTCTGAAATTATTTAACCCACCTGGAGAAAAGTTTACAAGTGACAGATCAGATCTATAATATAGCTCCCAAATTAATTTAATATGAGCACATGACAATTTAATGACTTCAATATGTCTACATGGTCAATATGCCTGCTAAAAAATATGATATAAAAAAACTAACAGCTTTATTTCTTCAGATACCTGACAAGCTAAAAATGTGTTTTGTTTTGTTTTTAAAAAGGAGAGAGAACTGGGGGACACTGTAGGGCTATTCACACTATATTTTTAAATGTAAAGAGGAAAGTTGCAGAGTAATTAATAGTAACAATATGATTCTATTTTGGTAAAAGCAGAATTATTTAAAAATCACACCTGTGTATGATTTTTACTGAACGTGGAGAAAAGTAAGGTGTGAAAAGCCATTACCTGGGGTGTAGCCAGTAGTAACCATTTCCTTTATCTCGGTATGGTTTCACTTTTCAAAATAAGCAATATATTACTTTCCTGACTGGAAAATAGCCAAATAACAAAATCTGTACAAAAAAGTGGATCTTCTCTTCTGGGCTCCAATGCCTTACCTTAATTAAAATTGACCTACATGGCCCTGGATGGTTTAGTTCAGTGGTTAGAGCCTTGGCCCATGGACCAGAGAGTCCCAGGTTCAGTTCCCAATAAGGGCACATACCTCGGTTGCAGTTTGTCCCCAGCCCTGGTTGGGGTCATTTGGCTGACAACCACTCGATACGTCTCTCTCACATCAATGTTTCTCTCTCTCTCTTCCTCCCTCTCTCCCTCTTTCTCTATCTGAAGATAAATGCAAAATATCCTAAGGTGAGGAGAAAAAAATATATATTAAAAAAAAATTGACCTACATGAATTTTAACAAGAGTAAATCTTGTTTATTGATATTATGGGGAAAAAATTGCATGCCATGATAAATGTGGGGTGTAATGTTTTTCTTTAAAATATTGACTTTAAAGAATGTTCATTGCAACACTGGCAACTAAATCCAGATTTGCTTGTTTAACCATGGAGTAGTTCCTGAGAAATATTTAGATTCTATGCTTAAATTGGCTGGTACTGTGTCTTACAGTTGTGTATTTATGCTTAGTACAATTCACTGAATACTTGTTGGTTGGCTGAACAATAAAGAACTTGCTTTGGAAGGAAAAATAAAAAATAAAATAAAATTGACCTATAGTCCCGCACAATTAGAGGAAAGACCTAGTCTTTTTTACAGCAATGTTTCCGTTTTAAACCAGGATCTTCCTCGGATTGTCTATGTAACATCGAGAGGCATCCCACCACCCTATCCTCCTGTGATGTCATCCAAAAGACACATAAATGTAAAGCCTCTACTTGTCTCACGAGGCATAGCCCCCAGGTGATAGGGCCTCACTGAGTTTCTTTGGCTTTTGCTAACTTTCGAAGCAAACTGTCTCGGTGGCTCATTTACTTTCTCAAAAAGGCTGTTCTCTCTTCTTTGCATCTCCCGTGGCCTGATGTCAATACCGTACCAACATGATCATCCCCACAGCAACAATCCAAGCCTCACAAAGAGAGGATCGTTGTAACAATCCAGAAACAAACAACTGGACCCGAACTCTGCTAAATCAGGTCCTCTCCCAGAATAAAGCCACTCTGCAGAGAGACAGCCAAGTGCCTGCTAGGAACTCCCTAGAAACTACCTACAAACTTCAGGAAGGGACTCATTTTCGTTTTACTCTTTGGGATCTAATTGTAAAAATAAATACCAAAATTTTAAAGAAAGAATAATTTTCAATATGTTCATATGTGGATGATATAAGTTGCTTAACACATATAGTCAGACTTATTCACTTATACACCTATTCACCAAGCCAAAATAGCTGCAACCCATATATCACAGAAGTTATCAAAACTGCACATTCTATCTCGTATTTTTAGAAAGCCAAGATCTGATCTTCCTGACTAGTGCAACATCTGCAACAATAAATGAGCCTCAGAATGTGTGTTTTTAATAATTTGTAGGATAAGACAAAGACCTAGCTTCTCTCATAAAAATAGTAGAAACAGAGGGACAGAGGTTATCAGCGATATTAGCCATCCGCGATGCAGAAGACGAGACTGAACAGACTAATCGCTTACCTTATGCATCTGATGCATGCCTTCCTGTGGGAAATCAGTAGACCCCATGGTAGGCATAGGGTGTGAGACACTTGGAGGTCCAGGACTTGGCCCCATCATACTGTGGACAGAACCTGGGGATGGTCCAGGTCCTGGACTAGGTCCGAGAATTGGTCCAGGAGAGGGTCCGGGCCCTGGCGAAGGCCCTGGGTGGGGCATCGCAGCAGGGTCTGTGGGTGTGGACATCTACTTCTCCTGTCTCTGCCAGTCAGCACGATGATACTGAGCTGAAAAGAAGAAAAAAGAAAGGAATGTTTTCAACATGATGTTAAGATCAGAATAAAACAGTTGTTAGTATTTGATGGTGCCATTTCTATAACAAACATCAAACAGAACTGCCCTGTCTGATCCAGATGTTTGAGTGTGATATATATCCATCTGCCCTGTCTTTATGAAGACCACTTGTTTAAAAGAAAAAAAATACTCTAAATGATTCCCCAGAAAGATATAAATCATCTAAGATACAAAAGAGACTTACTGGAGAAACTCAAATTTAACACATAAGCAGAATTCTAAACAAGTTAGAAATTTATTACTGAAGCCAACAGATGCTCTCCATTACTTACTGGTTGGGGTACCTTACAAGTCATTAACCTCCCAAAGCCATTAAAATATAACCCTTTAAAGAAATCCAACCAACATCCATTTTCATAAGTAAATAGACATTCAAAACTTCGTAGAGCCCTGGCCAGTTTGGCTCAGCAGTAGAGCATTGGCCTGCGGTCGAGAGACCCGGGTTCGGTTCCTGCCAAGGGCATGTACCTCGGTTGCAGTTTGTCCCCAGCCCTGGTTGGGTCGTGCGGGTGGCAGCCACTCGATGTGTCCCTTTAACGTCGATGTTTCTCTCTCCCTCCCCATTCTACCTGAACAAAAAATGGAAAAATGTCCTCTGGTGAGGATAAAAAAACAAAAAACAACTTCGTAGAAAACCCTAGATAGTTAAAACAGAGAAAAAGTACAACTCCACACATTGAGAATGAAAGAGAATTCCCAATCATAGGAAAAGCAGAGGTTATGGGAGTCAAATATGGGTTCAAATACCCATAAGATATAATTACTAGCTGACAGTGAAAAGTAATGGTACATATAAAAACACAGTTCCTTGCCTGGCACAGCAAGCAACCACTATAATAATAATTATTATTATTATTATTACTATTTTTATTATTATTGCAGTAAAATTGGCATACAGATTACATATATTTCAGGTGTTCAATATTATAGATATTTGTATACATTGCATAATGCTCACCACTGTCTAGTTATCATCCCCTTTGCCCATTTTGTGCTCCCTTCAACCTCATTCCCTTCTGGTAACCACCAATCTGTTCTTTCTATCATTTTGTTTTTGTTTTGTTGCTTTTTTTTAGATTCCATATGTAAGTGAAATCATGTGGTATCTGTCTTTCTCCATCTGACTTATTTCACTTTGCATGATAACTGCCCTCACAGTCATCCATGTTGTCACAAATGGCAAGATTTCCTTCCTTTTTATGGCTGAGTATTTCCATCTGCTTTATCCATTCACCTATCAGTGGGCACCGGAGTCATTTCATGGTAGCTATTGTAAACAATGCTGCACTGAACACAAAGGTGCACATATCTTTTCAAATTGGCGTTTTCTTCTTCTTCAGCCACTCTCACTTAGCATTAGGGCCAGTTTAGGAGGTGGTCTTCCCACCAGCTAATCAACCGAAGACAACTTGGACAGTTGAGAATTCGTCCTAGGTCTCTCTGGGGTCCAACATTCCAGAAGAAGTCATCAGTGACTACTGGACCAGGGCGCACCACAGACTATGCAAATTCTGATCATCCTATATCAGCACAGCGATACTCCATCGCCCAAGCTCCAAAACTTCTTGGCATCCCCAATGGGGTGCTGCCACCTGGGGTGTGTACAACTGCGTCTTGGACATGGGCCAAAATGAGTAAATAAGCTGTTTTCCAAATTCTGATGGAGATCAATGATCCCAGCAAGACAGCCGAATGCCGCTGGTGATAGTAATTCTTACACAGTTTATTATCTGGGGGCGCACACCTGTACACACTAAAACTTTCTGCTGTCAACCTCACAAAATACAGAATGAGATACCCTAAGAGACTTGCTCACCCACTGCTTAGAGGCAGGAATGGAATGAGATCACAGGGGCCCAGGCACCCACAGCAGGGCTGTTTCCACAGTGAAAGTAGAGGTTTATAAAAAACACATTAGTTCCATTCTTAGCTACCTACTGTCATCTCTAGACTGAATCTCTAGACTGTGAAGGCCATGAAGGCAGGGCCTGGCTCTTTTTCACTCCTGTATCCCCAGCACCACCAACCAGCATGTAGTAAGTGCTCAAAACAGATCTGAATGAACTGCAAACACAATTTCAAGGGCAAGCTATTAACAGAGTCAATTATGTTATAAATAAAAATGAGAGAGTAATGGGTGTCTGAAGTGTGTTCACAGGGACCAGTTTGTAAGGTATATGGTTGTCTAACCACTATGCTGTACACCTGAAACTAATTGAAAATAATATTGAATGTAAATGGTTAATTGAAAAAAAAAATCTTCAATATGTAGGCAGGAACTTAGGGCAGAAATCAGACATAGACAAATACCATACGATTTCACTTATATGTGGAATCTAAAACAAAACCAAACAAGTAAACAAAAGAGCAACAGAATCAGAGATAGAAAACAAGCTAATGTTTGCCAGAGTGGAAGGGGTTGGGGGACGGGTGGAAAAAGTGAAGGGGAATAAGAGTGCAAACTTCCAGTTGTTAAATAAATAAGCCATGGGATATCACGTACACACAGTTATTACAGTATTATCATAACTGAGCGATGATAAATAGTTAATAGACTTATTATGATGATCCCATTGCAAGGTATATAAATGTCGAATCATCATGTTGTACACCTGAAACAAATACAGTAATATATGCCAACTATACTTTAATATAAAAAATTTTTTAAAAACAATTTAGGCCATTCTGATGAGTTAGGGCTAAAACGGGAAGCGATGAAAGGCTACTTTGGAGTGACTGTAAGCAGGGGATCACGCAAACTGTTCTGCTGATACAAGATGGGACTAAGAACATAGTTCAAGTGGTTTCTAAAACAACTGGGAAGCCTCATGGGTGAATTCTCCAGAGAGCCAAATGTTATTATTTATCCTTTGTGATGAACAAAGCAGGCGGAAGTAACGTTGTTTGGTGTTCCACCCCTTCTCTGTCTCTGTCTCTGTCTCTCTGTCTCTCTCTCTCACACACACACACATGCTTAGTCAGCATTTTAAATTTAGGAAGCTGACTTCAATTCAGGGGGACTACAAGTTACAGTGTTCTTTTATGTATGTCCGCAAACTAATGTACCCCCTTATTTTTTAGTGACTAAAAGGAAATTGCTTACTTCCTGTTATAATTTACCTTAAAATGACCTTCAATAACTATTACAGTAATACACCACATATTTGAACAATGACAATACAAATACTTTGCCTGGTAGTCCTACTTTTCATGTTTTATGCTTTAATATATATTATCCTATAATCCTCCTTTCTGCAAATATGATCATCTTCATCTGGGAATCTCATAGTATGCTGTAATTATTATATACAGTCCTATAAACATGCTCCTAATTTTTTTTAAAGGAAACTACCAAAAACTTCTTGAAGTGAAAAACACGAGAAGGGAAATGGAAAAACCTGGACACATAAGTGCGATATTAATATTATACAGGAAAGTTTTTAACAGGAGCATCTTCAGATGTATAAATGCAATGTGTCCATTAAATTGCACAGACGCACACACAAGCAGTGAGCTCGGAGAAACAGCACAGCCTGGAAAACCAGGAAGCTCGCCCCAGGCCACACAGCTCCTGATGGGCAGGCGTCTAGACTGCACAACTTGGATGCCACATTCTGGCTTCGGACTGGGAGTCCAGACCCGAGTTCTTGTCTTCTCATCTCAGGGCCACCACCAAGTCTGGGGCCCTGAGCAGAGTGCTTTCCCCTCCGGGTCTCTAGGCTTCCTCTGGGCTTGGGACTAGGAGTATTTTAAGGCTCCCTCCAACTGTCTACCCAGAGTGGGAGCACCTCGCAGCCTTCTTCCAATCCATGGCCGAATCTGGGCTGTCCCAGGATTTGCGGGTTGCTACCACCGCCCGAGGGTACTGAAGAGGAGCACCTCTCAAAGATGCGCGCTGTCCTGGCCTCTTCCTCTTCATTTCTGGTGGCAGCTTGAGAGCATAGCTCCAGTGCCTAATGAAACGTCCCCACAGGGTACGGCAACAGTGTCAGTGACGCAGAGGTACCATCCCAGGCAGAGGCGCGGGTGATGACTGAGTTACTGTGATCACGGCTGCAAGTCCAGCACTGGCCCACTCGGCTTCCCTGGGAATGCCAACCCCTTCCTTTCCTCCTCAAAGCACTAATGAAATAATAAAGACAGGGTGGTGAGGGACAGGAGAGGGCTCAGATAACCTTGGTAGGTAGTGGTAGGTCTGTCTGCAAGATAACGCTGAAAACTTATTTTTATTTTGTGTTGGGGGAGGGAGTTTTATGTAGTCACAGAAAAGAACAACCCGTTCCACAAGTGTGGGGCTAATATAATGAAGACAATGTGTGGCGGGGAGGGGAAGGGAGGGCAGGTAAGGCACAGTGACCCCCCCGCCCCCCCCCCATGCATTGCGGGTCCTCTGGCCTCCCCTGACGCTTCTCTCCGCCTCAGACCAGCTCTCCCCGAGGGCCAGGCCGCTGCATTCCTGGCCAAGAATTTTTCCGCAGCACACCATGTCTTTTTTCCTCCTGATGTTCCCGCCTTTACAACTGGGGAGTGTGTTTTTGAAAATAAAAGTTCGGAACGTCCCACAACTCCAACCACCAGAGACGTCTTCCCTCAGCCCCACTCCCTTCCTCCCCGCTTGCTGAAAGCCACAGCACCCCATCTGCATAGTAAAAGCTCAACTTCACGAAATTGTAAGGGTCACCAGTCCACCCATGACGACCACGACAATGCGTGTACCTCCCTGTCTCACTGCAGTCTACGGAACCGCCGAAGCCCCCCACACTTTCATATTTTAGTATTTAAACACACCCACATATGCTTCGTAGTAATTTTAGTGACTTAAACTCAGGAGACATTGTGTCACATCCCCATTTAAATGATGAGGGCAGGAGGGCCACGTACTTGACCAAAGTCACATCTGTAAGTAGAACCTTTCAACTCTGGACTCCCACCC